GGAATGTGGGAAGGAACCGTAGCAAATTAAGATCACAAAGGCAAAAAACCTGTCGACATTTGCTAAGCATTTGCCACATGCACAAATCGCTTCATGTCTGCAGTGTGTACTTGAAGATGTTGCCGAGCGCGCGCATTAGCTCTGCGAGCGGATCAGCCCGCTGATTGCGGCGAGTCCAAAACCTGCGAGGAGAGCAGGCGTTATGTTAGTCCTGTGACGAGAACCAAAGGGTCAGTATATGCGCTTACGAAGGCTCTCACGGATGGTTGCATCAGGCTGCCTGCGCACAAAACGGGTTAAGCTTTCCGCTACAGCATGGGCACTGGGTTGGTAAATCAAATATGATGTCAGACCATCGAACTGCCGGCCGCTTTTGTGATGAAAGAGTTAGAGTTCGCAAAGGACATTTCACTCACCAGAATCAAGCGAAAGACCGATGGACCACGGTACAGCAACCCATGGGTAACCTACTCTAACACTGTCCAGATTCCACCACCATACTACTAGATTACAATATTAGCTTTAAATAACGAGGGTATGCTAAGAGTGCATAAAGACTAGCCGATGAATCAGTATACGTAGGGTATCATCCGGTAAGGCACCTTCTTCGCCCACTCATCCCACTCTGCGCCGAACTCCTTCCGCAACATCGCATCCTCCTGCGGCGCCCGCACCACCAGGCTCGCCGTGCCATAGAAGATCATCGCGGCGTACAGCACTGAGGCAACCTTTCCCGCAGTGGTGTCCAGGATCCCGCACTCCTTCAGGTACGAGCCCTGGCTTGCGTAGCAGAGGCCCATCCCGACGCAGCATATGAAACCGCCGCTGTAGCTCGGGTGGCGCACCCACGCGTATGGGCCGGTGGTGATCAGTTGGTGGTTGTCGCGGATGGAGATCTCGTATGTGAAGAGGCGGCCCAGGGTTCGGTAGCATTGGTAGCGGATGAACCCGCCGACGACCCCGCAGCCGCAGCCCGCCAAGAACATGGGAGAGAGGCCGATGCGGTTGACGAGGGATATTGATCCTGGGACGGCGTTGTGTAGGATCTGTTGGGCGATGGGGTGCGAGGAAAACTTGTTGGCGATAATCACGACCATTTCGATGACGCTGCCAGAGCAGATGAGGAGCTAGTTGGAAATGTCAGTATACTCCAAAGCGCGATGTATCAGGTGCTATATACCTTCAAGCCCCCAGTGTAGACTCTCGCGATGGCCGAGAATATGCGTTCGGCGAGCACGACGTCCTTGGGCCGCTCACTGTGCGGCACAGCGGGATGTGGTGGTGTCAAACATGTGTAGGTAGCCAATGTACCCGCGAAGAGGAAAGGAAGCTTAACGAGAGACATAGCCCGGTGGCGGATGAGGCAGAATATTAAAGCTCAGGACGAAGGGGGGGGGGCGCTGGTAGGCGATGCTGCAGCAACGGCCCCGTCGACGTGGCATTTATGTACAGCAGATAGGAGAAACCTGGAACTTGCTTGAACAGAAGTAGCGGAGGCAGACTGATGGCATGCGACCGAAAACCAGTCTAGTTACCACGAAACCGCTGGCGACGGTGTCACGCAACCTGGATCGAGGTCTGAAACAGCTTGAGGTTGATGCCCCCGACATTACAACATTGGTATAACCATTTGCATGCCGCCCTAGATGACACTGCCGTCACTGCAGAGTATATTTGAGGAACAGTGGATGAAGAGCCCCTTCCGAATTTGTCTTCCCCTTGTACTTGTGCCGTGCAGATTGTGAAGGCGTTTCGGATATTTGCGGTCCAGCATCAGCCAGCGTCCCCTCGCTGGGTCCTATGAGGTCCAGAAGCAAAGTGATTACGGTCGTTTGCTGACGCCTTCGCATATTCGGGGGTTGGCATTGCCACACGATGTCGATTCGGAACCCTCCATCAGACATCATCCTGCCCTGCCCCCTATACCTGCACTTTGTGAGAAAGACTGTTCCATTCAGACGGTGTCACTCCTGAAGACGCGTAAAGAACCGAACATGGTCAGTTGTATACTGTTACTTCGACTACTTCGTGCTAAATATTTGGCGATCACATGAAGGTTGCTAGTAGCAGTCTGAATCGGCGTACCCTTCATCGCTCACCGCGAGTGGCATGGCAGACCACAGCTTCCTTTGGCAAGGATGAAGTTCCGAAAGAAGTTGCATGCGTATGGTTTCGCTGCCGCTCCCGGGATGCCAGTGGGCGGCAGCGGTGTCGGAAGGCCCTTTGCTCGACGACGTAACTTACATCGAAAATTTTGGGACACATTTGCGCACGCGCATGCTATTGGCGACCACAGAATGCGAGGAGGACTTGAAGGTCATCGCAGGCTCATGCGAAGCTGCTCGGAGCACAATCTTCGGCTCAAAAGTATCTTGCACGTGACCCGATATTCGGCACAACTCCCAACCTCGGAACGCCTGTGCGCATCGATCTTGTCGTTCATCAGCAACCACCACCAGCTCACACACCCTCCAGCATGTCCAGTGAGCCAGCTCCCGAAAGTACCCTGCCCTACCCACCCATCCACACGGACAAGAAATTTGTTGTGCTCTCCGACTGGTTGGTCGGTTCGTCTTCATATGAATGCCTGCCGGCATTTCTGCATGCGGTGGACGCGATGGAAAAGGACGCGTCCATCGTGTCCATCGCAGTCTGATGGGCATTTTGGCTGAATGAAATACACAGGGATGGCACGATCACGACGCGCGATTCGAACGACTGTACGTTTGCCTGTAACTTGCTTGGCCGTCGGTGTTGTTCACACCGTACTTTCCGACGAGTCACGCGTTTGAGACTAGATGCTCATATTATTCGCAGATATGACCGATGAGCTCGGCTTCGGCAGAGAGAAGCGGAGGGAGCTGAACCTTGACACGCTCTCTGGGAAGATTACGTTCAGGTGCGTTACCCTTCCAGCCCTAAGGCGGCTTGAGAGCTCATGCGTCCTTGAATGTCCAGGGATTCATTCCGCGAGATGCTCGAGAGCGTCTCCGCGAAAGGTCACTCCTTTGAGTACTGCAAGGAGCAGCTGAAACAAAGTCAGCACTTTCGCAAGCTCGGCTTCTTCACACTGACGAGATCCATGCGCTAAATCAGATATCAAGCTCGATCCCGGCTTTAAGGAGTTCTATCAATACTGCGAGGAGGCTGACATCCCCGTCGTCATCATTTCCAGGTGAGCGGTCAGAGTCACAGCCCCCGTTGCGAGATGAAGACGTGAAGTGACCGCATTGCAGTGGCATGGCGCCTCTGATCCGTGCCGTGTTATCCAGCTTAATCGGCGAGGAAGATGCGAGGAAGATCGAAATCATCTCCAACGACGTGATCATCCACCCAGACGGGAAGTGGGAGATCCAGTACCGCCACCCTTCCAGGCAAGTCTTTCATCGATGAGCAGCGCATGATGCCAGGTTGTTCATTGTCGCGCATCACAGTGGCTACGGTCATGACAAGAGTCAGGCGATCCTACCGTATCGAAAACTGCCAGACCCGCCGACCATTTTCTTCTTCGGCGACGGCGTTTCAGGCGAGTCAATCTGCTCTGCACTTCATGGCATGTTCACTAATCGTACCCATTTCCTGTTCAGACATGTCCGCTGCACGTTACGCAGACGTGCTTTTTGTCAAGCAAAAGGAAGACGGCGAGAACGATCTTCACGCGTACTGCCTACGAGAAGGCATTCCGCATATCCTCTTTGAGAACTTCGCTCATGCGTCATTGGTGGTCAGAAAAGTCGTGGAAGGCAAGATGACTGTGAAGGAGGCGCTGGCGCTAGGCAAGGCCTGAGTTTCGAGATACCGACATCATTGATACCATCCCGCAGCATATGATACCTCCAGAGATCTAGAGACTGCATGGAAATCATGTAGAATAGAAGCAGAATGATACAAGACAATGTGAGGCCTGCAGGTAAACGTTGCACGAAGCAACACAGTACACGAACTGGTCTCATCCCGTCGAGGAGCAGCTAGAGGCACGTCTCGAACCCGCTGCGAAATTCGATGCGTTTCTCTATAGTCGTTCACCATAAGTCATATGGATGCATTGCGAGCGAGAAAGCATAACCAGAACATGACGAAGGGCAGACCAGAGAGGAATGAGCCGCATAACAGTAGATACACCCTGCGACCAGGATTTTAAGCAGTGGCGGCAGCCCTAGAACGAATGAGACGTTAGCGATGGTCGTAGAATACAGGAACAAGCAGCGTACTTCTTGTGTGATGCCTTGGCGGCAGCTGCCTTCTCCTTCTTCTCGGCAATGCGCTTCTGCATGAGAACGCTGCAGGGAATGAATCAATATGCAGCGCGCCGCCAAATGTTTTCTGTACGCACTCGTATTCTGTCTTCTGCTCTTTCTGGCGCTCGATGCGGCGGCGCTGGAGCGAACGGAGATGACGGCGGCGCTGGAGACGGATGGGCGTGACCAGTCGCTGAATCTTGGGACTGAAGCAAAGTCAATGAGAATGAACAAGGCTGCAGGTGTGCTAGACTACTGACGCCTTGGTGTAAGGTCTCGCATTCTCCTTCTTCTGGCTCTTCACCTCTCGCCTGACGACGTACTTCCTCACATCATCCTCCTTCGACAGGTTGAAGAATTTGCGAATCTTGGTCGCACGCTTGGGACCAAGACGCTTCGGGAGCACGGAGTCTGTGAGACCGGGGATCTCGTTCTCGCCCTGCTTGATGATGACGAGGGAGAGAACGGCAATGTCGGGGCCGACGATGCAACCGCGCACAGACTTGCGCTTGCGCTCACCAGTGCGGCGGGGGCGGTAGCACGAGTGGCCATCGGACAGAAGGAGGCGGACACGGTGGGGGACGAGGACACCCTGCTTCATCGGGAAGCCCTGCTTATCGTTGCCGCCAGTGATACGGAAGACGTAACCCTTCCACTCGTCGCCAAGGATGTCACCGGGGACTTCTTGGGAAATCTTCTTCTCGTAGAAGATGCGGCTGGACGGAGGTCAGTAAGCAGCTGAGGATCAGAACGCATTTGCGTACTATTTCCTCTCCTCGTCAAAATCAATGGTCTTTTGCTCCCCGGTCGCGGGGTCTGCGGGTCGAGAGAGCATCAGAGGTCACCCCATCGCGTCTACACCGTGCTCGTACTCACTGGCGATGTTAAGTTTCATGCTAAACGAGGAGCAAGATGTTCAGACAGAGCTGGGGAAGCGGAACACAAGAGACGCACGTTCAGACGAGATGGGCCTTGTTTCCGTCGACGGCAATGACGGCGAGAATCTTGCGCGCGGTGTCGGGAGTGCTTCAGTGCCCAGCTGCAGATGACCCGAACCCGGGCTCGGTGGCGGGTGGCAACAAGGTTTGCAGCTGTACAGTCCCCCCTCAGCCACATCCGCATTTGGCACGTGCGCCACCTTCGCAAGAGCTCAACGGCACCGACGACGACCAGGCCTCAAGACTTTAACCCCCACAATATCTGTGAGTGTTGAGCTTACCCTAGCAGAGAACGTTCTAAAATCTGCCGGCAGAACCGCCATGGGTCGTATGCACGCTCCGGGAAAGGGCATTTGTGAGTCGCGTTTCAGCAGCATATAGGCCGTTCATTCTAAGTTGCATATGTCGCACCCAGCGTCCTCCGCCCTCCCTTACCGCCGCTCTCCCCCTTCCTGGCTGAAGACCACCCCTGATGATGTCGTCGAGCACATCATCAAGCTCGCTCGCAAGGGTCTCACCCCCTCGCAGGTCGGTGTTGTTCTTCGTGACTCGCACGGCATCCCCCAGGTGCGATTCGTGACGGGCAACAAGATCCTGCGTATCCTCAAGTCGCACGGTGCGTGCAGTGGACGTGTCACTGACAATGTCGTTCTCACATGAGAGTTGCACATACCAGGTCTGGCACCACAGATCCCTGAGGATCTCTGGCACCTCATCAAAAAGGCGGTTGCCGTCCGCAAGCACCTCGAGACTAACCGCAAGGACAAGGACTCGAAGTTCCGCCTCATTTTGATCGAGTCGCGTATCCACCGTCTTGCTCGCTACTACAAGAAGAAGCAGCAGATTCCTCCAACGTTCAAGTACGACTCGGCAACTGCATCCACACTGATCGCATGAGCGGGAGATGTTGTATGGATTAGGTGGGGGAGGTCTGGGAGCTCCGGACGTGCACGGGTGGTCGACCGATGTTATACGGTATATTGCCTTTTTACGTGACTCTATCGCGATGCGAAACTCAGGCCGTGTGCCTGTCGCTTTTTTTCTGTGTGGTCAGGGTGGTTGAAATTCCAGATCGTTGCGCTCAATTTTGAATGACCTTGACCATGATGCATGAATTGTGGTTCGCCGAATGATCGGATGATGAGGTAGGAAACTTTATATGGGAGTGTCAGACGTCAAACCATTGTAATCCGGCTAGTTCTGCTGGATATCCGCCGCATCCCAGCGGAAACGATTCTCTGGAGCTTGGCATGCATTGCGCATGCACCGTAAGCATTCTGGAAGCTGACTTGAATTGCGGCACAGCACGCTGTTACAACGTACAGTAATCACCAAGACTAGCGGGAGAGCGCGGTGAGAATTTAACTTTACAAAGTATGCCCTACTGACACTGCTGGATATCAATAATAATAGACCCGAATCAGGTGGCAAGCGTTAAGCACTCGCAGCGAGGTAGAATCAGAGGAGTCAACATGCACGACAGCTTCGACTTGAAATTAACGGACATGTCATCAGCGCTCGCATTAATCTCTTGGCTGTAGTGTATCAAAGTGAGCGAGTGGTTGCGACTGGCCACTTGTTGCGTTTCATTACGAAGCACAGAGGATCCGGAAAGCTTGAAGTAACCTTATATAGTGTCAATACGGAGTCCGTTGTCTCGCATGCGCTTGAGGAGGAAGCTGATGGGCGTGGCGTAAGTGACGTCCGGGTCCGAGGAACGCGTTTCGCCAACACCGCCGGTGAGTAGGCCGCCGATGCGTCCTCGACCGTCGACGATGACAGAACCCGAGTCGCCCTGCTCCGGGAAGGCGAAAGACTTGTGGTCTCGCGGGAGAATGGCCCATTCTTTGGAGATCTTGGCTTTTTCATCGTCGTAGTAGTTACGGGCGTAGGAGAAAATGTTGTTGGCGCGGCCGACGGTCAGGCCGGTAGTGAAGCCGCGCTTGATCACCATGAGGCACGGTTCGTCGTTCTGGTCGAGTGCAGTCGGGTGACGCATCTCCTCGTCCGGAATGGTGCCCTCGAGCTTCAGAAGATGGTCGAACGGATACGTGAAGGAATGGGCATTCCAGCGTCTGGGATCCCAGGAATAGGGATGCATCATACGACTGAACTCATAGACTGGGATGCGGGTACCGAGGTCGATGGCATTGCCGTCGAAATTGCTCGCATCGACCTTGGAGGGGTCGATCTCGACGACGGCCCAGTCCTCGGTATAACCCTCGCCGCTGCTGCCGACGCCGACCTTGATGGGAGGAGAGAGGATGACATGGCCCAGAATGCGGCTCTCCGGGGCGGCCCAGTGAGTCGAAATGTCCTGGTAGAAGGTGTTGAGCTCTTCTATCGCCTTCTTCGCCTTGTCTAACTCGTCCTGGGCATGCTGGCGCTCCTTGTCTGCTACCGGGCTGTCCTTCCCCTTGATCGCCCTAATGCGGTCCTCGTGATACTGGGCATTAACTGCCTTGCCTCCGATCTCGGCCTTGATAGATTCGAGGTACTTGTTGAACGCCGCATCGCCGAAGAGCGTGACGTATGACGAAGCTAGCTGTCGCTCTTATGCTCGAAGTGCTTGTTCTCGTTCTCGTCCGGCGGGAAGACGACGTGGCGAGCAGTGACGAGGAGGAGCCTCTTCGTATTCCCGCCCTCGGCAATGACGAAGCCGCCGGTATTTTCAGCGCAAGGCGAAGACTGGGCACATATTGGGAGACCGAGCGTAGTGGTTAGAGGTTCGCGGACATCTGCGGTGGGGTCGAAAGAGTAGTAGCTGGACGTACGCGTAAGGAGCTTGGAACCGGCCGAGCGGGTAATGACCGACTCGCGGATCTCGACGTCGACGTCGGTGATACCGTATTCTACAAGAAGCTCGCGGCACTTGGAGGCCACGACGACGCCGTCCTCGCCAGAGAGAGATGCGGGCACCACGCCGATCCAGAGGATGACGGGGGCGGAAGACGTTTCGACGTCCCTGATGCGGACGACGTCGATGCTAGTCCATTTGACCTTCATCGTGTCCAGAAGGTCGTGGATCTTGAGAGCCAGGCCGTCTTCCCAGACCTCACTGAGTGGGTGGTTGCCGACGGGGCGGAGCTCCTTGAGCTTGCGGTACGCCTCGGGGCCAGTGGGCTCCTTCCAGGGAGTGGTGCCAGTGCGAGCGACCAAGCGGGGGCCAGAGGGCAGGCCGGCATAGTAAAATATGGCCTCCTTGTCGGATGAAGGGGATGGGAGCGTCGTAGGCCTGTCAGCCATGGCGATCGCGATGCAGGTAGAGACGAAAGCAGAGGAGGTCACTGCAGGAAGAGAGGAGCGGGTTCTTGAATCTTGTGGTGCTCGTCCGCGTCGTGTCTCGTGACGTCCTTCCGAGTCCACGAAAGCGTGCTGCTGAAAAGTGGCCGTCTGGACATACCAGTAACTGCTTCTCGCGCTGTCACAGCTCCGCATACCGTCCCGTCCAAATATTGCCTGGAGCTGACGGGTCTTCTGACGAAGTGCAGGTGCGGCCACTCTCATACGTTACAATTTTTTCGCGTCTCTGATATCGTCTAGCAATGCACTCACCACTGGTTCACAGATAAATCCACACGTGGATCAAAGTCAATGTCACCTGAAGGACTGCTCTTGGTTCAAGTGCGTGCGAAAGGCACGATACGTGAAACGCCGTTGACGCCGTTGTCGGCTCCCTGAATGCTGCAGACAAGAATCGAATAGACTTCTCGAAATACAGGAAGATGCCCTCCGGATTCCAGGGTCGGATCCACGCTCAGGTCTCCAAAGGTCAAGTTCATATGGCGTGTTGCAAGTAAGGTGGCTCTTTCGCGCCACAGCTAAAACTTCGTGATCCCCGCTAGACGCCTGACACGTACCACGTGACAGACGCGTCTACCTACCACGCGCGACATTGTACACAGTCCCTTAACTATTGCAGTCATTGCACTATCAATGCTTCATTGCTGTCGCGCTATCATGGCCGATGCTACTACGATGTCGACAACATTCATCCAATGACGAAGATCGACGACGTACATGCAGATAAGCGCAGACAAATACATCGACGCTACTAGACTGCCCTACACAGTAGTTCCTGTATAAGATCGACAACGCCGTACAGACGGTCTATGTGCTCAACGAGGCCGGTCCCATCAAGAAGATCGACCACAAGCTTGTGCAGCGTGCGAGGCGTATGGGTCTCTCCGATGGACACATCGCTGATCTCGTCTCGTTCGACGAAGACACCATTCGTGCACACCGCAACTCGCTTGGGATCACACCCTTCGTCAAGCACATCGACACGCTCGCCGCCGGGTACCCCGCACACACGAACTACTTCTACACCACATACAACGCGTCCGAACATGACGTCGACTTTAACGAGCACGGCACAATAGTGCTCGGCAGTGGCGTATAACGCATCCGCAATGGCGTCGAGTTCGACTGGTGCACAGTGACGTGTGCGTGTAAGGCGTGCGAGATGGGTGACAGGACGATCATGATGAACCACAAACTGGAGACGGTGCCGACGGACTTCGATGAGGCTGACAGATTGTACTTCGAGGAGCTTAGCTATGAGCGGCTGATGGATATCTACGAGTTGGAGCAGGCGCAAGGTGTCATCGTGAGCTTCGGCGGTGAGTCTTGCTTTCGTTAACCACTGGTCAACGTGGGACTCATGCTGACATTTCTGCTGCAGGTCAACTACCTCAAAGCGTATGCTTATCACCGTTGCAAACTTTGCAATCTTGAGCATGGTAACCCTCTACTCCGTAGGCTAACATGTACACAATATCCGTGTGAATATACCGTTCATTTGGATCCACTGCGGGGCTCCTTCCAAGTCTGCAGTAGTGGTGGTATGTTCTGTCGGCAACCGTGAATTATGGTTCGGCGAAACGATCAGATGATAGGGCAGGAAACTTTATATGTGAGTGTCAGACGCAAACCCATTATAAACCGGCTAGTTCTGCTGGATATCCACCGCATCCTGGTGGAAACAATTTTCGGGAATTTGACATACATTGTGTGTCCTAAGCATTCTGGAAGCTGACTGCACAGCACGCTCTTACAACCACGAATCACCAAGTTTGGCGGACGAGCGCCGTCAGAAATTGAGTTTCCGTGAGTATGCCTGCTGACACTGCTGGATATTGATAACCGAACTGAGTCAGGATAGTCAGCTGCCAATCTTGGTCCGAGTGGCAAGTGTCAAGCGCTCGCAGCGAGGCGCAATCAGAGTAATTGACACGCACGACAGCTTCGACTTGAGGATATTCGGACATGTCATCAGCACTTGCGTTGATCTCACGGCTGTGATGAATAATGTGAGTAAGTAGTTGTGATTGGTCACAGTAATACTTTTATGTTCCATCTCTATTCAATCTGTTACAGCGCACAGGAGAGCTTGAAGTAACCTAATACCACAGCGTCAATATCGCCCTATCTGTCACCTGCCTCCTGCCCTCTCCTGCCGGAGTGTACAGCTGTTGACATGGCTGGTCTAGATATCTGACTATCTGCGATCAAGCTAACCTGGATATCCCAGCTGCCACCCACCCGTGCCATGCCTGTGCTTTGACCACGCAGAAGGAAGCAACGTCCGACGTCGCATCGGATATGTGTCCGCGAGATATTGAGCGCATTGCATCTGCGCCCAGAGACAGAAGGGTAATTAGCAGGACATTTTGTGGCTGCGCACGCGCCGAGGTCTTTGGTACAAAATTGGAGGCCCCTCCGTTCTCTCTATTCCGGCCACAGCCAGTCACCTTGGTCATTCGATAACTGTGTTCGCAGTTCATACGTGGTGCGTCTCCTCCGATATCCATGCACACTCTACAGCTGATGTGAAATATACCTACTGCCACCGCCATATATAAAGCTGCACTCAAACCTTCAAGGGCCATCATTTACTGGACCCAGCCTTCATGGCAGTCGCACTGGCAGCAAACATCACTTTTCAAGAATTGCAAGAGTTGCAGCGCCGCAGGGGCGGCGGTGGTCATGGTGGTGGTCATGGTGGTGGTCATGGCGATGGCTCATCCGGCGACGGCAAGAGCAGCAGCGGGGAAAAAGGCAGCAGCGGGAAACAAAGTAGTAGCGGGAAGTCTGATGGAATTTCATCTTCCAGTGGCACCAAATCCGGCAGGAGTTCATCAGGCGACAGCAGCGAACGTCCGGTACCCATCTCCGGCTCCACAGCAGGCAGAACCACTGCGCTGGCGTATGGTCCCGGAGGGGGTCGCTCAGTCGTCATACCATTCGAGAGCATTTTTGCCGGACGCACTTCGGGCGGCGGCACGCGTAACGAAGTATACGGCTCAGAGTGAGCGCCTTCATGCATCCACGAGAAGATGCTGAAAACTTACTGATACACTATGGCCAGCTACTATGGTAGTGGGTATCCATATGATACAGAACGAGGCGTCTCCGGCCGGGGATTTCCATTCGTGTTCTGGCCCGTGGTCTGGGGTGGCTACCACGGTTATGGTGCACCGTACCTATACGACCCCGAGGTGATGAACAATTGGTCGTGATCAGAAATTGGCTGACCTCTTTATCCCATCAGTATGGGTCCACCAGCAATACAAGTCGACCCGGGGGACCACTAGCGCAAGCCAACTTCACCAGCTTAAACGGCAACAACACCTTCTACATAATTTCGGACAACAGCACGGTCACCTCGCTCATCACCTCCGTCCGAGACAATTGCACAGTAGGGCCGTTCTCGTCCACCGTCCCCATACCATTCAACGGGACATTGTCGGATCCCCTCCCGGAGCAGGCTATCCAGTACTACCGCGCGAGCTCCGTAGCGTTGACGCTTGCAAGATATAACGACACTGCTGCGTTGAGTAATAATCCCAACGCCACGCCCGTCGTGCTGCCGAACTGGATCAATCACACTCTGCTCGACTGCCTGAACGGCACAATCGCGGAGGCGGTGCCTCTGATAAACGCAGCTGACGCTCGATGGGAAATGTTGATGTTCAATCTCCTGGCGCTCCCGTGGGTGTGTTGGTACCTATTATTTCATCGATGAGTTGTCGCGCTTGGCGTTTGTGTCAATGTCATGCCACGAATAGTGACTCCAGATAACTTTCTTCAACTTTCATAACGAGACTCGTGGTGTGGTTTCTGAGGGCTGACCTGTATACCTGCACGCCGATAGAAATAGACTCACGTCGTTGCTTTCTACACAGATGCACTCATAACCTTCGATCGGCTAGCCTTCATTAATCCCTTCCTCGGGTTGAGTTCCTGACGGCAGACATGATGCGATTTAAAAATGTGGAAAATAGTGTGGGAATGTCGGCTGATGTCTTACACTTGTGATAAAGGTTTTGCCAATGTAGCATTTAAACGGCAAATAGCGCACATTTGCAGCCAAAGGGAAACATTTTCGACATGAAATGCCATGGTTGCAAATATTTGTCGCATGTGTAAGAAATCAGTCGACATTCACACACAATTTCCCACATTGATAAATCGCATCATGTCTGTGGCTGTGGACCAAACCGTGCGAGTCTTCACGTGATAAAATTGGCGTCTGTTGAGTTTCTCGTGCCGGTTCATCGATGTATTTTGTGGAGGTAAAGTGAGTTATGAGTGCTCATTATTACAAGACAGGACTGCTAGATGCATGCCACAACAATTGCGCGAAAGAAGAATAGCGAAAGTTAGTCCGGCAGGGGAAGGCCAAAGGCATACATCGGTTCCTGCATCCTCAATTAGATTGATTCCACCCTAGAGAATATGAGGCGCGGCTTTTGCGAGCGATCGTGACGGCCATTCAAGCCGAGATCATGCATCATGCATCAGGAATGTGACAGACGACTTATTCGCCGATAGACGTGAAATTCAAATGTGGTGCGTCCTCTTCAATTCATCACCCTCTCCATCGAATGAATGGTTGAACGGAGCATGAGCTGAGAATCACGATAGTTCTGCTTCAAATCATACTAGTAATATGCACCGTTCTCGCAACATCGTCACAAAACGATGACGAGTTGTGTGCATTCTTCACGGCAGCAACACGCTCAGAGTAAGGGTTCCAGCCGCGGCCACGCGGCGCTTTTCGAGTGAGACGTATCCCAGAGATAGCTAAAATCATTTGATAATTCGACTGTGCGGATAGACGATTCCATAACAGAAGGTGTGAACGGTCTACAACACCGCTGAAAGCAATCGGCCGTGGCATGAGGAAGTGACGAAGTCAATATGTTCAAGCTTGCTCACCTAGTTGCCGTCATGCACGATGGCCGAACATATATGCATATATAATATCGCTCATCCGTACTTTCGGGAGAAACATTTGGATCGCACCGAGATACCCATGAAATTTGAATGTGGGCTGACACACGCTTCATTCGTCGACCGAACCCGGTTCATATCAGACAACTCCAACGAGACTGGTGAGAGGGCCAACATCAGCAAGAAGGCACAAGATCGAAAACCGACCTAGTCCGCTTGCCACGTTCGCACCATGAGTGACTTTCATCAGAAGCTGAGCCTGAAGGTTCATTTTTACGTCCTCCGTCCCGTCCGCCGGCTCCCAGAAGCTTTGCGGCTGATGCGGCAATTAGGAAGCACTAAGTAAAGGCTGTACGCCTCGAGAAAGTGAAGTTACAAACTCCCGAGCCGTGGACATGGAAACAGTCGAGTACAAGTGCGGCTCGAAAGAGGAAGGTGGTTGGGGCTGTAAGTCGGGTGTGCGCTACGCCCGTCGCTGGATGCAATGCCAACTTCCTTCAAAGCGAGACAACGAGCCGTACATGCAGCTATCCTGCGGGCTGTCCGACCCGGATGAATGATGCTCTTCGGGTGTTTCTGAGGCTCGCGGGAGCAGCATTTATGGGACAAAGAGAAGACTTCGCGGCGTACCCTGACCTTCCTTCGCCCATGGAATCACAAAGAATCTTCCAGCGTTTTCGAGTCTTCTAGCGTTGAGGCCGGTCGCCATAGAGAACAGAAAGAGACCCAATCAATGCGCGCAATGTACAGTACCGGACGGGACGAGACCGCGAAGATCCGCTTTGTTTGTCCGGAGATTGTGTTATTTACCAAGCAACTGAGTCCAGATCTGAAACACTTCTCCACTCGATGCGAGTCCCTGGGCGACGTACTGATGTGAATTTCGCAGCAGCAGACTTGATCCTAGGAGCCAGCTGTTTCTGGAACGGAGAGATAAGCTACTCAGTGCGTTCGTTCGAAGGTGCCTCTTAGCAGACAAGGAAAAGGTTTCAGGTTCAATGCATGTGGGTCAGACAGTTAGCGTCATTTGATCATGGAAGGAATTCCGACTGTTCAGGTCCCTGAAAATGAGCTCGTCATTTCGTCGAATATGAGGGGCGAATCGCCTACCATCATCCGACTAATATACAGAAGGCCACGCGGAGCTCGGAAGTTCGGAAGAGTGCCGCAATCATTGCCAAACCTTTTGGATGGATCGTGTCAGGCTGCTGACCACGAGGCAGATGATAACCCGTGAACGCGGCAATAAGCGCCGTCGGCAAGCGAACAGAAGCAGGAAACTTCCTATATTGAGAACGTGAGATGCGAGTGCCTAGCCTGCATACGTAACGTGTCCTCGGCGCTCGTTCCACCCAACCCCCAAGCATTGACCCCCTGTCGCGACACCTCCAGGTAGCAGACGTCGCAGAGAAGCCAGCTGATGGCGTAGTAGGTCCTCCATTCACCGGAGAACGCTCAGTGCAAACCGTGGTGTCCTGGCGCGCCAAGCATCTGCCCACAGTCCTCCTATATCCGAGAGGAAGTTAGGAATTCCGTCTAGCTTTTCGGCGAAGAGGCATTCCCGAGTAAAATGAACGCGCGCGGTTGAGCGTGAGCCGGAGCCATTCGGGCACAAGGTCGTTTCCCTTTCTGTATACAAGCTAGTGCACTTATCGGGAGGATGACCTTCGTGGGGACCTCGGACAGCTCTAATGTGGAGGGCAGAGATCGTGCATCTGAGCTGCGTGCTTGGCTTTTTATGCTTGGCTGGGACTATGGGAGGCATTCCTACGTGAGGAGGGTTTCAGCAACGTCGAATCGAAGGGAGGAAGAGGTCAGGAAGGAGACAAGAGCGGGAGAGCAAGCGGTGCCACGGGTCCCAGTCGGGGCATGAGAAAATCGCGGGGATATTCGCGGGCTCGTATCGCGTGTGATGGGAGGGCGATATAAAGACACGAGAACAATAAGCCGACCTTCTCGAGCCTCGTTCTCTCCCTCTATTGTCTCCCCCGGTTTGGGCAAGCCGCCACGTCTGGCGAATAACGGAGAGATTGTATCCCACATACCCATCGTGATCAACGCCAGACAATAAATCGCCATGCCTTCTTCCCGTGTGTCCCAGCGTAGACGGTCGTCATTGGCTTCCGGTGTGTCTTCAATGGCAGTAAAATGGGACAGCGGATGGCTAATCATCGCTCATCGTAGGCATCACTACAGTGAGGGCTGGCAAGTATGGCGTCACACAATCGTCCAACTCACCTCGGAATGTTACCTTTGCACCCAACGTAACACCTGGCACGTACAACGAGCCCGATGGCGCATCAAAGGACGATACTCCATCGCCCGTCAATGCGTTGTTCCCTCCTTCGCAAACACCAGCACCAGCACCGACACGTCGACGGGCGCCACCCGGCAAGCGGCGGTCGCAGGGATACATCCCGCGGCCTCCGAACGCATTCATGCTCTTCCGCGCCGACTTCGTGCACCAGAGGCACATTCCGGGATCTATTGAAGCTACTCACGGTACCTTGTCTAAGATCATTGGTGAGTGTGCTTTCTTGATCTCGTGAGAATGTGGAGGGCAAGTGAGGCTGGCGTTGTGTGAGGTGGAATGCATGCTCAGCGCCGCCGTTGCACGACTTAATGGCAGTGCCGAAGCTGCCAGCAATTGCGGTAGAAGTGAATCGATTTCTTGGTCTTATCACTGTCCTTTTTGTGGGAAGGCGCGGGAATGATTTTCCTATTGTGGCATTGCACGTGCGCGCGTGTCGCTAGTCGCGCGACGCAAGTCCCCTTTGGAATTGCCTTAGGTTTTGTGTAGGCGGAGTATTTGACCACCTTTTTATTGTCAGGTAATCTCTGGCACGCCCTTCCTCTGGAAGAAAAGAGGACATGGGAGAATCTAGCGAAGAAAGCAAAGGCTGAGCATCGCCAAATGTACCCTGACTACCGCTTCCGGCCAGTGCACAAGAAGAAGGGCGAGAAGAATGCGAAGAAAAAGGGAAAGATTCCGCTCCCGGAACCGGATGAGCGTCGCTGTGAGGACATAACCGAATTTCTGATCGAGGGCATGAAGGGCGACGAACTCGCCGCGGCCGTGCGTCAACGGGACATGGAACGATCGCGTTCGCGAACACGCACCGCTAGTCCAGGTCCTTATGCAGGTTTCAACCCCCCATCGTTCCCTCCGATGTCGCAGTTGCATCAGCCGACTCCCATATACGCGCAACGCCGCTCCTCTTCTGTTCCTCCGCCAAGCATGTACTATCCGATCGTGCTACCCAGCGTACCGTTCTTCGGGTCGCGCGCGCCCTCACCAGTCGGGCACATTTCTCGTTCGCAACGGATCGTCCAGGGCCATCGCCGTGCCTCAAGTGTGCAGCCTATTCCGTCGCGTTCGTGGACGATGCCCATGGAGACGTCCGAGCAAATGGGCATGCCGGAAGTTTGGCAACTACAGCGTGACTGGTCGCCTTTGCCTGAGCCGGACATGTCGCTCTTCCAGCCCGAGTACACGAGTGGTGGAATGCAGGGCGGATTGCCCTTCACACCTACCGTGGAGAACGTGGCGCTGTTTGCTCAGGACTGCTCTCAGAATGACTTCGTAAGTAATCTTGATGACCGACTCAGCACATGTATGCTGAGAAACAATATCTCCAGCAAAATTATGACTTCAATGACGCCTCCCAGCATCAGCAGCATCAACAGCATCAATCGCTCTCCCTCAGCATCAGCCCTCTCGATGCCGTCCCAGTCGATCTTTCCGCTCCTGTGGCTGAGTCACCAGCGATCCCTCCTTTCTCGTCAGTCTCCTCGCAGCACAGCCCGATGTCCGCGTCATTCGACTTCTCCGCTGGTTTCGCGCCTGGTGTCGATGGGATGTCGCTTGGCCCTCTCGACATGGTCAGCGGCTGGGCTCCCAGTTCCGGGCCGTCGTCGACGGTCTCGGGCTCGCCCGCGCTATCGGAGACCTCCTTGCCCATGCCAAACCAGATGATCGTTGGCGGTGTAGATGTCCAGGCCAGTGTGCTTGCACCGCAGCCTATGCACGCGCAGGCATTTGGATGGAGCCAGCAGGTCCACGAGCAGGTCCACGTGCAGGTCCACCAAGATGGCCTCCTGCAGCAAGTACCGGCGGCCACGGAGCACCCACATCAGGGGTACGCACCTGCGCTCGAGCAGATGTGTGGCACCGCACAGGTCTTCCCGCAGTTCGACTCCGGCATGTTCGTCACGGAGGGCTACGTGACCGACGCGCCGATGGAGATGGGCTTGGATGATGCCTTCAACTTCCACCAGGCGACTGCATTCTAGATTAATGACTCACGTTCTCGTCAATCAAGGATTATCCATACTCACGTACGCATGTTCCTCGCGCTCGCATCTATATACAGCTGTATCCCTTCCTGAACTGTCAGGTCTCGACATTTGTAGCACTAGCCTTTTGTCCTTTCAGCTCTGTTTCTGTTGGCCTCTCTCATCAACCTCCGTGTAGCCTTATGCCTCGTACGATACATACCCGTAATACCCGTCTTTTTCTTTTGTGTCTGCCTGGTGTATGTGCATACTTCACGTCTTGTTGCGGTTATAACATAATGTTTTATGCAAAATTGAGCCTGTCGCAGGATCGCTTCGGGCGTTGTCGGGCAGTCCCCAATGTCTTTCCACGAAGTTATAGGAGTACGACTGACAGCTGGGGCGGTGGGAGTATGCCTATGGTCCGTCGGTTGTAAGCTGGTAGTCATGGATGGCTGCAGGGAGACTTAGAGACGGCCGAGCGCGATAGAGCAGGTAGCATTGCAGGAGGACGAGGCCACACGCGAGAAGGAACGCAGTGAGATGCCGATGTTGTCTGCAAGCATGGTCGAGCGGCGAGCCCAGGCGAACGCGTGCAAGATACGCTAAGAAGAAGACACGGAACGTGAATCTGAGACGAGATGACTGCATCCTCGACGAGACTGCTGGCGCATGCGAGGAACCGGATCAATGGGTCGGTCAATTGCAACAATCCTTTGCTCGTTCAGGCGGCACATGCTCAGAAATCTTCGATAGATGGCACAGTGATAGATCAATAGATAGCTCTTGAGCCCTTCCCAAGTCCGAGGTCTTGTAGCCTTCTTGGGGAAGATCAGCTGCGGCCAGAGAGGACAATGTAGTGCAGATGTCCCACGAGCTCGTGCACTTCAGTGGCATTTCGTATAAAAACGCGGCGGTGGGTTGAGACGCGAGCTAGGCCACTGCGACACTGCGACCTGAGTGAGCAACTTATTTGCTGATATAGATAAACATGAATGCATAGATATAGTTGCAAAAGAAAATCAAGATGGCGAGGACGTACAATTCAAGTTGTATGTGCAAGTTGATGAGTGGACCCTGATTGAACGAGTGGTCAGTCGGTGAAAGGACGGACATGGATGTGCTTGTGAATTGCCAAAAGTACAAACTGCGCTACGCTGGCAAATCGCACCTCGTTCCACGTTATCGGAGCCTCTTGCGCAGGAATACCCTAGGAACATGGCTTGTCAAGTACAAGCGAGAGTCTCAAAACTTGAAGCCAAGTGGTCCGATATGAGCTAACGTCCGTCTCGTGCGCCCGAGTTCAGCATACACTATGCATAAAGTTACAGACGCCTCACCACTTTGTGGTGGAGATCATGAGTCGATTCTCTGACAGAGATACGGTGAGCTGCCTTGAGGCTTGCACGCGCGAGGGCTTCCTGGCATCCGTCGCTGCCAATAGACAACTCATTTCATCCGATACCGAAGGATTCTGTGACATAGGGCAACACGCATTGTTCAGCTGAGGATTAGGACGGAAAGACTGACATGTGTGACAGTGTGTAGTTGCCGCGAATGCATGTCACTATTTGCGCCACAATGTCTCTGTGCGACCTCTGTCTTCTTCGTCTTGCAAGATACCCGGAAGTCACCCTGCACATTCCAAGTAACGCTTCATTGAGGCAAGTTGCAACAGTCTCTTTCTGGAGCAGTCAAACGTCTGCTACGTGTTCGAAACCTCTAGTGAGAATTCAAAAAACGCATCACTGACGACTGGCCGCAGGTGGCCACAGAGACAGGAAGTGCGTACAGATGCAATGATCGATGAAGCACTCGAACCCGCTCTGCATGTGTGCGATCGAGAATAATTCTCTGGACCAAGAACATCAATGCCGCGTTGCGAAAGGCTGGAAGTAGAGGAACCGTAGTCTGCCTTTTGACGCGGGGATCTTGTCGAGAGGTCGGGTTTTTCGAGCGGAGATGCAAATCTATTAGGAATAGGCTTTTCGGACTTTGTAATCGCGTGTAATGTTCGTTCCAAGAGTTACGTTTATTGTGTAGCCCCCTTGCTTCTTCTGCCATGTCTGCTGCTGCTGCCGCTGTTCTCACTGCTAGTCTGTCATGCGGTGGAGCTACTCAGCCTCTGTGACAACCCATGGATTCAACTAGGGCTGCGCACATGGATATCATACTCGGTGAGATCCAGAAATGTGGTTGGACAATCGGCTCCTTTCTGTTTGACCTCTTCACTCTGCCCCCGCACTCTCGAGAGGACAGAAATATTGCGCCAGTATCCCAGCTCCGTATCCAGATGGTTTCAAAAATTTTCCATAGAGAAACGAGCATGAAGGCCCATCATCATGCATACTTTCGCCACTTCGCACGTCCACTGCCATCCAGATCAGGGCAGAATCATCGCAATCCCTTTGTGATACGCACGCTGTCGGTATCTACCAGGATAGTGTGCTAAGTTTTCGTCTTCAAATTGTCATGGTTGCGAGCCTTTTCTCGATGAGTGCTCGCAATCTTCATTTATTAATGTTCTACAGGATTATTGGTAGCTGACTGTTTGCTCACACTGCACACATGGAATCTATGTGCTCAGAGGATACTTTTCAACTTTTGTGAACTTTCTTCGGAAACACAATCATATTGTAGACTATCAGAGTCTATTGGAGATTTGCTAGATGACATAGTAGAATGTACAGCTAAGGGATTGACAACGTAAGCGGGCACAGATGCGAAGAAGCAAAGCGCATCCGAGCGCGCCTCAGACGCGTTGCGACGCATCCAGTGCTTTGTGTGTAGTCACACGTGATGTCGGACTTCAATTTTTGCCGCCCTCCCAACACGGACCCCCCAATAGAAAGCAGACGTCAGACAAGGATATCCGGAGCGTTCCCGCGGAGGTTTGAAGGAATTGTCTCGTCTGCCCACGGGAGACTAAGGAACCGTGTAAGAGCGGCAATCCCGGCGGGGCGTGAGAGGCGCAGTCACATGACTCGTGCGCACGCGTGAACTCGGTCCGGCTAGCCGTCGCACTGGCTTGCTGCTGCCACCTGCGATGTTCGTTCAAAATGAAGGTCTGGTCCAGCCGTTAGCGGGTCGGTGGGCCTGAATGCTAGCTTCACTAACTTCACTATCACTCGTGGTGCTTCTGCTTCATTTTTTCAGCTTACCTACAGTTAGACTGCCTTCGGGCCGCTTTAGATGGTTTGCCGCAGCATCGAACTTGAAGATGTGGTCAGGCCGGTCCAACCTATGGTGCTGCGCTGCTTTGTTGGTGAGTTGGGTAGTTAAGTCTTATCATGTCCGTACAGAGCAGCTTAGCGTGTTTTCTTTCGGGGCCCAGTATTTTTGCCCAAGAATGTGATGTCGCGAATTCATAGCAACTGCTTTGTAACAGTGGGTAGAAGCAAGATGAGAGTATTTTGAATAGATGTTATCTTACGGTGAGCTTGCATGTCCAGCTTTCCAGAAATCAACGAAATATTGTGTCAATGACCCGGGTAATCGTTCCATCTCTCACTGACAGGACGAATTAGCCCATGATCACGTCGTCCTTTTTCAAAGACATGCGACTCTCTACTTTAAGAGCTTCCGCGTCCCATGAGAGATAGCTCGGAAGATTTCTCGTCGGTTTCTTCTGTTTCAACGCTTCCGACCCGCTAAATGTGCTTGAGATGGTGCGTGAAGCAGGTCATGTCTGTCTCAAGCTCATGATAGCGATCCAGAACGGCGGAGAGAAGAGCCTTCGAGTTGTAGTACCCCGTGGGGCTGCATGACCACACATATCATGCCTGTTGTCGCTTCCGACGTGTTCTTCCGCCGATAAAATCCAGAAGGACTCAACGGCAGGCTAGATGCAGCAAGACCAGCTCACGGTGAGGCTCTGACCAGCACAACGTGACCCTGACATATCGGCTTGCGAAGGAAGCATGGAACGCGAAAAGACAGACTGGAACTTCGGTCCGAGTTGCGACCATGCATGCCCGCTTCATCAGGCTCCTCCAAGTTTCTAGACTTCGCTCACATGGGAGATCGCGACACCAACGTCTGTTCAGCACTGATGCCCCAACGATCAATAGCTACTCGCACCCTTCGGTCCGAGTGGAGCTGTTGGATGCCACGTTCAGCTGAGATCGACAGGTCACTGTCTCGCTTCTAATGGTGCACGTTTGCCGTCTCCTTCTGATGCATATCGAAAATATGCGGACCCACTGCTACCCCAAAAGTGTCGCGAGATTCATGTGACACTGTATATCATACATACTGCTTGTCCTCTTATCTCATGCATAACTGAAGCCCGCCAATATGGAGATCTCGACTGAGAGAGGATGTTTACGTGCGTCCTCTCTAGGAACCCGGAAAATATGCAAGCAGCCTACAGATACATATCGTTGATCAGTGCAATGCTTCTCAGCGGGACTTTCTAACCATGACATCGCCGAACGCTATTATTGGGCCTTTCTTAGCTTGCAGCCGGCTTTATGTTCATAGATCTGATTTTAACCCCGCAGTGCGGGGAAGCTTTCCCCGAGCGATCCAGAATCACATCAGTTGCCTGGTCGAGAGCAAGGTACTGCAGTCCACAACGCTAGTCGGACCGGAATACCGAGCTCGATCTCTGTGAGATCGACAACTTATGCAGAACGATGGCAGGGACTGGACTCGTCATTACGGTGCATGACCCCAAAAATTGCCAAATGGCAGAGAGGAACTGCGGTAGCTGCTGGATATTCTTCCTTCCGTCTTCGACCCTGTCTTCGCAATTCGGACCGGACACTCACTTTCAGTCAGCTTGCACGTCGAAGAACGTCTCTGTAGATGTTGTTGAATCCGCGAAATTGGAAAGTCGGCATCATGACCACCATTGTGGCTGAAGAGAAGGTGGCCGTCAATGCGGCACCCGGGCCGGATTCCTTGCGGGGGTTCGCGTGATCTTATCACTGAGGGCTGCTTGTCGCCACAGCCACCGCGCTCATCACCAGTCAGAAAATATTAATTCCTGACAGCCATGGACAGCTATAAGAGGCCTCCGACGTGTCCCTCCCACACTCCCCAGCTCCCACCAGCTCCAGCGAAGAACACCACCAGCACCACTGGGGCACATCGGCACCTGACGTAACTTCCTGGCAACAGCTCGGGCCCGCAAAGCATATTACTTGGGTAATTCAATCTTGCCGATCGCGCCGCGGCCCTCAATACAGAATTGCTGCTTCGCGTCTTCCTCGCCTGCTCGCTATACTTATAAAGATCACCTCGATCGGAATCCGCACTACTTCCCCGCACGACTCTTTTCGGCACCTCTACTCAACTTGCCACCACCATGCACGTCGTCGACGCCCGCGCTTTCGATGCTGTCTCGGACGCTGTTGATCAGGGTGTGTCCATCGTGTAGCGTTTTCGGTGTAAGTCATGAAGTGACCTTTGTTCTGCTAGTGAACAAGATCAAAGGTGCCAAGGCCGCTGCGGCCTGGGATGAGTCGTCCAAGTTCGACACAGAGAAGGACAAGTCCGCCTTCCGCCAGTACGAGGCGGCTTGCGAGCGTGTCAAGAATTTCTACCGAGAGCAGCATGGTGCGTCCTCCCGTCCAATCCCTTCTGCTGGTCGTTGACACTGCCGTAGAAAAACAGACCGTGGCATACAACATCCAGGTCCGACAGAACTTCAAGAAAACCGTGCGTGCACGGATGGGTAAACAGTCGCCTTACGTTATCTGTCATGCTGTGCTGATGGTTTGTTGCCCTCAGGCATCTGGGAGGCGATGGAGACGCTCGACAAGCTCGTCGATGACTCCGACCCAGACGTCAGTCGTATTCGCAGGACGCAGTTAGTTGACTCCTCCTGACAAAATTCCGATGCGTGCAGACGAGCGTCACACAAATTGAGCATCTCCTGCAAACTGCCGAGGCAATCCGGCGGGATGGAAAGCCCGAATGGATGCAGGTGAGGTGTCTCACCGGACTCATGGTATGGGGATTTACTAAATTCTGCATAGGCTGCAGGACTAGTGCACGATCTGGGCAAGCTGCTCTTCTTCTTCGATGCGCAGTATGTTCAAGTATTTCAATCCGGTGATTCCCCTTACTGACGAGAAGTCCTTCTATTACAGAGGCCAATGGGACGTCGTCGGCGTACGCCTCCGATACATGGATGTATTTGGCCATTTGCTGACATTGCACTTCACAGGACACCTTCGTCGTCGGATGCAAGTATTCCGACAAGATCATCTACCACGAGACGTTCGCTGGGAACCCCGACAGCAAGGACTCCATCTACTCATCCGAGTATGGCGTGTACGCACCGCATTGCGGGCTCGAAAACGTCATGCTGTCTTGGGGGCATGATGAGGTGCGTCTATGCGCTCTCACGCTTGCAACCTGGACTCTGACAGACCGTGTCTATTCAGTATCTGTACCACGTGCTGAAGAACCAGAGCAGCCTCCCGGTTGACGCGCTCTATATGATACGTTACCACAGCTTCTACCCGTGCGTTCGGTTTGAAATTGCTTTCTGTTCCGTGAAATGCCGACCGTCAATTAATGCAGGTGGCACCGCGAGGGCGCGTATTCCCACCTCACGAACGCGGACGACGAGCGCGCGCTTGTTGCAGTGAAGGCGTTCAATCCATATGATCTCTACAGCAAGAGCGATGACCCGGTTGACCCTGTGAAGCTCAAGCCGTATTATGAGGAGCTGATCGCAAAGTTCTTCCCTGAGGTCATTGAGTGGTGAAGTGGTAACCGATTTCGTATATGGAATAAAAAGTTACTTTGGACTTTCTTTGCTCCTTTGCTCCGTCTTGTTTCTATGTCTGTACGCTATTTCTCGCACCCGTGACATTATTTCGCGCGCATCTGCACAATTAGATTATATGTGGATATATCCTCGTCTGCTCGGAGAATATAATATCGTCGACTGATCAATGCATTCAACATTGCAAAAACATAGTCAACAGTCATCGGTGAATATTTGAATACTCGCGCAACGTTCCAGAGAACATGGGCAAAATGCGGACCGAATAGCGTGAGACAACGCGGCTTTTCAGCCGTTCTTTCACACCTGCCAAATCCGGTCGAAAGTGCATGTGGCGTCGAAATCTTGTTAGAGTCTTCTCATGACTCGGCTTGAAATCCTTACACCTAAAAAAATCATAGACGGCACTGCTCCCAAATAGACCTCTCTGACTCGAGGCATCTAATAGCAAAACGTGGCTCTGCTCTGTCCACTCCGATTACGACTTTTCTCCTCTGTAAGTCTACGTGTACTATACCGGCCACCACACGCACGCTACCTCCCCTTGACACACACCCTTCGCAAACTATCTACCATGAGCTCGCCGTTCTCGCTGCCTGCCAACCTACCGAGCCTGCCTAGAATAGAGGGCACGGATCCTGAACGCTGCGTGCTCGATGCGTTCCGCGCGGCGATCGCGCAATTGGTGGCGGGTGCGCTGCCGCCGCTGACGGTCGAGCAGGTTTATGCTGGGGTGGATTATGGGAAGAAGGGGGTGGATTTTACGGTTGCGATACCGCGGTTTAGGTTGCCGGGGAAGGTGGACGAGCTTGCGAAGCGCGTTTTGGATAAGGTGAGTTGTCGTTGCGGTTGATGGGAGTCGGGTAGAGTCTGTAAGTGTGGATGGGAACTAGCAGTGCCATTGAGTGGGAAGGATCACGAGCCGGTGGAGAATAGTTGGGATTGTTCACAAATGCAGGATTTGTTGATCGTGCTTGTTGTGTGCGAGTGCAGAAGTACTGGAGCATTTACGAGCTCATGCTCCTTGCATTCCTGGATACTTTTTATTTCAAGATCTTAATCCTTTCGATCCTCATGCAACGTGTTCGTGATAGATGATGCCGTAGTTTTGCGGGTTCTGCATTACATCGGTTAGAGTTTCAGTTTTGAAAACGTTCCCTCTTCCCTTTCCATTTCTTTACAATTACTCGATTTACTAACAAAGTATGATTCTCATCTAGTTCCAACCAAACGAGTGGATCGAAAACGTCGTCTACGACAGGGCATTCCTACACTTCACACTCCGCACGTCCACGCTTAACCGACTCGTGCTAGACCAAGTGCATGCCCTCACGTATGCTACGACATCCGGCCAACCAGAGTACGGCACAAACACGTCTGGAGCGGGCAAGCGCGTCGTTATCGAGTATTCTTCTCCCAACATCGCGAAGCAGTTCCATGTCGGACACTTGCGGAGCACGATCATCGGTGCCTTCCTCGCGAATCTGTACAAGGCGTGCGGATGGGAAGTCGTCTCTATGAACTACCTAGGTGACTGGGGAACGCAGGTGCGTCAAAGCCGACAGTAAGGTCATACCTCGTCTTCGACGTTGACTCGTTCCTATTAAGTTCGGTCTGATCGCTGTTGGCTTTGGCAAATACGGCTCCCGAGAAGAGCTAGAAAAAGACGCCATCCGGCATCTCTTTGAAGTCTACGTCAAGATCAACGCCGACGCGGAAAAGGATCCAAACGTCAAGGTTGAGGCAGCGGCGTTCTTCAAGCGAATGGAGGACGGTGACGAGACGGCGCTCGCGGACTGGCGGATATGGCGCGAGCTGTCGGTCCGCAAATACGCGGAGGAGTATGCGCGACTGAACGTCCACTTTGACGTGTACACCGGCGAGAGCATGGTCGGGAAGGCGAGCCAGGCCTTGGCGCTCAAGGTGCTCGGGGAGAAAGGCCTGATTGATGATGAAGAGGGCGCGAAGTGGGTGAACCTGGAGAAGTACAAGCTCGGGAAGGCGGTGCTACGGAAGAAAGGTGCGTTCCGCTCATTTTCCATGGGACGATGAGGATGTCGACGTGTGATTCGCACAGATGGGACGTCGATCTACCTCACGCGTGATATCGGCGGTGCAATCGAGCGGTACGAGAAGTACAAGTTCGATAAGATGATCTACGTCATCTCCTCGCAGCAGGATCTGCACGTCGCGCAGTTCTTCAAGGTGCTGGATCTGATGGGCTTCGAGTGGGCGAACCGCCTCCAGCACGTCAACTACGGGCTCGTGCTGGGCATGAGCACGCGGCGAGGGACGGTCGTCTTCCTCGACCAGATTATTCGTGAGGCGGGCGTGGTGATGCACGAGCAGATGAAGAAGAACGAGGAGAAGTACAAGAACGTCGAGGACCCAGAGGCAGTGGCGCAGGAGATTGGCATCACGGGCGTCAAGATCCAGGACATGGCTGCGAAGCGGTAAGTGTCTCGGTCTCACAACGAAGCCAAGCGTGACTCAATCCAATCGTATCCCGCAGAATCAACAACTACACATTCAACTGGGATCGAATGCTCTCCTTCGAGGGCGACACCGGCCCGTACCTGCAATACGCACACGTCCGCATCTCCTCCATCTCCCGCAAAAACCCCGAGCTCCTCCCCCTACCGCCCCCCGCACAGATCGACACCGGCCTGCTCACGGAGCCGGCGACGCGGGAGATCATCTTCCTGCTCGGGTCGTACCCCGACGTGGTGAAGACCGCGCTGCGCACGCACGAGCCGAGCGGCGTGGTCACGTTCGCGTTCCGCCTCAGCCACGCGATTTCGAGCGCGTGGGAGACGGTCGTCGTGAAGGGCGAGGCGGACGTGGCGAAGGCGCGGGCGCGCATGTGGATGTACCTGTGCACGCGGGACGTGCTTGGTGCGGCGATGCGCTTGTTGACTTTGAAGCCGTTGGAGCGGATGTAGACTAGAATGTAGCTGTTAGTGGTATCTCTTGTTTTGCGTTGTCTGGCATCGATACTAGTGCAATGACTGCAATAGTAAGGGGGGCTCACGAAGTTTGAACTGTGGCGCGAAAGAGTTATTTGCTACCAATGGAGCGATCACGTGATCCCCTTGAACCCTCCTGCAGTGACCTCCTCTGCTTTCGTCTCTACCTGCATCGCAATCACCATGGCTGACAACCTTCCTACGCTCCCATCCCCTCCGTCCGAGAAGGAGGCCATGTTCTACTACTCCGGCCTGCCCTCTGGCCCCCGCTTGGTCGCTCGCACTGGCACCACTCCCTGGAAGGAGCCCACTGGCCCCGAGGCGTACCGCAAGCTCAAGGAGCTTGGCCCCGTCGGCAATCACCCACTCTGTGAGGTCTGGGGGGACGGCCTGGCTCTCAAGGTCCACGACCTTCTGGACACGATGAAGGTCAAGTGGACTAGCATCGACGTCGTCCGCATCAAGGACGTTGAAGAGTCTTTCGCCCCTGTCATCCTCTGGATCGGCGTGCTGCCTGCATCTCTCTCTGGCGAGGACGGCGTCGTCGTGGCCTCCAAGTGCCGTGAGCTTCTTGTAGAATCCGGCATCACCGACGTCGACGTAGAGATCCGCGAGTCGGTCGTTACCCGCTGGGCCGCTCCCAAGTTCCCCACGTCCACCTACTCTTTCGACTCCACCGTAGACGTCCGCGAACCTCTTACCACTACGCTCGGTCTCCCCATCTGTGCTCAGTCTACGCCTTGCGCTGACGGTACCGGCGGCTTCTTCATTGCCGAGGGCGTGAATACGAAGAGGCTCCTCCTCGTCACTGCTCGCCACGTCATCTTCCCGCCCGACAAAAACGAAAACAAGCACTTTGAGCATAAGAATGACAGCCAGCCCCGTCATAACGTCACGCTCTTCGGCGATGCGGCGTTCAACAAGTACCTCGAATCTATCAAGGCCGAGATTGGAGGCAAGGTAGCAGACAAGGTGCGTCAGTAGGCCCAGGCCGAGTTGGGCGAGGCGAAGAAGGCGATGGAAGAACTCAACACCTTCTATAAGGACGTTTCGACTCACTGGGCCACCCCGGAGAGCCGCGTTCTGGGCCACGTCATCCTCTCTCCTCCCATCAACGTCGGCATCGACAGCAGCGGCGAGGGTTATACCGAGGACTGGGCCGTCATCGAGATTGACGCCTCCAAGGTCGACGCGAGCAATTTCGACGGCAATGCCATCGACCTCGGTACCCGCATCCCAGTCTACGAGTTCGCTCGTATGATGCACCCCAATCCTCGGAATGCCCCTTCCTTCGAGTATCCGGGCGACCGTCTTCTGAGGCTCAAGGGAACCATTCCGGACGAGGAGATGCGTCATCCCACCGCACTCGATCAGAACGACGAACCGTGCCTTGTGGTGATCAAGCGCGGTATCACCACCGGCCTGACCGTCGGCCATGCCAACAACATCTGTTCCTACGCCCGTAACTACGACAATGACAACGCCAAGATCTCTAAAGAGTGGGCCATCCTCCCGCAAGACTGCAAGTCCGGCGCCTTCGCGGACAAGGGTGACTCGGGTTCTGTCATCGTCGACGCCCTCGGACGCATCGGCGGCCTTCTCACCAGCGGTGCTGGCGCCACGCCTTCTGCGGACGTCACCTACGCCACGCCCATCAGCTTCCTCCTGAAGCGCATGCAAGACAACGCACTCCATATTGACGCCGTATAAGGTTACTTCAAGCTCTTCGGCCCTCTGTGCTTCGTAATGAAACGAAGAAAGTGGCCAATCGCTACCGCTCGCTCACTTTGATTCACTACAGCCATGAGACTAATGCGAGCGCTGATGACATGTCCGATAATTTCAAGTCGAAGCTGTCATGCATGTCAATTCTCTGATTGTACCTCGCTGGGAGTGCTTGACGCTTGCCACCTGATTCAGGTCGGTTGTTAATATGCAGCAGTGTCAGCAGGGCGTACTTACGGAAACTTGAATATCACGGCGCTCTCCCACTAGTCTTGGTAATTACGTGGACGTTGTAAGAGCGTGCTGCGCAGTCAGCTGCCAGATTGCTTAGGACTCGAGAAGCGCCGCGTGGCCGCGGCTGGGTCCCTTGCTCGAGGTATGTTCATTGGTTGTCACGGGCAACGTGCAGGATTTATTATGGGACGTAGCACAGTTGGTGGAGTTGACGCTGCGGCGTCAATTTGAGATAACAGTACAGGAGCGGTAGTGGGATAAATGTTGAAGCTATTAGTACAGGGTACATTAGAGGACATTACATTGGGCGGGTACGTGAACAATGCCAGTGTTGCGTGGGTGTTCATTCAATCTTTGATCCCATACATTGCGGAGGGGCCAATCAGGGCAGTCGTGCAGTTCGCACTGCAACGTGCATCTGACAACCTCCAGGCGATGTAGGCATCGTCGTCTGCAGGGAGTGCATTACGTTCATCAAATGTGAGACGGAGGCAGGCACGGTCCTCGAAGGTGCGTTGTTTCCTGCAGCAGAGGAGCGGGTGGCATCGAGGGGTGGGCTCCCAAGCAGCGGGACTTGGTGCGAATGCGTAACCTCGTATGGCGTATTTCATTATGACGGTATGTTCTAGCTTCCAGAATCGTCTCGTGTTGTACAATCCCCGGTGCTTGAAGAGGAGGGCGGGGTTTGCGGAAACGAGACTGTCCGCGCTGACGACGTTCATTAACAGGTCGGTCCAGAAGAAGCAGATGGGCCACAGGGGGGGTGGGGTTCGGCTGCATATAAGGTCGATTTGTCGGTGTGGGGTGTTAATGCGTGCGATGCATTCAATTGCCTGATTCATCCACGGGTATCGATCGGGATCGGGAGGATGTTCGGAACGGTAGTGGATGGTTTGGAGATGGTTTCCATCGAGGCTGAGGATGAAATCAAGCATTTTGTCCTGCGGAAGACCATACAAATGGCAGACCTTTGACGTCAAGAGAACGGCTGGCGATGGCCAGTAAAAGGACTAAACGTAAAGGACGGAAGGAGAAGGGAGGTTTGCCAGATGAAGTCAAAATAGCGTTAGGAATGAAAGTCATGGTTACCGTCAACGTGCAGACAGAGCTTGATGTCACAAACGGCGCGAGAGGCGAGATTGTTGACATCATCCTGCATCCAGATGAACCACCGATACCGAACTCGTCGGTGGTGAGATTGCAAAGACCGCTGGCGTTCGTTTTAGTAAAGCTCGGGAGGACGCGCATGTCAAGTCTTGAAGGCTTACAAGATGGCGTAATTCCAATCGAACCGATGTCAAAAACCGTTCACATCGACGTGCCAGTCCAAACACGAAATGGTAGAAAGATCCTACGCAAAAAGGTTAACCGCCGACAGATTCCGATGACGGCGGCGTATGCGTTCACGGACTACCGTTCTCAAGGACAGACGATCACGTACGTTATCGTAGACATAACCACGCCACCTGGAGGAAGGATGTCACTATTCAACCTTTACGTCGCTCTCTCGCGCAGTTCAGGACGTGAAACGATACGCATCCTGCGCGACTTCGACGAGATGACATTCTTTCAGCCTATCGATGAGATGTTGATGAAGGAGGACGGACGGCAGGAGGAGCTGAACGTGAAAACGAAAGGCTGGTGGGAACAGATGGAAAATGGAATGAATGACAATGGTGGAAACTGATGTACGTGAAAACGAAAGGCTGGTGGGAACAGATGGAAAATGGAATGAACGACAACGGTGGAAACTGATGTACGAGTTGTGGTTTTCGGGAAGAAAGGCAAGCTAACAAAAGCGAAAGGTATGTGTAATCGCAGGGAATGAGACATCACCAACGGCGCCGAGGCACAATGTGCGGAAGGAGATAAGGCATGAGTCGGGAGACATTGAGGAAGCAGCAGTGCGAAAGATGCAGTTAAAAGAGCAGTAACCGGGCACGTTGTCAGAGACAACAAGACGTAATAAATGGTAGAATCCGGATGAGACAGCAGCTACATATACAGTATACAGCAAGAAGTAAGCGACGAGAGCGAAGGCGACGCCACCGTAGGCGAACAGAGACCTGAGAGTAGACAAACATGTCCTCCGGGTTCCAGGGTCGGATCCACGCTTAGACACGCTATCCATCTCGAAGGGTCCAGTTGATATAAATAAATGAGGTATGCAAACAGAGCACCGGTAAAAAGAATGAGACATCACCGACGGCGCATGTCGAATGAGGCACAACGCCGTGGAGGGAGGTGAGGCATGAATGCATGACTCGGAAGGTGTTAAGGAACCAGCACTGCGAAAGATGCCGTTGACAGAGCAGTAATGGGGCACGTCGTTAGAGACAGCACGAACGTAATAGACGGTAAAATCCGGACGAGACAGCAGCTTAGTACAGGCTAGCTACAGACAGCAGGAGGTAAGCAGGGAGTGCAGAGGCGACGTCATCGTAGTCACGTGAATGTTCCCACCCCTGCACGATTTTTGTCCACGGCCGTGGAGAATGCAGCCTTGCTCTGGCGAGCAAGGGACACAATGTACAGTATCTCAAATTCAGAAAACTGTTTACGCTGGGATGCGGCAGATTGCCAGCAGAAGTAGCCGAATTATAATGGTTTCACATCTGACACTCATATATAGAGTTTCCTGCCCTATCCATCCGATCATTTGGCCAACCATAATTCATGGTCGCCGACAGAATCTACCACCGCTATTGAACACTTAGAAGGGGCCCCGCAGTGGATTCAAATGTGAGACGTATTTACACGGATATCGTGTACACGCTAGCCTACGGAACAAAAGGTTATCATGCTCAAGATTGTAAAGTTTGCGATAGTGACAAGCATGCGCAGTGCAAGGGATACATCAATCAAATGGTACGATCAGCGTCCGCAAAGTGGCTATCTTCGACGGGCCTTCAAAACGCGAGCTTGAGCACTGAGAGGAAGAGAGCAAGGAGCACCACGGCAGCATGCGGTTGATACATCGTGGCTCTGCCGAACAACGGGATGGCCGCGATAGTTGTCTCGTTAACGCAGCTGATGAAGGAGGTGTTAGCCCATGATGGGAGGGGAAGCATTACAGAAGCCGTATTGTTGCTGAACAGATTGGTATTGTTGTAGCCCACAAGCGTCATCGTCGCGGAGCTGCCCCGATAGTACATGATCGCCTGTTCCGGACAAGGCCGGGACGAGGTGGCATTGAACGGAAGAGGGGTCTTCGAAGACGAGGCACTGAGAGAGCAGTTCGCGCTGATTGATGCGATCAGCGAGGCGACGGTGCTGTTATCCGAGAGGATGCAGACGGTTGTGTTTGAATACGCGTCCGTAAAATTGGCTGATGCTTCTGGACCGCCAGGACGAGTGGCATTCTCAGGCATGCCATACTGCACGGGTGGGTCAGACATGTATTTTACGCGTGAGCTGTGATCAGAAGAAGCGGTGCCCACCTCTGTTGGGTGTAGGAAGAGAGGTCCATAGCCTGGATATGTTGCCAGGAGAAGGGTCTGTACCCATAGGGGAAGTCGACGTCAGTTACGCCGACAGCGGTCGCACTTCGACCCGGTATGCCGCTCCCGTACTCGCTGTCCGATATCTCGTAAGACACGATTGTACGCGCAGCTACCATATATCACTCACAAATTGCCTGCCACACCCGCACGCGTCCCCCCGCCTGATTTTCGGCCAACGTACGGTTCACCTTCAGGGATTGTTATCACCTTCCCCCCTCCGGGTCCATACGCATATGCCTTCGTCCGGCCTTGCGTCTCGCCAGGAACGTCGACCTCCTTGACATGGTCCGAATATTTGTCGCTGACGGACTTGTCGCCATCGGAACTTGTGTCATGGCCATGCGAGCCCTCGTCTCCGCCGGCATGGCCGCCACCATGACCGTGACCGCCACCACCCTTCCGCCGCTCGATCTGCGCCACAGGACCCGTGCCCCCGACCTCGATATCCTGTCCGCAGGAATATCGAAGGGCGCACACAGCAGGCATGTCGCTCGTGAGGATGGCAGGAAAGAAATAGAGAAGATGGGAAAAGGCGTGAGGAGATGAAGTTTGGTGGACGGAAGGGAGGGTTTTATACCGACAGAAGTCTGCTTTATGTGCCACTGTATTATCATTTATCAGCAGTGAGACGGAACGAGTTGCGGCTACATAATACAAAGGCGGTGCAGCGTTGGTGGTTGGAATGGTGGCACGGGCGTGGGGCCACAGAGGCTTCACGGACCGTCATAAACGTATCCACGGGCGTGTAAATTGTGCACGGCATATACGGTCACGCTAGGGGCCCTACCACATCACCGTCTTTGGTGCAAAGGTGGCGGCCTGTGCGCCATGGTTGTTGCTGCAACGAATGTGGTGGAGATGGAGGGCCCGATCTCCACCATGGACGCGATGCTGTCTGGCCTACGCGATGTTAAGCATGCACCCCTATCATCGCTGCTGGTATGGCCACGAATATCTGAGACGCAAAATGGTCAGAGAATGAAACACTGGCGCTCTTGATGAGACGAAACAAATGTAGTCGGGACTCGCGGGAAACGGTTTACCTACACTCAGCAATATTATGGCTGCGTAAACTGCACATCGCCACTGCAGGATGCTATACGGGATTGAACAGACGTAGAACGACTACATACAGATCATTGGAAGCTTTCTCGTTAATGTTTGAGGCTGCGTACACAGCAATGCCTTGCAGAGGCTCCTAGAAGGTCAACCAGCCTCTAGTTCGTCTATTCATGCAGATGCCAGGACCAGATCAATGCCATTAGGGCGGCGAATTGTGGCGCAGCTGAATTATCGCAGACTCGAGTCCAGCAATAGTAGCTATAGCTATGCGGGACGATGCATGGACAGCATTCAATGTAAGAGCAGAGAAGAGCAGTCCCAGCCGCATGCGGCTTGACATAGCCAAGCTCCTGTGGACTCTGATCTAAGTGTCTGAGATCAAGAATATCGTAGTTAGCAACGGGAAAGACATTTACTTACTTTTAGCTCGGCTCGACACAGCGACTCGATATGCGAGTTGAGCTGAGTTTACCAGTTGGCCTCGGCTCGTCGCCCACACTACGCGGAACACACCGTTATATGACTGATACATAACTAGAGACGTGAGTTCAGCATCGAGATGGCACTCGCAGTCTATCGTAACACACGACGTTCGGCCGATAGTGAAGGCCACAACCAGCTGGGCGTGGGACGACTATAAGATTACAATGCAAGGAACACCGCTCGCTGGTCCACGTGAATAATGGCACTTGATTGGTTTAGATGCATTCAGGACAGAGAGCCGTCACATTCAGCACCTCGGGCCATCTGCACGCCGTCGGATATACGAACTGCTCTGGAGGGTCTGCGTACGGGATGCCTTTGAAGCGCAACGATAGTCAATCTCGACGCTTGCGATATTTGCAGGGTCACCTCCGAGATGGTTAAGCAGGCTTGGTACCAACCACCGCGAGGTCGTTGGCATCGACAATCAGAGAGTTACTGCATGACGCGGATGCACCCCAGACTGTCTATTGTCTGAAAAGTGCTGCTCGCAGACTTTCTTTGACAAGGTCAGCGGCCATCATTCGCGCAGCGTGGCCGAAGGTAGGTCGAATGTTGAATTGTTATCGAAGGGTGAATAGACTGACTTCGAGTTGAAGGGACTCACGACAACCGTCACATTCCAGAAATATGCCAACCGACACATCCGGAAAGGTGCCAAGGAATCCCGAATGTCGAGTGGGCAAATGCAATGCCAGAAATCCGAAGGTTAATGTACACAGCCTTGTCAACCGTCGCTCATCCTACCTCACATGAGTGCTCGCACTAGCAGGCGAACTCGCTGTCATCAGCTCAGCCATCTTGTTCCTCAGCCACCCAACTCCGTGGCCCTCGGTATGGTGCTCTTCCGTCCGAGTAGCTCCTTTCGCCCACCAACTTCGGAAGCTCGCCCCGAAGGATACGAGTAATGGGCTGAGGAATACACTCGCTAGCCCTCTGTTGAAATATATCAGTCACAAGGCAGCCTTTGGAAGTATTGTCTGTTCGTACGGTGCAAAGACTCGATACGCACCTCAATGCGCCCTGGAGGAGCGGACTGATCACTTGGTCCCTCAACGTAATCCACATCACCCTTCCCCACCGTACCCTAATATCTTCATGCAACATCACCCGTGTCTCGTGCTTCTCCGCGCCCTTCTCTCCGCTTGCAGTCGCCACCGCTGCAATATCCTCCGCAATTTGCCGCTCAATATGAACGTAGGGCTTAATACTCCGCAGAAAGCTCTGTTCAAAACGGAAGTCGGGAATGGCAGGTGCGCGCCGCTTCTTTGGCGGAGGGGAATGAGACCGTTGCTCGAATTCCTCGAGAGGTTTGCCCGACTTGAGATGTTCGTTGAATGAGTGCACCCATTCGACGTTGCGATCCGTACTATCGCTGACAGAATTTGACGAGGCCATCATGAACAGTGCGCGGAGCAGATATCTCAAAAACAATATAGGCAGCCAGCTTGTGCACTAGGAATTGGAGGTGTAAGAGTATGGGTGTGAGCGCCCGCAGCCTGATAATGTTACCAATTTGGGAGTTACACGTGACCGCGATACCAATAACTTAACTTAAATCCCCTTTTGTCTTCCAAAATGATAGGATGTCACAGCAAGGGAAAGGTTCACAAATTGTCGCGTTTCTCGCAGCGGTAGTCAGTGCTTTCAAGTTTGCGGTGAGCAGCAATCGGCATTTGCGATGCATGACATCCAGTGAAAAATTGTACTATGTATCCAGCCAGTGTCCATATAGTCTCGAAGAAAAGGCTCATCTCAATACTGCAGCACTCAGTATTTAGCCCCACTAGCAGTGCGCAGCTAGTATACAAATGATTGAGCGGATGTAGCCACAGTTCCGATGATGATTCCGGTCACAGTCTCGACAAAAACCCCATATAGCACGCTCATACAGTCCTTAGCTCGATAGAGAACACCAAATTGATTCTTCTATCCACGCGGCACGGCCTCAACCCAGTCATTTACCCACATGTATCTCGAGAACGTGACGTACAGCCACCTGAACCACACTAGTTGCGAGCGATGCTGGCGCATCGCACGGAGTGCCGTCGCATACTCTGCCGCGCCGGAGATGAACACCACCCTCGAGGGGCCAGCATCGTGCTGCCCCGTCGTGACTGTGTTATGCTCGGAGTTGGATAATAACATTCCATTCAGCGCGCGCTGCAGAGGGACGAGCAGCAGGGAGAGTGGGCCTGTGTATTTGCTGAGCAGGGGCATGGACACGAGGGCGAACAGCCGTGGTATGGATGGGAGTGCGGAGCCGTTGGTGGGAGAAGAGGTGACAGACAGTGAGGATATTAGATGTACTACGCCCCGAGGGAGGGAGTAATGGTTGGGGTGTCCTGAAATACCGTAGTCGTCGAATGTGAGGATCTGAATGTATACAATAGACAAGAGGTGGCGGTGAATATTTGATCTAATACACAAAGCATAGAAACGTACGGTAGTGATGTTATTATTGATGACATAGGGCATGATGACATCTGCGATGACTTGATGATCCCACTGAGCAGTGAAATTGTCTTGCAGTGCACTATGAGGTTGGATGGTGCATCAATCATCGCTGAAGAGAGCATAAAGAGAGATGAGAGCGGCAGAAAGTTGAAAGATCCACACATGATTGTGAGACAAAGATTTGGCATAGAGTAGCAACATGGACGCAAGAGAAACGCGACATCGATAGCCCGCCCTACGAGCGGTAGGCATCGCAGGCGAAGTATATCGAGCCGCCTCACGGCCGCATTGTTTAGCTGCCACAACTACCGCCCAGCAGACCTGCACAACTTCGGATCGGAATGTCAGGATACAGCGCGTAGTCAGATGCACTGATTCGTTCGCAACTGCAGAATGTCCCTGCAGAAATAGCAGATGTTTCACAGGCATGGAAGCTGACGGTCCGCCTTCGTAATGCTTCGCTCGAGGTTCACACCAATCATCCGGTTGATACAGTACGTATCACGGAAGACGGTGGTGACTGCTTTTTCCATGACAAACCCTCCGCGAATCATTTAGTATCCGGGGATTCAGACAAAGAGAGCAATTTGAGGATAGGAAACAAACGAAGTTACAGCCTGAAAAATGATGTCTTGTCTCCTGCGTACTATTGGAATCACGACCGCTAATCACGGAATAAGTCGCATTTTTAGACCGTGTTCCCGAGACAACCCTGACACGCCAAGCAAGCGAGAAGATCACGTACGATTTATCTTCCACCCAGCGGTGTCCCTCTTGGATACCAAGAATATCGAGGCTGCGGTCAAGTTCATGCCGCCGAACACTTCCTAGGCCATCTGCATTGCCGATGGACAAGCATAAGGAGTAAACTTCGAGTCTGTCAGTGTCAGTGGGAGGAAGCTTGTTCCCGTGTTCGACGAGAGCCTGCACGGTGGGCGCGAAAAACATGCACTCGTCATCCGGGTGTGCCGTAAGGAGAAGGACGCGCGGGGGCGGCGTGTCCACGCCATCGTCCAAATCAGTTCTCAGTAGCTTCAAAACGTCATCATTGTTCTTGCGCCATGACGGACGTGCGAGCAGTGCGAATAGCAAAGGCAAGAATGCAAGAACGATCAACGACGACAACTGAATGCATGCATCAGCTTGGATGGATAGTCTGGAGCGGAGGCTCGATGTACCATGATAGCCTGAGGGACCACTGGAAAGAAAGTCACACCGATTCCTGCGAGAACAATTGTGATCTTTTCTCCTGCATGAATTGATCCCAACAAAGGTGCGAAATCGGACTTATCCATATTGTCCATCTGATGGGAAAGGAATTTTGGGTTTCTGTTACATATGAGAAACATTATGGATTTCTTTCGACTTTATGACATCCTACATATCGTATTGCGAGTTGATATAGGCAGCTTGACGCAAATTAATGACTAGGAGATACAAAACGGCCCTTTTCTCAAAAAGTATTGTGATTCAACAGGAAAGGCTGAATTATCTAATCCGATTTCAACACCTCCGCAACAAGAACGTCCTTGCCTGTGATACCTATGTAGTTGGCAAGTACATATGGCAACCAGAAGCGTGTCAGAGCCTCGTGCGCGAGGATATCTGATGCGATCGCCAGATTGGTGTCTCGACGACGAGTTACCACCTTTCCAACAAGTGTCCACAATGAGATGACTGCCAGTCTGATGCCGACCGCCAGAACATGGTCAGCGTTCGAAGGTCAAACGTGCAGCACTAACTTTCATCGCGGACACCACGAACCGCTTAGGCTCAAGGTCTAGCGGGTCGGTTGATCGGATGAAACAACGCGGTCGGCGCCCACTAGTACTAGTTATCGTCCAATTGCAATCGCGCCTGGGCCTGAGGGTTGACCTGACCGAAAACAACTGTGGATGCTGTTCATGGACCAATATCAGAGGCCGGTTGTTCCTGGCAAGCTACTACCGTGGACTCCACGGAATATCTCGTGAGCTCGAACTTCTATCGCTTATGATGCCTCAAGAAATCTCTCACTTGCAGACACCTATGCATGACGACCAGCGTCCGAACCAAAATAACTCTGCCCTAGAACAAACTATCACACATTAATCGATGTCACGTAGCGCGCGAGCGCTACCCTCTTTATACTAGCCTGAACCCGGGGGAGCACGAGATCTCACGGGCGTGCGTACAACATCTACTCGCCTGCCCCCTATTGAACTTCCGAGAAGCAGTGCCAGCAGCCCGCCGATGCACGCAATATCCGCCGAGGAACTACCGCTGCAATACAACGGCCTTTAAAGACGAGCCTGGTTCCCAGCTCAGTGCTCCACCCCGTCGCGCTTCTCGGACACCATGGTCGCGCTCAACATCCCGTCCGCCCTGCGCGCGCTGCTCGCCACCGCCATGGCCTCCGCGCTCCAGAGCGGATGGCCGAACGTGTCTTCGGACAACGTGTGGGGCACGGTTGCTGATTGCAGCATCGCCGGGTTCGTACCGCAGTTTCCCGCGGGACAGACACAGCTGGTTGTTCCGACGGACCTGCAGCCGCGGTTCATCGGCCTCGCGTTCGGCGTGCAGAACTACACCTGCAGCTCGACCAACACGTACACGTAAGTCGTCCATCTCTTGGTGATCAAGGTATGACGTTCTGAGGCGCGCTGTAGAAACGTGGGCGCGTATGCAGAGATTCTTGACCTCTCCTGCTACGTGAACGCGAGCTGGTTCAACAACGTGCAGTACCCGGCGTACCAGGCGTGGACGAACGTGTCGCGCGACGTCAGCATTGCAACGGTGATCGACTTTATCCACTTCGTGAACCCGCCGCAGAACCTCGCGCAGCACTACTTCGTCCCTAACCCTACCACCGGTTCCGGACTTTCCCCGAAGTGGGACTTCACGTCTTCCGGCAAGTTCAATGGCAATCCGAATGCGTATGTCATCGGCAAAGTCAACGGAACGCTGCCGTCGCCCGATAACGCGACGGACGACGTGGCCTGGCTCGAGGTGCTGAAGGTCGAGGGAGATATTGCAGATGAGGTGTTCAGGTATGACACTGTGGGCGGACAGCCACCATCTTCCGTACGTACCAAGTCGGATTTTGAGTGCGAGGCTAGTTTTAATCGCAGTCCACAGTGCACGTACGGGAAGAGCGCGAACATTTCCGTGGACTATTCCGCGAAGTACAGTACGTCTCGCAATCCATCAACCTCGGCATCACGCTAACAGATTGGAAACTAGTCTTTTATGGAGGGTCTCTTTCTTAGAGGACAGCCGGTTCATATTGCGCGACTCCCGCTTAGCGGCTACCAGGGCACAACGAGACTTTTGGACCGTACTAACTGTGGACTCGACTGTGCCGATAATGATATTGTAGCACATTGTTGTAAGTTCCGCTATGATAAAGCAAGAGTGATGCCATTCTCTTTACCTGGTCTTTTGCTAAGATCTGGGATATCGCGGGACACGCTCCTTCGGAAGATTGTCCTGACGGTTTGTTCGTGACAACGCGTTATGTCACGCGTCTGTCACATATGATCATCATGTTGTGGAACGCGTTTGGTGCTGTTTGCTGCACCTCTTTCCTTTGACCTCAACGATACCGCCCTCACGCACGCCTGCAATGTCTGAGAACATCTCTCCCCGCGTTAATGCCGCGCGTATGCAATCGTATATCGGCCGCATCGTCCGTCTTATGGGCAGAGTCGTCAGGGCTGGACCCGAGGTGTGATGCCCATCGCACGACGCGTGCACAAAGACTGGGATGTACTCACGTTGCTCTGCATAGATTCCTGGGCAGGAGCCGACGGCGATCCTGGAGGCATCAGACAAGGGCGAGGTCGTCGTGATTCTGAATAGTGTGAGTCTCGATGTCGAGCGACATGGACGATGTCTGACGTGCCGCGGGGCGTGCAGATGAGCGATTCTCCGAGCACGACAATCAATTCTGCGTACGTTGAGATTGTGGGCAGCGTACAGGATGAGCGCACGATTAAGATGATGACGTGCATCAACTTGGGCAACGAACTTGGTGCGTCTGTTGCAATCGACTCCTCGCGACGTCGAGCATGTGCTGAGGTGTGGCGTCAGATATGGACCTTGTGAATGATGTGGTCGAGCTGTGGCATGATCCTCGTTTTGTGAAGATGGTTGGGTTCGCTTAAGTTGCAGGTTCCTCACACATTGTACTCATATACCATTTTTTTGCATCTTCCCCATTTCTATGTGCTGTCGTGTTGTGCAATTTCTCTGTAGGGTCGCTTGATGTAACATTAGAGAATATAACGCGTATCTTCTCGATGACAAGAAAGTAACACATGCCCAAGTCAGGCCAATCTCGATGCCAGCCACTTTCACAGGGGCCCATTAAGTCTTCTCAACAAATTGCTAGGGGTGAAAACGGAGTCGTCTGCGTTCGTGAACACTGACGACTCACTATCAAATTAAAATGCTACAGTTTTATGGTTCGACTATCGATACAGTGGGCATCAGACGGATCGCTGGGATCACAACTGGTCAATACGCTCCTTCTTCGGCCTCACTGTCTTACCCTCCTCGACGTTCTTGAGGACCAAATGCGGCCGCTGGAACAGCTCGGCGCCATAGTGCTCCGCCCGCATCCACGACTCGAGCGTGTGGCCCTTCGGGTTCACCTTCCTGATCCACGCCCAGTCGCGCTTGACGATGTCGTCACGCCAAAGCGCCCACCACGCGCGGAAGTTCTGGCGCCAAGAGGTGGTGCCGTACGGGCGCTCGTTCGCGACGGGACGGTCGGTGCCCTCAAAGTTGTCCAACCACTCGTCGAGGTCCTGGTAGATGACCTCGACCTTCTGCCCAGTCACCCGCTCGAAGGTCTCCGCGAGGTATTCCCACGAGACCCAATCGCTGGCGACCTGCAGGTCAGCGCCGGAGGTGCTCGCGCGGTGGTCGAAGGTGTAGCGCGCCCAGAAGCCGAGGTCGGACAGCGCAATCATTGGGACGTGGCCCTTGCCCACTGGAGTGGCGAAGACCACGGTGCCGTCCTTCCTCCTTTTGAGGGGCCCGAACATGAGCTATTATTCATCAGCAGCGAATCAATATGTGGTAGTTCGTGATATACTCAAATATGCTTACCTGATACAGCATATCCATGTATGGACCGGAGGTGACGACCGTCCAGGATAGATCAGTGTCGCTCACGACAGACGGCTGCGACTTGAGGAAGTCTGCCACCCTTCCCTTACCGTCGTAGTGCTCGCACTTGTACAATGGGTTGTAATTGCCTAGCTGTTTGAAGTCGATACGTGAGCAACTGGCTCAGGGGATTGCATGGGAGCGACTTACCTTAGACGCATAGTCGAGGCTACTCCAGACATAGTGCCGGACACCGGCCTGCTTTGCGAGCTCGTAGATCCTGATGCCGCACCAAACTTCTTTCTCTTCGCCTACAGTGAAGCCATCGGTGTTGATCCAGGCACCATATACGCCTTTCAGAGCAGCGGCTACAGCATCAAAGTCGTCAAAACGGCCTGTTCGGCAGCAATGATCAGTAAATGCAGGATCGCACTAAGTTATTGCTGCCCGAGGTACCTTTAACGCATTCGATGCCTCTAGCTTGCAGGCTCTTGGCTCGTCGGCTGTCCGGATTACGGGTCAGGGCACGGACCGCATATGGGGATGGAGAGCTGTCTTCGCACGGGGCCAGCAGCTTGTTGATCACAGCAAGTCCCTGGGCACCGGTGGCACCGATGACCAGGATGAGCTTCTTGTTCTCGTTAAAGAGAGCGGACATATTAGGACGTGTGAATGAGTTAGAGTGTTATACAATAGAAGATCAGACGTTCAGATATCGTTATGGTGTTTTGTCGGTTCCATCGACAGGCTCCGGGGCATACTTATATATTGATGTGCGATGGAGATGTCTTCGTCATTTATCAAATGCTGGACCTTTCGAGCGAAGAGCGAGATTCGGGCTCGGAATTGCCTGCCCGAGGCTGTGATCTAGGCTAGAGCATCGCACCGGAAGTGCCGCAATCCTAAACATCCCGAAAGCTTGAGCCTGAAATCGAAGTTCGGTGTTCGACATAGAAGGCAGCGGAAGTACCGAAGTAATGAGAAATTTCGTTGCACACGATGCGTCATGCGTGACATGATGCGCCTGTAGGAATGTCGGAATAAGTTACCCCGCCACACGAAGTGAAAAAGCCCGAATCACCTTTCTGGATAGTGTGAGCCATGGCAACGTTCGCTTGTGATCCTAGCCAACCTGGCTAACGCAGCTGCGAGTTCTGGTACACAAGTTCACCCGATTACTGGCGACCGACTGGTGGCCGGGCCAGCCAGCCAAGCGCACGGCACTTTTTCGTCCAAGGAATGCAGTGAATGAATATGTCGTTCGTCGTCCACACACAGGTTTGATGTCAAAACATGATATGGATCGAAGTACGGGTCAGAGTTGGTGGACTACAGCCTTGAGCTGGGTTTGAAATTCATCAATATTGTTGAAGCCATCACGTGCCCAGTAGCCACCGCGCCTTGTTGTGCTCGAGCCGCGTGCAACTCGTTCCTCTCCGGCCACATCTGTCACGCGCATTTACCGCGAAACTCTCCGTAGACGACTTGTACTTGTTGCCAGAAGCTTTGTTCCACTGACAGCTTTATATCGCAATTCCTCTGCGCATTTTTCGCTGACCTATACCCCGGGCGTCCCGACATGGCACGTTTCAGAGCAGTTGTCGATTACTCGGCATCCGATTCTGAAGAGGAGCAGCAAGTGGCCGCGAACCTTCAGCCAGAGCCTGAAGAAGCCTCACCCGCAGATGACCTCAACGCGGTCGCCGTCAGGAAAGGGAAAGAGAAAGCATCGGCGCCCGTAGGTGAAAGGGAGGAAGGCCGAGCGAAGGAGGCTGAGATGCAGGTGGAGCATCAGAGGGTCCGTAAAGAACATGACAAGCATCGCAAGCGTGACAAGGGGAAGGGCAAGGCTGGCTCGTCGAGGCAGTCACCCCCATCAACTCACAAGCCGCATCGCAATGCCACCGTAATTTCCTATGCTGACGAGACCGGCTCAAGACCGCCGAAGGTGTCGGTGATGCAGACATCCCTCTTCCGCGCACCGGAAGAGGACTCTATGCTGTCTGAATACTCAGCGTTATCGGACGAGGCGACGTCTCCTGCGCGAATTGGGAAACACGGCAGGGATATAGACGGTGAAGGCCAGCATGAGGAGCCACGGAAGGTACGTTATGTCCTGCAATTATATGGCCAGTTTGTCATTGGCACTCCACATAGAGAGTCTCCTTTGATGAAGAACTTCACCTCTTACCTCGCCAGCCATCAAGAAAATATGCTCGTGTCGAGGGCTCTGCTTCTGCAGTATATGGTAATGAGAGTGAACTCATTGATGCTGGATTGTCTCTTGGACGCTCGTTTCGTGTTGGCTGGGGACCTGGAGGAGTGCTTGTATATTCGGGCGCTCTCTGTGGTCCAACTACCAAAGTGTGAGTGCCCCTGCGTGTCTGCTCAGGCATGCGACTCAGCTGCTTTTCAGAAACACGACCGCCAATACATCCACCGTGCAAAAGTGCGTCGTGCCTCTGGTGTCCAGCGCCACAGCCGAGGCGGCCGAGCGGGCGTCAAAACTGCTTTCCCATCATCTCAAATTCACGCCTATCGAGTCAGACACAAATGGCCTACCATGTGCAAGACCTTCAAGCGTTTTGACGTTCGCATCCTTCGCTGCGCAGTTTCCATCGACGGACCGCTCGTTCGAAGCCAGCCTTTTCCGCCTAGGTCACGCGCTCTTCGATCCATTAGACCTGCATCTAGCCGAGTCTGTACCCGTTGATGTCGGCAAGCGCGTGGAGATTTTAAAGCGCAAAGCTGCGCTGGCCGACTGGCTGCAGAAGTATATATCAACTTCCATCAATGCGGCCATTCGTAACAGTCCCGGGGCGGACTGGGCGGCGAGTGTGTTCACTCTACTGTCCGGAAACCAGGTCGAGAGAGCTTGCGAGATGGCGATGGACACTGGCAACGTCAAAGTCGCCTCGCTGATTGCAGAATGCCCCGGGGATGCAACGTTCAGGTCAGACTTGCGTGCGGAGTTGGATGTGTGGCGCGAAGCTCGCACTGACGCTCATATGAGCGAGAACACGCGCAAGATTTACGCGATTCTCGCCGGTATTGTAGACAAGTTGGAAGGTTCGAAGGGCACCGGCATCGAAAGGTGCCCCGATATCCAGATTGCGAAGGATCTCAGTTGGAAGCAAACGTTTGGGCTTCATCTTTGGTTTGGACAGCCGGTGGAGTCACCAGTAGCCTCGGCGCTGGAATCGTACGACGCTCACTGGAAGGTGGCATCTTCAGGCGCTGCTCCACCCATGCCATGGTATACAGAACCATTGGTCAGAAGCCAGCAGGCAGGACACCCCTCGTGGACTCTGTCGTCGGCTGCCGAGCCGCCTGATGCGCTGTACTCCCTCATCAAACTCTATGCCGATTCTTCGTGCAAGCTTTCGAGCATTCTCGATCCCCGCTCGTTCAGCGAGTCCCCCGTGGACTACCGCCTCGCATGGCACCTCTATGTCATCCTCGCTCGCTGTCTGCGCGTTCGCGACCTAAATGGTCGCGGCCATGCTGCTGGAAGTGGCAGTCAGGATACGTCGGAAGGCCATAGCGCTAACGCTGAAATTTTGGCGAGCAGTTACGCACTGCAGCTCGAGGAGGCCGGCATGATCCAGGAGGCGGTATTTGTTCTTCTGCACATCGAGTCATCCACAGAGTGAGTGTATGTGGGTTTTTGATGCTTCCCATCATTAATGGGCGCCTTGTCTTAGGAGGGTTAAGGCCATCAAAGAATTGTTGAACCGATGCGCTGGAAAGTTGGACCAGTGGATGGCTCGTGGGCTCGAAGGCAGCCTCAAAATCCCCAAGGCGTGGGTTCATGAAGCGAAGGTTAGCACTCAATCGAAGTTATGTTCCTCTCATGCTTATTATCTACGGTCCAGGCCATATATGCTCTGGACTCAGGCGAAGTCTATGATGCCTACAGGCAGTACCTCGAGGCTGGTTTATACGATGAAGCACATCGTTTGGCGGTTTCCGAATTGGCTCCCGATGCTGTCGTTCGTGGCGACATCGACTTGCTGAAAACATTGGTCGAGCCGTTCAAGGACCGCCCTGTTAGCGGCTGGCTTGCCGGAGGGAAGGTGCGCACTGCTCTAACAATACACTGTCAATCATACCCACAACGAATCAATAGGTATACATGGATTATGTCGACGTCATGATACGTTTGCCAGAGTCTTCCATTGGAGAAACAAACCTTGATGCCGCGGAACTGACTCAACTAACGCGCAGCATTTCCATACTGCTCAGACAGTTGCCGGATCTACTTCATGATTGGTCGAACCTGAATCAAGTTGTTGCGCTGGAAGAGATGACGAGGCAGTTGACCACGCGGCTTAATCGTATCAACCCTATTGCTGTCGTACGTCTTCTTGTCTGCGTATATGTGTTATGCGGCTGATTATCGTTCCCTCCACAGTACCGATCGAAAGTTCAAACGCCGTTGATGGACGGAGGATCTCGGTTGCGCAACCTTCGGCGTGCGGCGTTTGAGAAGTTCCTGACAGCCGTTGAGGTGGCTTGAACTTCTAGATTTGGCGTATCCATCTGATCGTTAGAAGCCCGAATGCCCACCCCTTAATTATACCCTCGTCTGGGAACGTCTCGTGGCACATCCACGTGTATACTGACCTCTGTACCTTCGAATTCTTACGGAATTACCGACGCCTAGCGGAGCGTCGTCTGCTTCCTTGGTTCATGCGGTCCAGATGTGTACCAATGAATTTCTCATTCCATATGCTGCGTCTTCGCCCGCTTGCTAGGTGCGTCTCGCTTAGCCGGACTGAATAGGTTGACTGGCTGTACTTTCTTACGAAATATCGTGTGAGGGACGGACTTGGCTTGGTAGAATCCGATGGTCAACAGATGTCGCGATGAGTTGTCAACGAACGATAGGCTGAGCGTCTTTCATTTACGTATGGTGGAACACGAGGGCCTCTGCTTCGGCGTTGCGCGGCTTGTCGCCGACCGCTGCGGTCTCCTTCCAGCTCTCCCTTGCATCCAGTACACGGGCGGATTAAAGCGGCAAAGACTAAGTGTACATACATCACATATAAATAGGTGCGAAGAAGGCAAATGGCGTTAGGTGAAATGAGTCTACAGTAGGGAGGTAGAGTCCAGGCCGCCGGAGCTAGCAACAATCAGATGAAGATGCTTTACATATGCCGGTATGAGCCTCAGTCGATGTTGTGTCCACAGATGAATAAGACAGTGGCGACTATAGCCGGCTCTAGCAGACCCAGCTGCATTGCTTCTGGAGTCATCTCCAGCAAAACCATGCTTTGTGCTCTTGCAATCCGAGCGAGTACTCGTGGTGCAGTCGACTGGACCTTGTGGAGCTTTAAGGTTCGTTTAGCTTCGGATCTTCGCGCATAGGATATTGACTTACGCATATGAAGCCGTCAATAGGTGACCAGGCATACTGGGCTCCGTTGCACTTCATGATTCTTTGGCTGACATCACCATCGCATCAGAGAGCAGTTCTAGCTGTGTAAACGGAATAACGCAGAAGCCAGGCTTACCTTTTATCCGCAGAAAGCCTGAGCCAGTCGCGCGCGCGCTGTTTTGCAGTAGCCGTGCGGATTTCCACCGAAGCGTAGGGCTGCCAATACACCATGGCGACGTTGCGATTTTCGTTGTCCTTCCACATGGTCGAGGCTGGGGCTCCCGTGTCGGTGACGACTCGGTAGGTAACACGGTCTTGGGGGCCAAGAACAGTGCAATTGAGGATGGTCGTATTAAAGTTCACGAATTTGAACGACGAGCTGTCTGGCTGGATCGACCTAGGCATCGTACTGGATATGGGGACGGACGGAAGTGCCCCGAAAATCGACGGTGCACCTCCTGCCTGCCAGCCGCTCTGGGAGAATGGATTGGTGTTCATTGTGGTGTTTTGAGGCTTTGGTGCTGAAGACGATGTCTGCGAAGGTGAGATTGTGCATTCCACTCGTGCTTCGTCCAACACATTTTATACGGTCCATCTTTCGAGGGCGCATAGTGGGCGCAATCACTGCCGCCGCTGAAGATCTAGGAACACCGGTAGCATGCGGTATCTGAGCCTCGGGAGGCAGTCCAGGAAGGAGAATAATCCAAGATGTGCGGCAATTGGGTTTCAAAAGATGGAGGCGGAATGGGAAGTTTCATGTCAGAGAGCCCAATCGTTAAAACAGATCTTGATCTGAGATAGATTCCTATTAAACAAATCGGGACTGACTCCATGCAAGAAAAGACAGCTACTCGATCGGGCCGAGTTTGCCCGCACCATCGACTTGCTAACCTTTTCATCTTCGCGGGAGGCTTGTGGCTGGATATATTGTCATCAAGTGCATAATAATGTCAAGTGAGATTCAGCGTCCTATTCTCAGTCTGTAGTGGTCGACATATAAACTCAGACGCATCTGCCACATGCATACGCCCCTAGCATGTGGAGATACTCGGTCCACAAATAGGGGGAAGGCCTCGGAGGCCTGCAGGCTGGGGCTTCGATCATCGTCTACAGTCTACACCGCCGACTTGTGATGCAACTGATGGACGGAGGCGCACGGATCAAAAAGGGAATCCTTGTATTTTAAGACCGGGAGTGCGCCCCAAAGGTGAAGCATCCGGGCAAAGTTCTGCTCGGCCTCTATGGTGTTTCGGGAGGCGGGTGATGCGTAACGACTGGTTGTAGTTATCTTAACAGCCTTTCGAGGGCAATGACGCCTGCCATTTTCAACATACTGCGCGGTTGCTCGCGCGGCTTGTGGATAGTGATCGGACCAAAGTTGCTTACTAGCAGCGGGGCGCATGCAGGCCATAATATCGCTCCGATGGACTCTGAGTAGGCCCATGGCCTCGTCAACCGAAAGCGCGCGGATATTCTCTCCGATGACTCACACATAACGAGTACTTTGGACCAGTGAATGTGAACGTTACATCCGAGTCTCACCTGTCTCCATCGAACCGAGATCCGGATGAGACGAGTCATGGCTGAACGCTGCACTCACGTACTTGCGAGCTGAAACCGTGGCCGTCATAATACACCAAACCGCATGAACGTCGAGAGCTGCGGTGCCGTTCGACGGCCGTAGTTGTTGAGAGACCGTGTGCGCGCCATTGACAAATCGAACTTTACCAGACAGGCCGCTGGCTCGTTTGTCATTATGACGCAGCGCTATTGATGTTGGAGTAGGCCCGATGCAATTGCCGCTTGACGAAAGCATCTGGCTACGCTAGAGGAACAGACTCCGAAATGTTACGTGCAATCCTGTCGCAACAATAGACACTCTGAGCTCTGTCTCATGGAGGCCGTAAAACGCCGTTGAGGTAACTGTCGTTCTGAAACCTGAATACTCGAGTTACTTTGAATCCTGAGTGGTCACCATCTTACCGAGATTGAATGAAACATGCCACTGATATCCCCTCCTATGGCCGCCTAGAAGGGGTTCCCTGCCATCTCATTAGAAAATGCTGCGATCGCGCCGCAGGATTGCGGTTGTCGAGGGAACGGTGGATGCAAAAAAACGTCGGCGCGAAGGCAACATCCGTAGGAGCGGAACAGGATCGCATAGGGCGTAACACACCGTTCAGCAGAGAGCCTGTATGGCATGTAAGCTGTAGATCTCCATTCCTCTGGCACGATGAGGTGGGGCATCGCACTAGGCCCAGAAAAAGCCCTTCATACGGGTGGCCTACAGAGACTGCTCTGCACATGAGATGTCTGGCAGCATTTACGAGAATCCTACACAAGGGTGGGCCGCAAACATCAGTAACGGCAAGTCCGCCGATTGATGACTTACGTCCAATGTGGGGCAATCGTGCGTTCCGATGAGCTCGGACCGTGACATCTCCTACCCATTTAACAGCACGTAAGAGAGGCACGAGGCTGAAAGTGGCTCTTCAAAATAATAACCGACTACCACGAGGGACGAACAGAGCCAGCCGGACGGTAGAAACCCCGGAAGTGAGGGCAAGAGACCAGTCGCCAAATTCAGTGTACACAGCGTATGAGAAAGAGCCGATGTCCGCAGTAGAAGGAGTCTGGCTGAAGTCAGCGATAGCACCACAAGAAACAGTGATCGGATCGCAGCTCAGAATGACGCGGACAGGGGACGGGAAGCTGAAGAACTAGAGGCGGAGCGACGAGAACGCTCTTCCGTAGTACAGGCTCACACAGCATCTGAAGGGAGTTGCGGGTACACGGAAACGATGCTCTGTTCATCAGCTGATTACAGCAATCCTATGGTGCTGATGCGCCGGCATCATTTCCCAGCAAGTGCGCTCCGCTTATTTGTTTCATGATTATCGTATTGGCTGACCTGCGAATAGTTCGGGGTAGAGGGGGGAAGGCGCGAAACGCGCTCTGACGCCGCGGCGGAGGACAGTTGATATCGCGTGAGCGTGCTTGGACAGAAGGCCGCGAGCATCTGATTGATGGTCCCTGCAGAGCAACGCCATCAATGATCGCAACGTAGCTCCGTTTCCGGACCTCTCCATGGTCTTCGAATGATCGATAATGCAGATTGGGGGAAGTCTAAGCAGGCGCTTGAGGCTGATAATAATTGTATTTGCGGAAATAGCGACCCACGAGGCTTGCCTGCATGACAAGAAGTCTTGTGGAGCCTACTGCAATAGCAGCTCATCTCGTCATCGAGACTGAGCGGAAGGAAGTATGTTAAGCGCTGATGAGACCTATGTGGAGCAGACGTGCTTGTGAGTCTCATGTACACTGCCAGCAATTGCATTAACGTACGATTGTTCATCATAGCACTTCTGATTCATTGTCCATATATCTACCCGCGTTAATTGGGTGGCATGCATAGAATACGTAGGCAAGCTCGACAGCGTGCTTGCTGGGGTTCGTCACCGACCTGAAGGAGCTCGTGAAAGGGGGAACGGCTGTTAATGAGTTAATTACCATGATCAAGTACGAGCGCGCCACCTGCAATGGATACTGCACAGATTCAAATCTATCGATTCTTCCGCGACGCTCGGGCTTCCCGCTGCTGCAAGACCCAGACAACGTAATGCCCGACAGCTCGGGATACCCGCCGTTGTCTGAACAATTATGTATTCCGGTATCGGGGATTCCGCTAAACTCGCCTGACGGGGAATAGGAGGTTCGCGCCGCCGGAGAGGAGGCACTGTGAGCGAGGCATCAGACGACCTCCAACCCGACGACGTGGCAGTTCAACCCAGAGCAGAGAAATATCGAATTAAAGTGCGCCTCAGGAAATAACATGTACTTAGGCGCCCGCCGTGAAACACACTGCTTCGGCCACAGCTGGGCGCTTATGCAACTCACGCTCAAGCGACGAGCATTTCAGATATTTGGAATTTCTTCCCAGCTTTGCTTCACGCAGTAAACGACGCTCCAAATTTAGAAGCGAGACTTACATATCTCACAGGTTTCAGGTGCTCTCTTAACGGTACGTCAGGTCCTAAGAGGCACGGAATGATTACACATCTCGTTTAACATCGTCAGTAGATTGTGTCATCTCCGCGCCTAGTCTCAAACAATGAGCACCACCAGAGTCAACGTCGAAGGGATTATGTTATTCGAGCAGCCTTTTGCAAGAGTGCGCTCCCCATGTCGTTGTCCATCAGCTGCTCAACCCGTTGCTTTAGGTTCCGTATGAGAGCTATCGCAAAGTCTTTCGGACGTCACTAAAACATATCGAGAAGGAGCTCGGAACGGTACAGATCTCATCGAGTGAGCTGGCCACAAGAAGCAAGGCCGGGAATAGTGACACTGAGGACACGTTGAAGGCGGTCGAAGGCATGATCACGCGAGTGGAAAACCTGAAGCGCAAGGTACAGTTGTGATGGGGATTTTGACGTAGAGACACTGAGCTTCATAATTTTGCTTTGTAGCTGTCGGATCTCCAGAGCTCTGCGGGAACTCCCACACTGGGCGTCATGCGAGAACGCCTGCAGCATCTCGCTTCGGTCGAGGGGATGCAGTCGACTCACGATCCTGCCTTCGATCGCTGGGCAGATACACGTCTTGACCGCTGGCTCGTTGACTGGTCGCTTCGACATGGAAAAGAGAAGACTGCCAGAATGATGGCGCAAGAACGTGGCATCGAGGCACGTCCATCCTCACCCCGATGCATATTAATCTGCACTTACGCCACTGCATGTACTGTAGAGACTTGTTGATATCGATCTTTTCTCTGACATATGTCGGATTGAAGAGGCACTCAAGCACCAAAGCTGCACCGAAGCCTTGGCATGGTGCAGCGAGAACAAGTCGGCACTCCGCAAGCTGAAGGTATGCTCATCGCCTCGGATCTACGCATCACAGAGCTCACTATTAAAACAGAACACACTGGAGTTCGACCTTAGGCTACAAGAGCACATTGAGCTAGCTAGAGCTGGCAAGAAGATGGAAGCAATTGAATATTCCAAGAAATATCTACTCCAATGGCAAGAGACACATCTTGCCCAAATACAGCAAGCTTCTGCTCTTCTTTGTTTTTCTCCCACGACGACGTGTGGACCATACAAGGTACGTCGTTCTTATTACCAATCCGTTTGAAGGAACCCACGGGCACGGGTTTCAGCGATTGTACGACCCCTCGCGCTGGGCGACACTAGTGCAATCCTTCCGTCTGGCAATATACAATCTTAGCACTCTCCCTACTGAACCGCTGCTACATCTCGCCATGTACGCCGGTCTTGCATCGTTAAAGCTTCCCGCTTGCTATGACCCGGACACGAAGAACGTGGACTGCCCTGTTTGTGATCCCGACCTGGGAAAGCTTGCGGAAGAAGTGCCCTTCAGCCATCATGTGAACTCAACTATCGTCTGTCGGCTCAGTGGAAAGATCATGGACGGGAACAATCCGCCGATGGCGTTCCCAGTCAATGGACATGTGTATTCCAAGGAGGTGAGTCATAGTCCTCCAACTTTGTTTTCTCCTCTCTGATTGAGTTTATAGGCACTGGAGGAGATGGCTTTGGAGAATGATGGTATCGTTATCGACCCCTGGACGAAGGAAAAATGCAACTTCTCCGAGTTGCGCAAAGTATTCGTCTCATGACATTCATGACCTGGATATTGGCATCACTCCATGTATAGTATGTGTATTCTGGATGGCAATGATGTGTATTTCTACCTTCAGCACGACAAAGAGGGCTACGCTGCGTTATCAAGCTTATCGGTATCAGCGTCGCTACCGCTATTCAAAGTGGCATCACATCGTCGAATAAGCGATCGCAGGCGAGCTTTGACGCTGGCATATCTCCTTCAAGTCACGTTTGAGCTTCTATCTCTTCGATGAGCTGGTGCTAGCGGAGCTATTCCACTGAAGACTGACGGATGGAAGGCGGAATGAAATACTATATCTTCGCGTGCTGTCGCGTTGCAGGGTTACCAGAGATCTCCTACAACCATGTCCATGACCACAAGGATTTCACGAAGAGCATGGCTGCGCAAGCTGGAAGTGCAGCATGAGGAGGGTTTGACGTATAAGGAGTCGTTCTTGCAGGTAAGCACGCATAACGGACCTTGTGTGACTCAAGATCTAACTGTCTCTCCCCGCAGAACGATGATCTCTATCCTGTACCAAAAGACAAGCAGATGTGGGGCACTTGGAACTTTGTTGCCTTGTATGTGTCGCTCCATTCTGGTAATCGCGTGTGTACTGTTGTTTAGAATCTGACAGCGGTACTATACAGCTGGATCGCTGATAGTTTCAATATCAACACGTCAGTTCTGTCACGTGTATTTGTGTTACTCCCGCTGATCGCCCGTCGCAGTTGGGACATCGCATCTTCTATGATAGAGCTGGGCCTGTCTTGGTGGCAAGCCTGGATCTGCGTCTGGATAGGCTATGGAGTCGTCGCTCCGTTCATTGTCCTAAATGCGCGGCCAGGCGCCAAGTTCCACATCACATTCCCCGTTGTGGCTCGTGCCAGCTTTGGACTGTGGGGAAGCCTGTGGTGTGTTTTCAACAGGGCGGCTATGGCATGGTGAGTCAGCTTCGTTTTGCATCGTGATTGCGATTAGGGTTCACTCCTTGTGATGAACAGCGTGTGGTATGGTGTACAAGCCAGCATTGGAGGCACCTGCGTGTTAGTCATGTTGCGGGCCATGTGGCCAAATGTTAACAATATTCGTGAGTATACTTATCGCACGATGAATCAGTGCTAAAAACCGTGTGAAGCGAACTCCATGCCCGCATCCTCTGGCACCAACACTAGGGACTTCATGTGTTTCTTCCTTTTCTGGCTCATTTCATTGCCAGCTATATGGTTTCCAATCCACAAAATGTAATGTGGCATAACAGCAGAGGGCAAGACGAAGTATGAGCTCACAGACCTTGTTTTCTAGTCGGCACTTGTTTACGGTAAAGGCCATCGTAGCCCCAACTGCTGGCATTACGTTCTTCATTTGGTGCATTGTGAAAGCGCACGGCGTAGGACCCATCGTCCATCAGCCTGCTACAATCCATGGCTCAGCCTTAGGATGGGCCATGGTGAAGAGCCTCATGTCGTGCATCAGCAACATGGCTACCCTCGTTACGTCGGTCTTGTTTCCTCCTCCTCTCATCGCAATCGCATGTGCACTCACCCTTATCTCCTCAGCAATGCACCGGACTTTGCATCACGGTCGAGGAAGCCATCAGACGCCCTGCTTCCGCAGCTCTTCTCAGTTCCGATTACGTTTTCCATCGTCAGCTTCCTTGGAATAATTGTTAGCTCCTCGTCAGAGAAGTTGTTCGGCGAGACGATATGGTCCCCGATTACCCTCTTGGGGAGGTTTTTAGACAATGATCCATCACATGCCACGAGGTTTGGGGTACGTATCGTGGACAATCTGCGGATATGAATACTTTTACGCTGCTGTCTGCAGGTCTGGTTCATCGCTGCTGCGTTCATTATTGCTCAGGTAAGGGGAGATTCTTCGCGAGATACATAAAGAATTGAAGCTGAGGCTCACCTCATATCATAGCTTGGGTATGCATGCCTCAATACCTGGTATCATATCCAACACTGACATGCAATCCCAGTACCAATATCTCAGCAAACTCGATCAGCGCTGGATGTGACCTCACAGCATTGTTTCCTCGTTTCATCGTGCGCATTCATTCCTCCTATCGTTCCCACCCATACACTCATCCAACCTTGCAGAACATCCGACGGGGCGGCTATATCGCGGCTATTGTGGGACTATGCATGTGCCCATGGAATCTTCTCAAGGATAGCAATCAGTTCACAACCTATCTCTCGGCATATTCGGTCTTTCTGAGCTCGATTGCGGGCGTCATGGTCAGCGAGTCGTTCTCGGATACACAGCCTTTCTGATGCTCGCGATGCAGATCATGGACTACTATGTCATTCGCAAGGGCCACTATCGCGTCCGCGACTTGTACCATGTCGAGAAGGACGGCTGGTACTTCTATACATTCGGATTCAACTTCAGGTGAGCATCCTGGTTTCCTCCAAGTTGCAATAATGATCCTGATCCCTATAACGCAGAGCTTACGCGGCATACGTCGCAGGAATATTGATCAATGTCGTCGGCTTCGCTGGTGCCAGTTCGTCGTTCTATGATCGCTGGAATCCGGCACCTCGTTCACGTAATCCACATTTTTTTTTCGCAGCTGGACGCTATGTTCCACTGCCGGCCACACAGATCTATGACATGTCCTTCTTTACCGGCCTTGGCGTCTCAGCGGTAGTCTACTGGTCGCTCAACCTAGTCTTCCCTGCACGTGGCTCAAACAAACACTTCAAGGAAGTGGATATATCCGCCGAGACCGCTGTAGATGACAACCTGGAGGTTGAGGACGGGTACGAGAGGAAAGATGAGAAAGGCGATGTCATTACGAGCGTGAAGTCGGTGTCTGTGTGATCAACTGGTATGATACTTCCCCCAAAAAGAGATACAAATACAATGTTGCTTCTGGTTCCCTATGCAGTCTGCGCGATATCCGGTCTCCTCTTGCCCTTCGTGTCCTCGGCGTAGTTCTCGTAGAAGTTCTGCTCGTCAGTGCCCATGCCGTTCGTATCGCCGCTGCGCCCAGGCCCGTCCCAGAAATGATACGCCTGACTGTACACACCGTACGAGGTGGGCACGACCTCAAGCAAGTCTCCCCGGGCCACCTCAATCGCTGGAATCTCTGACGCAGGCAGGCCGATGAGGTACGCCAGGATGCATCGGATGACGGACGCGTGCCCGATGATGAGCAGATCCTCCCTTTGACGCTCCAGCTCGATGAGCGTCGGCTCCAAGCGGACTGTACGATGCCGTCAGCGCAGGGAAAGATGCTGTTGGCTAGACGGGACTCACCGCAGAGATCATGGTAGCTCTCGGCTCTTGGTGCCCTATATGCGTAGGGATCCCTGACGAAGCGCTCCCACTCGTCGGGATAGTACTTCCGGACCTCGTCAGGGCTCAAACCGTCCCACACACCTGGGTTAATCTCAGACATCTGCGGCCGCTCAATTACCTTGACCCTGGCTGGCGGTGATGGGTCATTGGGGCCTGTAGTCAAGAACGGCCATGCAGAGTGGTGGGATCGTCTGCGTGCGGACGTCCAGATCTATCACGTTTGTGAGCAAGTGTGACAGGGTGGAGTAGACCGCTTGACGCACAACGAGCCTGCGTGTCGTCGGGTCAATGCCTCTTGCTTCGAGAGATTTGGCGCGTCGCTCCAGCACAAACTCCTTCAGACGTTCGGCATACTCCCAACCAGCAGGAGAGAGGTCCGAATCGGCCTTGTAAGAGTGTTCAATCAAAGATTGTCCAGACTGTGCATGGTAGGATCAGCTGGGTCACAAAGTACTAGGCAGAAGGTACCGTACGCGAGCGAAGTAGATTGTCCTGAATCGGTTGTGGATGTTCATTAGGAAGAAGACTATTCTTGACTGTTCATCCAAATTGTTTAGTAAGCGGCGATAAAATGTCAAATACGGCACTCACTTGCAGATAGCCACGGACGTTCTGTGCTGACATCATGAGAATCGATACGCTACCCACTCTAAGGAGGGACACACATTGATCATGATATGTTCCCCAACCTGCAGCGATCCCAAGTTATCAATAGAATCGAGCTCACACGAGCACATCACGTACGTTCTTGATGCGGATGAACGGATATGTTGTCTCCTCAACGGGCTCATAGTGTACTTCATGGTCCTTGATGCGTCGTAGGTAATCTTCCACGGCCTTCTCTGGATCCCATCCTCGATACTTGAACCAATATTTAATCGGGCATCAGAGGTACGGGATTACTCCACTCACGTCTGGAGAGGAGATTTTGACGCTCCTTATGTTCGACATGATGATCTCGTTATCATCGCACAACGACTCTGAACACGGCTGAGCAAGCCACAGCAACTGCAGATGAAGGCTTCGGCACACCTAGCATGATAACGTGTATCCCGGCGTTCGTGAACTTGTCCGCAATAGCCTGGCGGCGCTCTCTGGTCCCATTATTCGCATCATAAATGATCACCTGCCCTTGAGCGTTGAAGAACTCCCAAATCAGCTCTTCGCATCCGTCCGAGATCTTCTGGCGAAGAGCCACCGTCTCCGGGCTCTTCTCGCCTACTCATCGTCGCACGATCAGTCGGACCAGAAACCCTATCAAATCCAAAATAAACAACCTACCTAGCATGAAATAGTCCGGAGGCAAATTCTGCGCCCCGCCGAGGACCTTCCGGCGGTAGTCACCCAGCGAGGTAACTTGAGTCTTTACACCTGTCCAGCGTAGGTATCGTTCCAGTGCTCGGGAGATGTGCGTCTTCCCTCTCGCAGGAAGGCCAACTGTCAAAACCAGAATCTTTCCAGCATGAAAGAGCAGGCCAGAGTCCGTTGTATACAGTGGTGCGACCATGATGAAGCGAGGAAAGCAGGGCTAAGACACGCGCCGCATGCTTCCCAACTTCGCTGATAAGCACGATCTAATCTTATCAGGCAAACACTGATCTGAGCGCCACTGGCCACCGAAACTTCTACCATCACAAAGATCAATTTCGTACAATGACAACGGACAAACCATACTACAAGCTCTAACGTACATTCTGCTCTACAAACATGCTCTAAAAACAGGGACGAGATATGCAACCAAACACACAATCTAATAAGAAGGAACCAGAACAAAAGACCCAAAAGGATGAAGGCGGCAGGTGGGCCACACTTTTCACTCTATCCGACGGACCTTCGGGACGACCGCCCAAATGAGAATCATAGTTGACATCATCGACACAATGCTGCCAAAGCCATCACCAGTCAGTACTCCCAACCTCCACTCGTATAAATCATGGAATGACTCACAAAGGCTGCAACGACGCAATCCCAAACTTCGAGGAGAGCAGACCCGTGACGAACGGCAATACCGCCGAGCCTGCCTGCCCAACACCGCTAATGTAACCCAAACAGCCCGTGAGCAGGAACTTTGGGAGTATGGAAGTGGAGTGGTTCATCAGGATAGGGTAGATGGGACCCATGAGCAGGCCGACGAAGGCGACGGCAACGGCATTTTCGACGAGCGACGGGACCACCCAGACGGTGATTTCCAGGCTGATATGGATGATGTTGTTAGTCTGGGTCAGGCAGCGGGCGGATAAGGCATACCCGATGACAACGAGCGAGTAGTAAATGATGACCCATTTTTCTCCGAGCTGAGTAGCTCAACGTGAGTATGAGCCTCGGAGATGGTTCGTCACAGCGTAATTACCTTACGATTGAGCCACATAAGGGTGAGCCTCCCGAGCATCAGTCCTGAAACATCAATTCAATCTGTGTAACGCGGTCTGATACGAGCGACATACCACCAAAGAATCCAGATGAGATATACCCAGCACTCGCGTTTCCGTGACGTTCGTCCTCAATGAACGTGACAATCCAGCCTAACGACTCCCCATCAGTGCCTGCAACTCCGTCAAAGAGGAAGGATTCGGCCCACCTCCAATTGACACCTCCACTCCAACGTAAATCAGCGAGAAGATCGCCAGATAGTGCACCTCCTTGAGCCGCATAATCTGGTGATAGAGGTTCTCGCTCTGGCCCGGCTCGTCCGCTGCCTGTCCCGTCTCGGCCATGACCGCTGTTCAGCGTGGCGAGTCGTCAGCGATCAAAGTCCAACACCAATGAGGAATGAGCATCAGACGTACCATCATAATTCTTGAGTCGGAAGACGACAAGGAGAGCGATGAAGTTGGTGACAGCAATGCCCGCCGAGATCAGATAGTGGAACGACCAGTGCTGGGCCGTTGAGAACTGTGTCGCGACAAGCGGAGACACAAGTGCGCCGAGGCCTGCATCCGACATTTCGCCGTCTGAGCATACACCACCTCTGACTTTTGTGGACCGACCACGCACCATATGACGCGTGTAAGAAGCCAAACTTGACTCGAGCGTTCTCCTTGAGGCCGCCAACGTACCCATTTGCTTGGGCGTTCTGGAGCGAAATGCCGAATCCGGTGAAAATGAACGCAATGCACATGACAGGGAAGGGCCCGCCCGGCGCCATCATCGCGTATCCGATGAGTTGGACGAAGGCACCTGCGCAATGCGTCAGTGATGGGCCCCAATAACGGAATATGAATCAGACGAACCTAGCACCAGAGTCTATAGAGAGAGTTGTCAGAGGATATGCGCGAGAAAAGGCATATGGCAAATACCTTGCCCAAACCGAGCTTCTGATCCAGGTGGACATTCAGCACTGCGCCACTGAGGAAACCCTGCATGGACGTGTCAACCACGGACAGACGTATGCATATACCCTTACTTACGATGCAGTTGGTCACGAAAAGCAACGACACAATCGCGAAGCCAATCTACCACCCCTCTCATCAGCTGCAGCTCTAATCACGGAGACAGAAGGATCGCTTACATGATAGTAGCGCTCAATCCGCGGCAAGAGCGGGCCCGTCGAGCCGTCGTTCCAGCCCTCCAAAAAGAATGAATAGCACAGTGCGGCAAACTGAATGTTCGCGTTCCGCTTGAACGCAGCCTGCTGCGCAGGAGTCACCACGGGCGTCGTCGAGTCCGCATCCGTATACTGCAGGGATCCCGCATACGGGGACGGCGCGAGCTCCAGATCGCCCGCCTTCGGGATGGACGCATGGCTGCCTCTCCCAATACCAGTCGACACGCCCGTGACGTGCACGCTCTCCTTGTTGGGCTTGTGCTCTTGGATGGACGGAAGCACTGCGAGCTCGATCGCTTCACCCGCGGCGCCACCGGAGCCGGACGAGAACGAGCGCGTTCGTGCAAGCTCAGAGCGGCGGCGGATGCGCTCGGGCGCGGGAGAGAGCTCGAGCGAGGTGTAGGACGCGCTCGGATCGACGTCGAGTGCGGACTCGTGCAGGACGCTCGCGCGTCTGATGGCGTCGTTTTCCGCATGGAGCGCACGCAAGATCTCTGCCCGCCGCTCGGCGCCGCTGAGGCTTTCGGAAGAGGCTCGTGATGGTTTCCTGGAAGCGACCTCCGGGGTTGACATTGCGGGAGAGCTAGGGGCGAAGAGACGGGTGCTTGTGCTGAGGAGGAGGGGCGGGGCTTATATCCAAACGCAAAAAAAGTCCTGAGCCAGGGTCGATCTGCGGGCATAGTAAATAATGACGAGAACACATCATGAATCCCGTCCGCTTGCTCGTAACTCCGATGAGCGGTGGAGTGTGCGAGTGCCCAGAGCTTGTCTGTGACTGCGGGTCTCGGACCGCTTCCAGCTGATGACATCTGCGAATGGGCAGAGTGGCGGCGGACAATGGGCAGCGGCACCAGAGGTTATAGCTTCGAGCTCGGCATATTGAAGGTAATAATTGCTCCCATTCACCCTTCTCGTCGCAGAATGGCCATCCTGCTCTATACGAGTGCTTGCTCCTGTAACCGACGATCTTCACGCGACATCCACAAAATTTTCGTGCTTCCTCTTCGCATCACACGCGGCCGCGCGGAGCCTTCGGCAGAAAACAGAACGATCATGGGTCACAGACAGCAGCGAGTGATTGGCTTCAACTTCGAATTTGGAAGCCACGTTCTTGCTTTAATCGCCTCATTCCTATCTTCCCGTAATGAATACCACTGGGAGAACACGGCATGCATATGCAATATACCCACGGAGCTGGAAGAAAGACTAATGGAGTGGTCAATCGTTATTGATTGACTACGAAGAGGAAGACCACCAGCGTGGATATCCAGACCTCTAAGCGCCCGTCTGCAGATCCTGTCACGTGCATCTCTTCTACACCTGGGCGCTTACAACTCGAGCAAACGAGCAGTGTTGTCTCAGACACACACAGCCTGCCATCCGCCTCCATCTCTCTTCTCTCCAACTTCCAGCCATGCAGGTCCACTCTGCTCGCCTACACTCGTATCACAACGCAAAGAGCCAAATGCTCGGAAACAAGGCAGGACATGCGCCTCCCGCATGGCGCACGGCGCCTGTTCCCGGTATAGTGGGAGGGCCAGGGAAGCGCCCCGCTCCGCCTCCCGAGAAGGGCAGCAAGATCCTGCTGAGCAACCTACCGCCGGACGTGGGGGACAGCGAAGTTGAGGTGCGTGTCGCGCTTTGTGGGTCGTGAGCCGTGAGGCCGCGAGGATGGGAAGGTGCTGACGCGGGCCCGCAGATGCTCTTCACGAAGACGGTGGGCCCGGTCAGAGACACGTTCATCGTGTACAACTCGCAGGGACACTCGAAGGGCATGGCCGTCGTCACGTTCAAGCGCTCATCCGACGCGGCAATTGCGCGTGCCAAGTACCACCAAAAGATCGTCGACGGGCGTAGGTGGTTTTAGTCTTTGTGGTGGCGCTGGGTCGCTGAGCTCCGTATGCAGGTCGTCCGATCAAGATCGAAATTATTAGGGACGACGATGACGTCCCACAGCCGTCAAAGCCTCCATCGCTTCTCGAACGCCTCAGCCTGGCATTACCACCGCAAGTGCATGTGCAAGCAGCGAGGCCCTTCCCACCAGCAGGAGTTGTAGTGAAACAACCCGCGTATGCAGTAAAACAACCCGCGTATGCAGTGAAACAACCCGCGTACGCAGTAAAACAACCCGCGTATGCGCTCCTTCCTTCCCTTTGTCCTCCAGACGGCTCGCTCACCATGTTACAGACAACAAAGAAAATTACCAGCCCGGCCAGCTGCGAACCGGCCTGTCGCAATGAACATCAAGGCACGCGTGCGTCAGAAGAAGGGCCCGAGGCGCATCAAGAAGACCGTCGCGCAGCTCGATCAGGAGATGGAGGAGTACCGAGCGAGGGCGGAAACATAACATCGATCCGAGCTCTCTTTCATCATTTCCCGCCTCCCGGTCTTCATCTCGTGTTTTCCATTTCTGCCCCCTCACGGATTGCTACAAAGTATCACACTCACATCTGATCCACCCATCGTTCTGCACCTATCCCTTCCACTATCCTTCAGGGGGTCTCCGCTCTCCATTGTACGCATGTCGCTGCTCTGTACTCGCTCTCGCCTTTTCGCCCTTTCGCCCTCATTCCAATCACCATCCTGCTGTATACTGTCTCAGACACGCCAGTCTTTGCTTACTTTCTGGTATAATGGTAAAATATGAAATGATTGCAATGGCATATGCACAATCGATAGCTTCGGAGCATGACAGGGTATTCAAATTGAGCAAGAGATCCCGTGGATCTTACAATACATCACAAGCAGTGGCTCATTGCGTCTTTTGCCGCGCAAGCGCACTGGTCATGGCCACGGTCGCCTGCCACCAGAACGCCATCGTGAGGCCGACGATGCCGTGCAGCGTGCCCCAGACGACTTCGGGAGTGGCGCGATACCTACAGACGGGGCCTATCAGCACGTGCCTTCGCCTTCGCTCACAGAAAGGCTCAGTAGGAATGAACATACGACTCCGCAAAGGCCCCGAAGGAGTATGGGATAAAGCGTGGCGCGTTGAAGAGGATGGTGGAGCATGAGACGTGGTAGAAGCAGAGCCCCATGCCCAGCGCGCGTTTCCCTGGGAGGAACTCTGCGAGAGGCCGTCATGAGCGAATATGCAAAGATAGTAGAGAGATGGAAGGCCCACCAGGTAGAGCGAACACGAGCAGAGACGCGATGCAGAGGCCCGCCGCAAGTGCAGAGTACAGCTGTTGGGGTTCACCTCCAATCAGAATTATGCGGCATCCCGGTCATGAGACGGAGACGTGCCTTGATCACCACGAGCGTGGTATTCGTCATCTGAAGGAACGGCAGGGACGCGGGATTCCACAGGCCCTGCACCGCAAGCGGGGCTTCGAGCGCGATGTGCAGAAGAAAGACAACCGCACTGAGCACGAGAGGTTAATGTTCGTGGAAAATGGCATCGTCAGTGCCAGCAGCTCATGCGAGACTCTGTGTAAACCGCTCACAGAGGATGCCGTCCATTGAATCCTGGCTGTGGCTGCGACATGATGTGCGGTGGCGGAGGTGCAGTGCGCTGCTTATACGAAGTGGCTCTTGCAATCACCGACACAGAAGCTGCCCACGTCGTCCCCGATCCGTCGGCGTCGTTGGCGAGGATGAAAAGCAGAACGAACGTCGACGGACCTGATCGGTGACTGACAGCTCCATAAAGTGCTATCGCCTTGTTCGAAGGGGAACACTCCCGGGCCGGCCTCCACGCCACCGCCAAAGTCAATTCCCGCCTCACTTTTTCAAATATATAGTAATTTCCGCTGATTATTCCAAACAGTCTGCTCACCATCGTCGATGATCCCAAGCTAGTGAGTGGCTGTGAGAAAATGTACACAGGCTCTCTAGGGTAAGGAGCGCCATGTGCTGCATGTACGGTAGCGTTCGCACTTTGGAATCTACGGTCTGCTAAATTGTCTGTCCCAGTCGATACCACTGTCTTGTGCATGCATGTTGCCTATCATGGTCGCGAGTGTCACAACACGCAACCAATATTGCACTAGAGATGTCATCACTGTACTGACCAACGTCCGTACCGACTCTCATTACAGGATAGGTGTGAGAATTGAATCGAATAATTCTGCCTCTACCGTCAAGCCAGTGGGAAATGAGTCAAATGACTTGGAAAAGGCCTGTTTCGCTGCGCATAAACTTGTATCAGATCGTTTTTATTGACTCAATAAATGACAGGACGTCGCAGCAGCAGAAAACCAAAGAAAATCCGCAAGTTTCACACCTTTGTCGCACAGTAGGAATCAATACTTTCTTTGCAGTAGTCCAAGGCCTGTGTGCTAGTGGAACTGCAAGAGATATCGAAAACTAGAGAAAGGTGCGAGTTGCGTTTTTTCTCTGACTTTCCCTAGTTACGGCATCTAATCGCTTCTCGGTGGCAGTTTAATGCGAATTAATGCTCAGCCAATATGGGCCTTTTGAACGGCTGCATTACTATTCAATTCGGTTTTAATGCCTTTTCTGCAACGAGAATCGGTAATGTGCTATGTCATTGAAAGTTCCATGGGTGGTCTTGTCCGCAACGCTAACTGTCATCGTTTACAACCTTCCGCGTTGTCCAAATCTTGGCGACGACGGGTTCGCGGCTCCGCACGCGAAACACGATACGACCTACGAATAGTACATGCACCGTACGAAATCGAACAGATGTGAGAAAGCGGGATCGGAGGTCATGACTCCTCTCGACGCTAGCAATACGTGCTGGCAATTAACGATGACGATGGCTGTTCACAAGAAATCATCACGGCAGGAGTCGCACCGCATCCTGCTCGAAACTCGTCTCAAATCCCGGACAATGCACCGGATGTGACAACTTGAAGTAATTATTCTCCCCTCTCCTGCGATCCAGTCTTGGCCCGCTCGCAGAAGACCTTTGAGTGCCATCAATGTCTGGTGCGCCCGATTCAGCAAACAGGCACTGGACGCTCTCCCTCCTTTTGTAATTTTGAGAAGCCGGGTGGCTGACCAGAGGCGCAATTCATGAACGCTCTCCTCCGTCTTCGTCCTTCACTGGATGCCCCGTACTACACGCTACCCGGTGTTTTCCGCCAAAGCTGACATTTGACATCCCTCTTCCTCGGTCGGTGACTGCACGTTTTCGTTCCGGAAAGTCATATGGCCCTCGATGCATCTCCTGCTAGACCTGTTGGAGAAGGAAGAATGACCTAAGGTAGAGGCTGAATGGCGGAGGCGAACTGGTATATCGGACGGAGCGGCAAAGAAAAAAAAAGCGATTGATTATGATTGGACGGGAGAAGCTGGGGATGTGCGCCATCTTGCGCAATGCAGATTAGTATCGCTTGGCCTGGCAGGCCTGCTGGTGGTCCGACTAATCATTGAGCCTGAGCATGATCGTCAATTGGTGGAATCGTGGTAGCCAAGTTTATCAGATGCTTCGGCATTTTAATCCAGGCGCCCCACTTTCTTGATCTAACGCCAATCCACTATTCGTACCTTCCCATCATATTGCATAATGGAACAGCTGAGCTGCATAGATGGGATGAATATTATCGTTATTACTTAGACACAATTAACGTGAAAACCTGCACTATGATCATGCTCCTCCAGGAACACTCTACGCGACTATGTCGGTATGAAATGCCATCCAATGCTGATCAGGCTGCATATCAGAAGGACTCGGAAGTAGGGTTAACCAATATACACCGGCAAGCTCGACGTTCGAGTCTCTCAACCAGTGAAAAGGCAGCCGGGTATATCTAATGATACATGCATAGTCGCGTCTATGGAAAAGATACTATTACCCAAGTTCACGAAACCCGCAGAACAGTCAATAAAACAATCGCCAACTTCGGGCTACGGCTCTTCGCCCTCGCCTTCCGCCCCCTCCCTATCTTCCCCTTCCGCCGCCGACGCGTTCATCGAGTAGCCCATCTGTCCCTTCCCAAACAGCCCGCCCATCGTCGCCTCCACCGCATCTAAATCCTTCTCCAGATCCACCTCACCAGCCTCCTCGGGTCCAGCGAGCACCCTCAGCCTCGCCATCTCGATCCTGAGCCGTTCGATCTCCTCATCGCGCCTCTCCACGCGCCCTTTGAGCACCCTTATGTAATCATTCCCGCACCGCAACAGCTGCAGCTTGCTCACGCCACGGTTCGGGCCCTCCACGTTGCCCTTCGGCGGCCCCCGTGGCGGCATCGCACCTGGGAGCAGCGGCTCGTCCGGGAAGCCTTCTTCGGAGGGCAGGGGTATTGGTGGCAGGAGTAGCCGCAGGTCGTCGAATGACGTTTTGAGCGAGTCACGCCTCTTTTGCTCGGCGGCCTTGTGCGAGGTTTTGCGGAAGGGCTCCGCGACCGAACAGGGTGATGTATTGCCCGCTGTTACTGGAGCATTACCGGCTAAAAATGCATTAGCTCAACAGGGCTCGACGTATGCCTAATGCTGACGCTGAACTTACCCGGAAGAATCGGCTTCAATACCGGGCTAACTAGTGGTACAGATCCGGGTTTTTCGCCCGCCTTCGTTGCCTTATGTGGCTCCCCAGCCGCACCTGACTTTCCCCTCGACGACCCCTCCTTCTTCTTCGACCCTGTAGAATCCTGCGCACCCTGAGGCGGCACAAGCCCGCTACTCACGCTCAGTCTGCCTAGGTTCATGATACTCGCGGGTGTGACGGGCATGATGCTGACGGACGGCGGCGCGTTCGCCTGCGCAGACACAGATGGTGGGAGCTGCGCAGGAGGCGGCATCGGGGGCAGCTCGATAGGCGATGGCGAGTCGCCCGGGATGTCTCCCATGTTCACACCGGGGGCAATTGGACGCGCCAGCGCAGGAAATAGCGGTGTCGAGTTCGCGGACCGCGTCCCTCGCAATGCAGCCTTCTTCTGACTTGCATTCGTACTGCAACCAGCGCCAGAATTAGCCCTTGGGCTTATGCGCACGGAGGACTGCCGCTTCCGCGAGGGTTTCGACAGCGCAGACTCGTCGCCGCTCGAGGATGCGTTCCGGCGCTTGCTCCCTGTACCAGTGTTGCTGCTGCTGGGGCGCGAAGGCACGGCCTGGGACGCCGGATGTGTATACGCACCGAGCCATGGACTCGTTAGCGGGGAGATGTCGCTGAAGTCGAGCTCCGCGGACGAAGGCAGCGAGAGCGGCGGGCTTGCTTGAAAGGCTATATGCGCAGGCGCTGAATGCGGCGTCGGGGGTATCATGTGCGAGGGTATGTAGTCCGAGAGCACCTGACCTGGCGGAAGCTGCTGGCTTTGGGGGACGCTGGAGAGGGTGCCGCCGCTTGTTTGTATGAGCATCGGAGAGACAAAGTCCGGGCTTGGGTGAGTGGTTGAGGGCGCTGCAAAATTGTCGGCGTAAGGTTCGATACAGGTAGCTGAGCCACGTACATGGAGTAGGAAGTCCATATTGTTGCTGCTGCTGCTGGTCCCTCTGGCGGTCCGCAAGCAGCGTTGCAAACGAGTTCTGACTGCTGAGGAGCTCAAGCTGGAGTACAGGATAGTAGGTCAGTTGGGGCGATTCGTGACGGGCGAGGCAAGCAAAGATGATGCGGTCGCGGTTTACGCAACGTAGTGTGAAGGGGCAGAGTGCGAGGCAGGAGCGGGGGCGACTCACCTGCTGCTGGAAGATCTGATTTTGAAGTTGCTGCAGCTGCTGGAGCTGGGCAAGCCGCATCTGCTGCTCGAGAAGTGCCTGAGGTGCAGCCGGTATCGTCTGTGGTTGTTGCTGCTGCTGTTGCAAGGAGCTATCCATGGGTCCGGAGGACATCAAGTCTCGAAAGATGTCCATATTGAGCTGCATGTTGCCGGCGGATGGCATGGACGCGAAGTTCATAACTGGGGCACGAAGGGCACCAGCGCATAACAGCACGACCGCGCCGCGTCGAGCTGTAGGAGGACGCCGAGCGAGCGACTCTCGTCGCTGTAGTTTGGGACGTCGCTGTAGTTTGGGATAGTGAGCACACCCACCCGACTTCCTTTTTCGGGTGGGGTCAGATAAGATGGAATAACGCTCGGGACATGCCGCATGGCCGTACCTGGACTGATTTTGGCCTCAAGTGATTTTTCATGATTTGGTATCCCCCCTCACCATTGAATCCGACTACTCGGAGATGTTATCCTAAGAACGCTGCCATCCAAGGAGTTCCGTGGCATTTTGTAACTAAAAGGATGTATGGTCGAAGAAGATGAGAGTGATTTACTGGTCACAGGAGATGGCATTTCGCCATCTATGACTTCTTTGCGAACGACAATTGGGCATAAATTGATTCCAAACCTGATTTACATACCAATTAGGTGATTGAAAATTGTGTTTGGACGAAAAGAGTAGTCAATTACGATTGTCACAAAATATCTATTTAGTATATACTAAGCGTGAAACTTTAGATTCCCGCTTAGCTCAGTTGGTAGAGCGCGTCACTAGTAATGACGAGGTCAGTCGTTCGAGTCGGCTAGTGGGAAAGGAAACAACGATATTTTTGCTCGACAGTTTGGCGCACACTGCCTGTAGAATCTTATTTTAGGTTTCGTCGACATCCATGCAGCCAACGTCGATGGACATCGGTAGGCAGTAAGTGCAGAGTATGTATATCTATTGAAATGTCCCGTTACAGATTTTGAAGGATGCTAGTTCTATTGAGCACAGCTTCTGGCCACTGGTCCCCTCCCGTATTAATTCGAAAATTATTGTACAGCAAACGTTTTATCACAAGCCCTCGATCTAAGCTGTTCAGATTTTGAAGAGCATTCGCACACAGAACATGATCCTGGGCTCACTGCAGACTTATCTCATGTAGCGGGAGCAGAGCACCGCTTCAGGTTAGCTTTGGCACTAGACGTCGATGGTCCTACTACCGAATTACTGCATCGTGTTCAGCATGGACTGGAGCCGGCCCTCACGAGTCACGTTAGTAAGATTTCCCTTGAAACCTCTGGCTTAGCATCTCTCAGACAGGTGACATGTCAAGGTCTGCCTATGGGAAGCGAGCCGTTCCTGTATAACAGTGACACAGTGCAACGCACCAGCGGCAGGATTGCACCAGACCGTGGCCTCCCGCCGTTGTTCGAGTGTTTAGCGCTTAATCAACGCCCCGATCAAGAAGACCTGCCAAGAGTCCATGGATGTCGGGGCCTTGAGGATTCCCGTATTGATACGAATCAACAGCAGCACGAACGCTCACAGAAAGCGAATCCGGTCAAAGAATTTTATGTGAGTAACGCCAATGCACTAACAGCTTCATTATGCCTTGCATTTTCGGAACGTTATTTTTGTCGCACGGTGGCGACCGTCCAGAAATGCAGGATGCTCTATATTCGGTAACTGTATTTCAGACAATTTCGGCTAGCCGATCAAACCACCGTTGTGCAGCAAGAGAGTTTCTTCAGATCCACCAAACGATGGAGACATATTAATCGGCTCCGAGATCAGCGGCGTTGTGTCAATGAAAATGGAATCAACGTGTTTACTGAAATCTCGATGGACACGCGTCTTGAAGTAGGATGGCCCGATATCACGCACGGTCTCGTTAGATTGCCATTATCAGGTCGGATAGGTCTTCAAGACCATGGACGCATTGCTCAACGAGGTATACGACCGAACGCGTCATGCGAAGTCTGACAGCCGCGCAAATTCTGAAGGCTCGGACGCTCGCCCACTGTTCTCGCGCCTAGATGCTGAATTTGATGCTCTGCTTGTTCCTTGGGTGCGACATGCCTGTAGCAACCCGATGGAGAATATATGATCAATTCTGTCCAATTGGATTTTTGGATGCTTGCTTACGTCGTGTAGTGGCTTACCACGTACATGAAATGCCTCCCACGATCGAGTGGACAGAAGGCTCAGGGACGGGTCGAGTGGCGCACAGGCCTATAACCGATGCTGACTTTTCTCCAAAAGCGATTCGCAGGGTCCGGTCTACGAAGGTCCCTCGACCGATGACAAGCGGCCTGATTCACTGAGATCGGAAATTCTGCATATGTATCGTCTACGGGCGAGTTCTGCATGGAAGGCGAAAGGCCTTACGTTACGATTGTTCGCGGGTCTCCGTATCCACTTTATACACTGGCCGTTGCTCAGCACCAGGCAGTAGTGAAAGAGGGTGGGGCTGCGGGTAACTAACCTCGTGCGACCCATGGACCCAAGATCGATCTGACTTTGAACCTTGTCTGGAACTCTTCCGAAGAGAGTGCGAGCTAGAACGTCTTACTATGAATGCGGAAGTAGAGTGCGTGGGGATGGACGACAGTTTCGGTTTGCTCCCTTCATGTGGGGTGATGATATGTCAAATAGGACTACGTCATGCGATCACGGCAGGAACGGGCGGGCAGTGCGTGGGGATGGCTTTAGGAATGTTATGGCTTTTCTGAGAGCTGAGACCGTGACATGTGAGTCCTGCATCAGGAAGAAGCACGAACTTACAATAAGCTTGTGTAAGGCCTACTGACTGTGAGCGCAATAGATCAGGGGGGGCTCAGGCTGACCGCAAGGAACCGAGGGGTGGACTGATTTGGTGCACCGAACGCTGACACACGCCCAGATAAAAGGTGATTGGTCTGCCGCGTTGCTTGTCATGTGAGAACTAGATGAGGCATACATATGACACGATTCAGTCTAACCGAAATTTGACAGAAAACATTACGTGTATCAGTGAGCAGCAGGATGACAGCAGTGCCATGTGCATGACGTGCTTGGCCAGTGGACGGTTTGAGCAGGCGATTCTCCATAGAATGGCCTGAGGGGCTCTCCAGCTCAGGGCGATGGGTTCGGACGGGGATTCAGAACTGCAGTTTCATATTTGCAAACTGCGGGCGGCTCTGCGCGACCGTTTCCAATTCTCCTAAAATAGGTGGATAAGAAGAGCAGCTCTCGAGTGAAATTACAGCCCCATACGAGCTATCGCAGACGACATATCAGCCTCGTGGTGTGCGTGGAACATCGCGATAGCAAGATGAACCATGGCTGCCGCCGAAGAGACGCCCGGGTGCCAGGGTACCGGATGAAAGCCGTGCCAAATGCATAGAGACGCTTCGAAGATGACTCGACAGGCATAAGCACGCGCTACGTGTTCATCATGCGTGCGAAGGGAAGACCGTGCTGCAGGTGCTGAGCGGCTGATGGATACGGCGAGGCCGCGATCCACGGTAACTAATTGAAATTGAATCAAGAGCAGCGTTGATGCATTCCACGTCGGCCAACCCAGTATCTGCGTTTAATTGTCGATATATAGTGCTGAACCACATTTCATATATGCGGCAGCTACGAATACACATGTAGCGTAGGGAGAGCCCACGGGATTGTTGGAGCCGCTACGAAGAGGCTGAATATCCACGAAGAACCGCTCAGGCAGGCAACTGGAGAAGATGGCGTAAGCGGCTCACCCTTGATCGTTCATCGGAGTTTCAGTACTTGTGGGAAGGGCATTTCAAAGAGGACCGGTGTTGAAGACGTGATTGACGATCCCTCGAAATAGAGGGAGCGCTGTCGATCGATAGACCTGCCGTGTGCTCTTGCGGTGGCGCTATTGGAAGCAAGTCATGGTCGTTCGATATCTGCAGATCCGCCGACCTCTAGCGGAACGTCTGCGTGAGTTCCCGAGGAAGCATCGCTAATGAAGGGTGATGAGGGCGACCGAAGGCCAACGGCGAAGAGGGCCTAACAGTCTAGATGCGGTAGGCAGCTCCATTCTCGGTTTCGCGTAGTGTAGAATTTTCACAACAGTGCAATGGATACGGAGACCAATGGCGAGGCTCATAGGCATTCAATTGTCATTGCGAGAGGTTGTACACGTATCGTGCAAGCCAATGTCAATGAACGGCCTGGTAGTTGAACGGAGACAAAGACCACGGTTTGGCATGCGTACGTTTCCTCGAGAGCCTTCAGTTCAATATGCCACTAGTATTCGCAACGTTCAAGCCGGAACTTGATGTCGGGAAGGAACAGCTTCTGTATACAAATAATCCTAGCCCAACGGCCTATCAGCGCTGCGCCATCATGATATGCATCCTAAAATAGCGGCACTGAGTGTATATCAACGCTGGCTGAAACATATCAGCGAAAGCGCCGCATAACGTGGGAAAACGGGACTGATGGCGGAAACAAAATGCTTACGCAGGAAGATGGCTACATGCTCTAGCAGCGAACCCACATTGAAACACATTGGGTCTGCAATTTCGCGTCCTATGGTGCACTCATTCTAGGCGCTACAAAGGTCGCGCTATTAGCGGAAGCGCCGGGAGACATTTAATCAAGCCCGATAACCTTGCGCCATCCAAGCGATCTTGGTACGTCGGACATACGCTCTCTGCTCCGTAACGACGTTCAAGACATGAAACGCTTATCTGGATACGGATCGCGCCTAATTAAATCGCTGAAAGGCAGCACAGTGGTAGCGACCTTGTTCAGAGAAGCGTCGGGAGAACCCCCGCGCGCAGGCCATAGCAACGGTCAAAAGGCGGCCTTGTTCCTTTCGCCAGCAGCCCAATCTGGCAAGGCGAAAGAGCCACGTTGCTTGACGAGGCCAGGATCAATTGGCGGCGGCCTCCGTGTTCCCTTCAGATATCAGCCCATTGTCGCACTCCCGAGCGAGCCTAATCCAGCCTAGCTGTGATCTGGTGAACCCTTGATCCAAGCGGCGAGCGAACTCACCATCAACGCAATAACAAGAACCAACTAAACGCAAGAAGCAGGCAATTGTAGCGGCCAGACCGAAGAAGCAAGCAAGCGCGGCACGACCTCGCACAATATGGCCATGACGGAACAGCCCACGAGCCGGCTCCACATGACGCACGGCGATCGCTGCGTCCCTGTCGCCCAGGGTCCAGCGCGCTTGCGACGAGCAGGCACTGAAGGCGAGCGTTTGTAATTGTAACAGATCAGGAGGGACGGTGCGGGCCATCCGCACGGGGACACTAACGTGGAACTAATGCGGAAATGAACCATACCGATATGGCGATCGCACACCCTGCGTACCTAGCACACACGCATCGTCAATCGGGCGATATGGCTTGGTACATGAGGAGGTAGAGCACCGCGGCCGGACGCCGTGCCAGTGTGGCCAGCGCTCCGAGTCACGCGACGGATAAGTGGTAGCACGGTAAGTCAAACAGCAGAGCAAAGCGTAATATCGCATGCGTTACGCCCACGAGTTGGTGTAAAATGGACGCCGCCGTGTTCGTTCCAGAACTGAAAAACGGGTGGAAAAGAAAATTCCTGAACAACCGCATCGTGTCAGAACATAAAAAATCTCATCAAGCTGACCTAACGCGTGCGAAAGTGCGCAGATCGTCAGGGCGACGAAATGAATTACCACTCCAGCGCGGCGGCGAGCGGGACTACCACAGTACCACCACCATCTGAGATGTGGCACGTCAACCCAAGACACCGTCGATGCAAGCGGTTTAGTCTGCGCGGGCGGCGCTCAGGGTTGCTCCTTTAAGGCAACGATTTCTGTGCGCCCTCGGTGCGGTCTGACTCGCCGGTGCAGCCTGGACGCAGGGCCGAGCTTTGCGCGTGCGATTTGAGTGACTGTCCGAGGCTAGAAATGAAAGATAACATTACACATCGCCCCCGCGATCTTCTCCATCCTTCGCGGGACCGCGGTCTACGATAGACTTATAACAGCGGCGCACGCCCGTTTCTCTAGCGACGCGGGGCACGACCACAGCACAGCGGCGGCGTCGAGCCCTCGGTGGGCCAGCCAGGATCCAAGTTCCGGGAACCAATGGGCCTGGGAAAGGCAGGCAGAGCGATGCCGTAAACGGGATGCACACGCGTGCCTGCGTGGTCCGTGTCTCTGTCACCTGGGACGGCTCGAGCCGGCCGCGCGCGGCCCTTCTGATGTTCTGGCGTGATCCACCTGATGAATGGGGTTTTCTGTGGTCTGCGCTGGTGCAGACTGCGGTTCTGATGAGTCCCGGTAGGTTTCTGCGTGCGCCGACGTCGACGTTGTCACAAGGCCGGCGTAGAGGCGGAGAGGGGCGGATATCATAGTATGCAGATGGACGGGAGGAGCGGCCGGCTTGTGCTGACTGTTCAGAGCGCAGCGGTAGGGATAGGGTGTTCGGCACCGGCATTGCGGATGAATGTTGAACGCTTTAGAGGCCGTCCTGTTGAACTATCGCGGTAGATCAGGGAACACTGGTATCTCCTCCTAAAGCGTGCGATAGATGGATTGGTTTATGGGGTCAATATCAAACTTCATTCCGCCCGCTGGCTGTGGAGAGGCGGGCTTCATTCTCGCAGGGCGTTCTTAGCAAGCTTTTCCCGCAGATGGCCGGGAGGCCTGCTCAATTCTCCAGATTCAGAAAATGGCCCAGCAGCCTGGCGGGCATTGATAATTGCCTACCGCCTTGGATCTCTGGAGAGCACGGCCTAACCACGATAAGAAATTCTGGTACAGCTAAGGATCATCTGTCAATGACGCTGGGGAACCAGCGGGTGATCAGTGCTAGTGATTATCGCCATCCTTTCCTACACCGCCTCTCCAGATATCCAGCTCCAGCGGCATGACATAAGGGAGAATGAGGACTTCTTTTGTGATGTGGTCGCGTCCATTTTGTCGCCAAATATGTGCAACGCAACGTGTTCGCGATGCTGCTCCGTGATGATAGACAGATGGCTTGGTAATTGCACTCGAGCGCCTGCAGATGCTGCGATGCTGCGAGATCTTTTCAGATGATTGTACCGTAGGCAGATGAACGAAGCGTGGTCGCGAGTTCAGCCAAGCACGCGGGTTGGCACGTTCCCAGGCGCGATGCACATGGCGTCTTCTTCTCTCTGCCCACTATCACGGAACGCATCTTCGCTGACTTGGGGGAGCGTATGCTGCGCTGGCTGACTCGCGCGAGGGGAAGGGGCGGAAAGATATCGTTCGGATTCGAATTCTCTCAGGCAAGTTCCGAGTTCCGACGCTCCGTTCTGACCCTTCTGCGTGTGTGCTCAGAGGCTGTCTGGGCCCGAGTGGCCTGATATAGCGAGGACGATCAGCGAGGCGAGGCGAGGCGTCGCAGGCGCCCGCAGAAGCAGCCCTGCTATCAATATGTCTTTGTCTCCCGCAGCCCCCAACCCTGCGCTCCAGATTTATTCTGTGGACACCGATCTCATGCTGTCCTGCACTACAGAGTGCGCAGGATATCCGGGTAATAAAATCCCACAAATCGCGATACAGGGTGAAACTCGAGAAGCCCCCCGTAGCCGATGCCGGCAAAGCACTGGGAGCGTGCGTGCGTGACTGTAGCGAATGGGCCGAGTGGCTACTGAGGGTGATGGTGGCGCGGCGCTAGCGTGGTAAAGGAAGCAGCTGGGGCTCGGGGGGTTCGGACGGGCATGGCACATGAGGTCTGCCTGCCAGAGTGGCACACAGGGCAGATGTATGGAGATGGGTGGCACACTCTGGGTGAAGGCGTGATATTGGCACACGTGCGGGCGAGTGGCCGCGGACAATGAGGGTGGGTGGGAGTGGCTCGGGGTTATGTTTACGGGCAACACAAATAAAAAAAGAGATTTGTGACAGAAGGAGGAGGAGATAGAAGACAGCTCCAGGCGGACGGACGAGACGGAAGGTTCTTAGTGTCTTACGTAAAATGTTTATCCAATTGGGGCCGCCGCGTGCTGCCGTAACAGAATACAACAACCTATTAAAGTGCGCAATACCACGCTCCACGGCGCGTCCTCTCCTCCCCCTCCTCGTTTGTTTCCGCCCCGGCCACTCCCCCCCACGGCCACCCCCCACGGCCACCCACTCTGCTCCATGGCCGTATTCGCGCCCTACGCGTATTCCGTCCCGCCCGCCCCAAAACGCCGCCGCACCGCGACCGCAGTCCTCGCAGGCGACTTTGACCCGCGTCCCGCGCGCGACGTGCTCACCAGCCTGCTCAATGGCGTCCCCGTAAACAAGGAGGTCGAGGACCGCGAGGAGGCGCGCAGGGTGCGGAAGAGGAAGGAGAAGGAGCGCGAAGGGGAGAGGGAGAAAGAGAGAGAGAAGGACAAGGATAAGGAGAGGGAGAGGGAGAAGGAACGAGAGAAGGAGAAGAAACGCGCAAGGCCCGGTCTCAAGGTCACCACCACGATCCCCATCACGTCCGGCTCGTTGATGCACGCGTCCGGGTCCACGTCCAGCACGAGCAAGCGGGCCCCGTCCGTCGTGCATGCCCCTGCCACACATCAGCCGCCACAGCCCTCGTCCTTCTGGCAAGCACGGCCCGCGATCCACATCACCGGCGCGCAGCGCTCCGTCTCCGTCACCCCGCCTCCCATGGGCCCGTCCTCGCCGCCGACCACGCCCGGCCCCTCCGTGTCCTCCACCGTCTCGGCGACGTCGTCCAAGCGGCTGTTCACCCCGGACGACGACGAGGACCTGCGCGGCGTCACGCCTGTCCCGCAGCCTCATCCTACACGGCCACGAAAGAAGCGCACAGCCGTGAAGAAGGGATGGAAGGGCTGGGTGGAGGGCTCGCCCCCGCCGTCGGAGAAGCTGATCAACCTGGACTCTGTGACGGTGCTGACGGAGAGGAAGACGAGGAGCGGGAAGAGCTTCGACGCGATCGGTGTCGGCAAGGACGGGTGGGTCTGAGGTCGGGTTGCGTGGTGGTGATGGCTGTGCGACGTGCGGTGAGTGCTGGCTGTTCGTCGCGCGTTTACGGTTCAATTGGGCTCATGCAGTGTCTCAGCCCCCGTGCCTCGTCGACGACGTTTGCGGCGGGGACAATAGGGCGTACGTGTCGGTCGCTCGTGCTGTGTCAAATCTTCCATCGTTGCTGTCATGAATTCGGAGGCGGTCAAAGGCCGCCTCTCATGTCTCTCCTCCGACGATATATACTCATGCTGTCATCTCATGCCGTATCTGAAAGTGCCTCGAGTCTGGGTTGGTTTCATCATTCGTGGTTCCGCTGTGCATGCATGCAATGCTGGAGGTCGGGTTCTGTCATCAAGCATTCTCATCTTGTACAATATTTTTCGTGTTGGAATGCAAGTCTGTGCGTAGAAGTATCACTACTGTGCCAATGTCGTGCTAGGGAACGTCCAACGCGACGCCGAGCACCTCTGCTGCGGAGACGAAGAAACGGGCGAGAAAAGCGCGTGGGAAAGCGTAGGCGGGCAGGAGCGCCGGCGACGGACGATCGGGTAGCGGTCGCGAGCGCTCGGGCTGGTCGATCACGCGCTCTGATTCCGCTCTGGTCCCGCGAGCATTCCTGCGCGGTCCACACACTCATTGCGCACTTTGACGGCAACCACGCACGATCTCGTGGCGAGCACGCCCTTGCACTGCACATCAGACATACCAGGCTCTCCAAGTCGACTCGGTGCCTACGCAAGCCCCGCTCACATCTAGTTCGACCTGAAGACGGAAGGTTGGACAGGGATGCTGGCGCATATACCCTTCCCCGCGCTCCCGGCGCCGCCGACATGGTTCCCGGGGCACATGCACGCCTTCCAGCGGAGCCTGCCCAGCTTGCTCGCGCGCACCGACGTCGTCCTCGAGCTGCGCGATGCGCGTCTCCCGCTCACGAGCATCAACCGGAACTTTGAAGGTGCGTTGCGCTTCTCTTTTTCCGTCTCCTCTGCACCTCGGCCTGGTTAGTCTGCTTGGGCGGAGGCGCGCCGGATTACGTGTTACAGGCGCCAAGGCCAAGTTCATATTCATTTGTGGGCTCGATGAGGAGGGTGGGATGTCTTGGGAGGGGTCGCGTGGTCTGCCTGCCCGCGGGAGGAGCGGCACCGAACAGCAGTGGACGGCAGGGAAGTTGGCTGTCATCCGCTTGTGTTCGGGCAAGGGTGCTGGCACTTCTCGCGCGAACCGCGCCCCGCATAAAAAAAGGAGAAATGAATAAGAAAAAAGATTGAGCGCGTCACGCGTCACGTATGTGACAGATGTGGCGGCGCGCGCTCGAGGTGGCGGAAATGTCCCTGGTCCTGTCCGACCCTCGCGCTCAGATGCGTTCTGGAGTGGCCTTTGGTGTGTGCTGCCCGCTCACACGTTGCTGGCGAGCGTACACGCAGTTCTGAGCGCTGGACGGCGATGTGCGCCCTAACGCGCGCTTGTGGGTGTCTTCTGAGAGATTTAAATATAAAAAACCACAAAGATCGCAGAAGTGGTCTGTGGGCGCAGCATCGTGGCGCTGGTTTGGGAACGTGTAGATGGAATGAATGACGAGCCGCGGAGTGGCTTGGGCTCCAGTGAATTGTTGTGGGCCATGCTGACCTCGTGCGGTGGACATGACATGTATTGTACTGGGAAGTCGTGCAGGGTGGTTGGCACGCTGCGGGTGGGATATTCATTCTGTGTGCAACATGTGGACGTGGGATGATGGGCTTGTGGATTGTTTTGGGGCAGCTGGGATGATCCGCCGAGGTGCCAGAGCGCCCGTTGCGTCGTGTCATAGCGCTTCCTGATGAGGGCAATCTTTGTGGGTAGCCCAATCCTCCGACCGTGAGGCGAGTCAACGCCTCTATGCGGTGGCTGTTACGTTATTTCTCGACGGGACTGCCCGGGTTATGACAGACATTGCCCTGCGCCTCAGGGGTTTTTTGCTATCGCGCTCATCGTATGCCCAACTAGTGCGTTGCAAGTGAGCTATAATCGCTAATTGTGATATGGCTCTGGAACTGGCTGTTCGAGTGATTAATGAAAAAATCAGTGTCTGGAGTGGCTGTGGGCTGAGGCGGTCCAGTGCGGCGCTGTCGGCGCAATTCGGTCGCTCTATAGCGGCCGTATCTCACGCACCATCAGGGCGAGTACACAGACCTAGTTGTCTCAGCTGATGGCATGTGTAGGCGTACTTGGGGACACCGATGAGTGGATAGTCGGTGTTCAGATGACGCACAATGGAGGGCCACCGCAGGTGCCTTGACATTCTGCAGTTACGTCGGGCCTCTTTGCCATAGCTCACTGCCTAATGATCTCTGCTTTTCTTCTTGTTTATCTCAGTCTTTTGATTTAACAGCTTGAATTTTATATTCATTTCCCCTCCTTTCAGGAGCTCTGCAAAAATGGAGTCTACGGCGTGGCCACACACCAACCCCCCCTGCCTTTGATCTCTCCATCGCGAATGCAGCCAGCACCAACACCGCAGGCACATCGTCCTCCGCGACCACATTTGGCCCGAACGGCACAAGTGGCGGGAGGATCTGCGAACGCGTCGTTGTGTTCAACAAGCGTGATCTAGTCCCCGAGTGGGGCATCGAGGTAGGTGGCGGACGCGCCTCACTCTTCCTTCTCATTTCCTTCTTCATATATTATACACAATGGTGCAGGTTGCTAATGAGCCACGTCGAATAGTAGCCCTTCCGCCGGGCGATGGCAGCCAAGTATCCTGACCAGCGGGTCTTCTTTGCGTCATGGCACCGCTCGCCGGATATCAGGGCGCTCAGCGAGCTGTTGGTCGGTAAGCGCTATACATTGAGAACGGGAGCGGTGTGATTTAATTAACCGGATAACAGACATTGCAAAGGCCAACCCAGTCGTGCCGGAGCTGAATGTTCTCGTGGTGGGTATGCCCAACGTCGGCAAGTCGACACTGCTCAACGCGTTGAGAAAAGCTGGGATTGCAGGGCGTGCGTTGGTGGTGTTTGTTTCCGGTTCTTCGAGTCCCGCACGCTGATCGGTTACTCCTTCCCGGTCGACTAGCCACTGCAAAGGCTCTGCGCACGTCGTCCCAGCCGGGAATGACACGCGTGCTCTCTAACCGCCTCAAGCTTTCCCAAGACCCGCTTGTATATTCGTACGACTCCCCAGGCGTGATGCTGCCCTTCCTCGGGAACGGCCAGCCCGGAGCGGAACGCGGTGTCAAGCTGGCGTTGATCGGTACGTCGTCACATAAATCTGAAATATTTGCGTGCCGCTGAGGTGCGGAATTGATGGTGATGGCATCTGAAACGCGATGTTGGCTGCGCAGCGGGTATCAAGGAGGGCCTGTACGACCCCGAGACGCTCGCGGCCTACCTGCTCTACCGGTTGAATATCCTCGACCCTGTGTGTGAGTGTCCGACCTTGTCGCCTGTCCCGTCCATGCACCTGACCAACGATTCTTCATTGCCGGTACACACGCAGCGCCAGCGTACCTACGGATCCTTCCGCCATCCAGCCAGCCGCAGGCTGACGTGCACTCATTTTTGGGCTTGCTGGCCGCACGATTGTGCATGCTGAAGAAGGGCGGCGTGCCGGACGAGACGCGCGCGGCTCTCTGGTTTATAAAGTGGTGGAGAGAGGAGGGTGGGCTGCTTGCTGCTTCCGCGCCGGCTTTGCCTGCGTATGCCGCTGACCGCAGCCTACAAACAAACCTGTCCACCGACGGAACCCATGACGACGCACTGGCTCTGCCTTCCGGTCCGTCACAACTACGGACCTACCGCCGCGGCTGGGGCTTCGACTTTGAGTGGGACGTCGATGTTGCGGAGGCAGTCGCGAACAGATACGATGCGGCTGCGATCCAGCGAAAAATGGAGGAGTGCATTGAGAATTTCGAGGAGGCGGCTTTGGAGGAGGAGCGGGCGGGCGGTGGATTGAGCCGTGCACAGGGGAAAAAGCGGGAGAAGGATGAATCGAAGGCGAAGCGGGTGGCGAAGATGAAGGCGAAGCTCGCGAACAGAGCGAGGTGACGCAGTGTGTCGGGTTTGTGGGAGGGATTCATGAGACGATCTGTGAAGGAGAAAAAAGGGGTGTATGACTGGATGTCTGCAGCATACTGCAGGGGATGGCAACGGAAGTTCGATGCGCAGGCCACAATAACGCACGCGCTACTGGTCGAGGTTTAATTTCGTCGCGCAGGCCACAATATCAACGCATGCGCTACTGGTCGAGGATTAACTCCTGCGCCTGGCCTCCACAGGACTCCTGCTCGAGGCGTTGTTTTCGTCGCACGGTTCTGCGGCCTTGCCGTTACAATGCGACACTCAACATATGAAACTAGTATCCCCTCTATTGTTATTCTCTTTCATTTGGGGGCATCTAGTACGACCGAGCTCTCATCCAACTGTCAAATTTGATTAATTATTGCTAATACTAACTCATAACCGTACCTCTGCTTAATACACTTGTCACATAGTAGCGTAACTACCGGCAGAATGAGCAATGGTAGCATGACGCTTCGCGATAGATAGTACAGAAGGCGATGTCAGTCACTGTGCATGATCCGTACCCATCGTCTCAGAACGTATCGAATTCTTGGCGATGGCGAAGCAACAGTCTTCTTTTCTTTCTCTGCTTCCATTTCAAGATTGCCCCGTTGCGTTAATTGTGATCCTCGTATAGGTGGGTTCTCTCAGACGTTCTCGCACGGGATGCCGTGACCCCATGCAGATGATATGCAACGCGCTGTGTCTGTATGCCCATGCCCAGCAAGCGTTTTCCGCTCCGCAACAGAGCGATCTGCTTTAGGGTGATGTCTAGACAAGCAGAGATCTGTCAATCACTTAGCATCACGCTATCCAGTATGACAAGCCTGCTGCACCGTTCTGGATCATGTTGTTGATGAATAGCGGCACTCGAACCACGTTAGCGTTGGCGAACAACGCACTCACCGTATTACTTGTTGTCCAGCTGTCCAGCATACAACCTTACATGCTACGGTGCTCTAGGCCATTCATAGTGCCTCACTGGCATGACGATCAGGACCAGAACCGTAGTGACCATCTGCGAATATTCGATGGACCTGGGGTTTTGAAAAGAAGATCCGGTTAGCACGGCGGGTTAGTCAGTGACGAGTCTAAATGTGCGCCAGAACAGGAATCACTCAATAGGGATTGGATGTCCATCTTCGGCCATCCGTGGGAAACAGACGGCTGTGCATAGCATCTCATGTTGAAAGATATTGCGGTAGATGCGCTTTTCCTACCTCCGCGAACACTTCATCATCAAGGTAGCTTCAGTCCTCAATGATACGTCAGCATGAGTCATGGAATTGATCCCACTGGGGACCATTTTCTGATATGTCGAAGATGTAACGTCCATAAATTTTCAAACATTACCGTCTTCTCGGTTCACAATGTGGGTAAGAGGAAAGGCCATCTGCCCCGCAGTCTATTTGGCAGCAGGTGGTAGATGATATCAAAGAAAAAACTGCTAGAGATACAACAAAGATTATCCGCCTAGTATACAATACGATCGAACTCTCACAGCAATCAAAAGTCCAAGTAGTCTCTGTTTTCAGGCCATGTCGTGCCGCCTGCCACCACGGTCCCATAGGCATCCTCAACGACACCACTCTCCACGTCTTTGAACGAGAACTCGCGTTTGAATTTCGCTTCGAGGGACGCCATGGTGCCGATGAGCTTAGTACATGCCTGCTCCAACACAGCCGTTGGTGTAATGCTACCATCGGTCTGGATCTTGATGAGGAAGTATGGTTGAAGAGGATGTGGGACCTTGTATCCCGCAAAGAGGATCTGGGGCATGGAGAGCAGTTGCCTTCATGGCCTGGTCAGGGCCTGGTGACTTCTGGAAAGGGCATGACTACTCACGCGCGTATTAGGTTCCCTAGAGTATGATCTTGCTTCATAACCTTGATAGTAGCAGCATTTGGGATCTTGGTGTCCTCGATCACCTCGACCCTAGCGAGAAGGCGTATAAGATGGATCGTTCTTTGAAGGTCAAGGAGCGTCACGCACGGCTTCTCACCCTCGTCCAAAACAAAGAGTTCGTATCGCGCAGGGGCGTTCATCGTACACCGAGACCACTAACAATGACACCTCTGTACACCTGAGCTCTCCGCAAATCGAGGCGGCTGAAAAACGGCGGCAGATTGGACAAGTTCCACTTGGACAAAGGAGCTTCTTCAAGGGCTGTCAGTCAATATGGGATGCTGGAAGCGCTAGAAACGAAATATCGCATCATTTTTTGCTGACCCATGGATGAGAGCAGCACAATTTGAAGTCAGGACACGTTTTGTGATCACTTCGCAATCATTGACAATAAATAAGGCATAAAGCCGGCATCATTCACCGAATATAGCGAGAACAAATGCTTACCGCAACAACAGCTCCAGAGGAAGGGTGAGAGGTGTTGGCGACGGTGGCGGTATCGGCGTTCGTGAGCGCGAGGTCGAAATATTTGCCACCGAGCAAATATCATCAAACATTGCGCCACCGCTCGATCGGGAACTTTGGTAAGGGCAACTGACTGTGTATCGCCAACTCGACACCTCCTCAAGGTGAGTTTGCTGCTGCTATGGACGCCCTGATGCATCCAGTGGAATGTACGGAAGAGGAGCTTTCGGTGGGATGTCGAATTGTGGGGAGATCCGGGGATATGACATTGGATGCATCGGGCTCCGTTAGGATGATGCTGACGCACGGTCTCGCACCAGAAAATGCCTACACGGTTCTCCAACACTCGCAAGCACCGTGGCCACGTATCTGCAGGTCATGGACGTGTAGGCAAGCACCGCAAACATCCCGGAGGTCGCGGTCTCGCTGGTGGCCAGCACCACCACCGGTGCGTCCTGCAGTTCTCAGCGATTCAAACGTTTCCCAATGTTCGCGCAGAACCAACTTTGATAAGTACCATCCTGGTTACTTCGGTAAGGTTGGTATGCGCCGCTTCCACCTTACGCGCAATCTTCAATGGCGCCCGATTGTCAACGTGGACAAGCTCTGGACGCTTGTGCCTGCAGAGGAGAAGGAGGGCTTGACGGAGAACTCGGAGGTCGTGCCTGTCATTGACACGCTCCGTCATGGGTACGGCAAGGTGTTGGGTAACGGACAGTGAGTGAAGAATTTCTGCCTTGAAGATCATTGCGGTCAACCTATGGACCAGATTGCCCAAGCTCCCTTTTATTGTGAAGGCACGATTCGTGTCAAAGAAGGCCGAGTGCGTATTGCTGTAGACATCTTAATTTGTGTCATCTCACCGTGATTATATCTTCAGGCGCAAGATTAAGGAGGCGGGTGGTGTTGTCAAGCTCATCGCATAATTCGCTTTCCATCTGCTTTCGCTCGTATTTACTTTCATACCTGTACAGCCACTTATCGCATGCATATGACTTACCACTGCGAAGCTCTTCCATGCTGTATCAATGCACAGGCGCTTGGCCGCCTATCTCTTCGGCAACCTCGCTGCGTCGTCAACTGGATATTTTGCGTGGTTCGTCGGTGAGTTACCTTTCAGAAACCTGATTTCTTTACGAGGCCGTCTTGTCGACTCAACATCTTCGTTGATCGTGCCGTTTGCTAGTTCAGCTAAATATACGAACCTTCTGCATTCCTGGTATATGAGTTTGTTGTTCCTGAAGCCACGCGATGATGAACAACGACATTTCTTACATGCGACAGTGGAAGTCATAGTACAACAGAGTCCACCCGTAGCATATCAGCAGAAGGCACAAAAAGCAACAGTACACAGACGACGGTAATGAAGAGGAATCCAAGCACTGGGGATGTAAGATTACACAATTCAGGGTGGGGTGAAAGGGCACCAGTAGAAGAATGTCGGCCGAGTCGATGACAATGAGGAGCAACGCGGTCATGAATATCTAAGCCTGCACCTGGCCCCTCTCCACATCTGGCTGCTGTGCGCTGGAACGACCGAACGCACGGAGGAGGGCACCAGGGCGGGGGAACGACGCAGTAAGGCTCCCGCGGACGCTCTGTGCAGGCGGAGACGCGGGCACTCTCTCTACATGCACATCCGTGGACATTGAGTCGCGCATCTCGTCTTCTTTCGAGGGCGGCACGGTGGTAATTCGGAGCATCGATGTGTATGCTAGATAATGGTCATCAGCACGCGAGCAAGCAGGCAGCACCAGCTAAGCTTACGTTGACGACACACTGGGCAGAACCACCCCTTCGCCTTGCGCTTACGTCGCGGTACGGGAGGCGCAGCGACCGCCTCCGAGCCAGGCAGCGCGCCGTCGGAGGTGGACGTGGGTACGTTAGTGCCATCGCCCGCGGTGTCATCCGGACCCGTGGTGGCACTGGGCTCGTTGTCCTGTTGCACGATCGTGCCGCCCGCACCAAACTCGATCATGTTGAGTGCACATTCCCTACAGGCAACCAGGTGGCGGCATGGCAGAAGGACAACCTCACGCGGGGAGGAGAGACAGAGAAGACACTCAGACGAGGGTTCTTCCTCCTGTGTCGTGCCGGGCGGGGGAACGGGAGGGTAGACGTGCTGTTCTGCGGAGGTGGGTGAGGTAGGTACAGGCTGCGACGGAGTGGTTGAGTTAGCGGAGAGGCCGTAAATCTCATGCAGATGGAACGTGTGTGGACCAATCTAAATGGTGTATGAGTGTGTATCTCGCGAGAATATAAGCACTTCGTTCACTGACAGTGGCCTCACGCTTCACAACTTTGACGACCCAGGGACGATTGTCTTCGATGACTTGTCCATCTAAGGACACAGGGGGAGGACCATAGCGGACGATGTGCAGGTAAGTGACCTGCTCGTTCACAGACGGCAACTCATGTCCTTCGCCGTCCAGCGCAGCCAATCGGATAGTCACCCGCACGCCAACATCGGGCTCCTCCCTCCTACTTGCCGTTTGCGAATCGCTCTCCTCCCCTTCTGTGGCATGCGTCTCCGCATCGACCACAGCTAGGGCAGGGCCGGCCACATTCCGGTTCTGACTGCGCTTCCGGAAGTTGAAGTGTGTGAACCGCAGCCGCTTCGTGTGATTGTCCTCCGGCGCCTGCTGCCCCTCCGCGTCCACAGCCACCGATGACTCCGCCGCGGTATCCTTCTCGGGATCGTCGGCACACAGCTCGAACCTTCCGAGCTCCAGCGTCGCGCCGTCCTCGTGCTTCAAGACCTTGCCGAAGCCACCGTCGACAACAGACTCGTAAACGAGGAACTTGTACAGCCCGCTTGCGTCGGCCTTGCCCGCTAGATGGTGGCGCGGACTTAGGAGTACGTTGACGCTGATCCCGCACTTAGGCGCATCGCAGTCGTATTCGAATTCAAGTCCGTGGTGGTGTTGCGAGTCAGCGTGGTCGGGATCATCTGAGGGAGCGTCCTCGAATGGCGTCAGTCGGAGCGTGGGTCGCTTAAGATTGACGAGCGCCTGCAGCGTCGTCGTCGTCGGGAAGCCCTGCAGACGCAGTCAGAGGACAGGCACCATACCGAACAGCTAGCACACGCACCTCCTTGCTTCTGGCAATCCAGTTCTTGATGATCTCCGGAGTCAGCTCATCGCTGCTCTTCTCGTGTCTCTCCGTCCATTCGGGCCCACCACTGACAATGCCGATGTTGGGGCCAAAGAGGGTGTCAGACGTCTTCTCCTTGTTTGCATCTAGCCCATTGGGATTGCCCATGTTGAGAACGACTGCGTCCTGGGCCGCTGCCATCTGCTGTGCCATCTCAGCAGCCCTGCGTGAGGTGGATGTGTCCGTGCGAGCGAGATACGGCTGTGCGTGGAGTCGCCTTGTCCTATTCCAAGTGGAGTATTGGTTATTATCTGGTTTGGCGGTCAGATATGAAACGGAAGACACATGGTTGACTCACACCAAGTCGCGATGGTGGCCATTGTCAGCAGAGAAGTGAGCACGAGGCTGAGTAGAATTAATGCACACGGAGGAATGACTGTACTCACGGTCTATTGCTAAATTAAGCGGTCCCGCCGATGACTGGTCGGTGAGTTACGCTTTGTCACTGCGTGATGCAGTCATCGCGCCGGAACCGTCAGAGCGACGCGGAACGCTTTCAAAAGCCCGCATACATACGGCGCAAAGAAGCAGGTCGTCGTTAGCAACGACAACGTCTGCCAGCGATGATCATGTTTGGAAGGAATGAGAGACCACCATCTGCATTCACTCACAAGATAGCTGATTGATGTGAATTGCCGCGGCGACGCTGCGTGGTCTAGTGTTCAGTTCTTGCCTAAGTGTGTCCTAGCCTCTTCGCAAACAATCGTCGTCGCTGACAACGGCGAGGTGATGTGCACAGCCAGAGTTCTACGTGCACAGCAAGGTGTATGCTCATCGTGACGCGTGACGCATCATGGGTGACCTCTGCGCGTGTATTGTCACAACCTCACGACCACGTGCTGCACGAGACGGAAGTGGTATGGGCGCCTAACTATAGCAATGTCACTTGCAACGAGTCTGGCACTGGTGGTATAGTCTGCTTAGATCTGCCCACACACAACACATTCCACCGAGCGATTTCAATCGAGGCAAACATCATCTGTCAAGGGGGCTGGAAAGGATTCATCTATTGTAGCTGGATCTGACAATCTCGTGCATCGACTGCACCGACTGCACCGACCGCCATTGACCTACAACTTGATCATATTGACTTGGGCGCGGCTCACTGCCAAGGCGCACTTCTATTATGTCTACCGATCCGTACAATGCTGTTCAGCAAGACATTCAAGCCTCACTTCAGACCGCCGCCACACTGCGTGCCTCGTTCCTGCGGATACGCAGCACCGCCAAGGAGGATAGTGAGGAGCTAGTTTGGGCGAGGAACGAGGTAATTTATGCATCAGAAGCTCTATACTTAATTGACCGTTGGACGTTTGTTATTGTCTTGACAGCTCAAGGCAACGCTTGCGGCACTTGGAGCCGACTTGGAGGACCTGGAAGAGAGCGTCAAGTCAGTGTGTTCATAGGCCTTCTCCGCCATCGTAGTTATCTCCTTCTTTTATGCACTAACGTTCGTAATGTAGGATCGTCGAATCGACTGGAGCGCGCATGTTCGGTCTAGAGGAAGCAGAGGTCATGGAGCGCAGAAAATATGTTAGCCATGTACGACGGGAGATTGATGTGCGTGATCACGTTTACACAACAATCACGAGCGGACAGGATGATTTGCTGACTTCGATGTAATATTCATGTTCTTCATGACAGACCATGAGGGCGGAAGTGGAGTCTGATCAGACTGAGACGCGTCCAAGGCCGCGGTCTAAAATTGGAATATCTCCAAGTCTATCTCGCAATGGCAGCCGAATTTCTTCTCCCGCACCTGGCGGTGACGATCAGGCTGAGTGGGCGAGACAGGAACAAGAAGTATAGCTTCTTCTGCAATTGCAAAATCGCTAATTTTACTGATACGTGTGATTCTTTGGTGAATTAGATGATGGTTCGTCACCAGGATCAGACGATGGACAATATTGCTGGGACGGTGAGCACATTGCATGAGCAAGCAGGTCTGATGGGCCGCGAGATCGGTGAACACATGGAGTTAGTTTGGCGAATTTATCCCTTCGGTCATGACACTGACTGCTAGCTCCGGCTTCGTTTACGTCTGACGACAGAATGCTTGATGACCTCGAACGCGGAGTCGACCATTCAGGCGCTAAGCTGGATAACGCTATGCATAGAATCAAGAAATTCATTCGTCAAACGGAAGGTCAGTTTTCCATCCCAACCACACATGTTCGGAGCGTTTGATTTATCAGCAAACGATAATCCTACCAGAAACGAAATCTGGATGGTGCATCATAATCCTCATAATTATTCTCATGGCATTGCTACTAGCAGTCATTCTTGTATAACGCTTTGCGTGTCTTGCGCAAACCTTCTGCTTTCACTGGCATTCCTTCATTTCGAATGATACCCACTTCGATATCTTACCGTGTCTCATGGCGCGGTAACATTTTCTACACCATATCCCTTCGCAGTAAGCCTTTATATCTATATATGTCCTTCTAGAACATTCATATCTCATTGACATTATCGTACAGCAAAAACCGCATCCGGAAGAGTCGCCGCTATATTGACCGGCATCTTTGCGTATTTTAACGGACGTGGACATTGTATAATTTTACTGAGCCTATGGTCAGGTTGATAATGAGTTGCAACGACGTTACCTAGGAAAAGCCAAGACGACTGCATTGCAACCGCTCTCATGTTTTCTGATGAAGCAATCTGACGTGCAAGGCGTTCCCCTGGATCCCCGTGATCGTTAACGAATCTCGCGCAGTCATGGTGAGAAACATTGTTGCATACATCATCTTTGGAGGCTCCTTTTCCCATACATGTTGTTCAAGCCCTTTGGTGCAAGGCCATCCAAATCCATTATTTGGCGAGGGATGCCTTTGGGGCTGCTTAGGACGCTCGGTCGTTCATTCCGATGTCAAGAGTGCCACGTGATGTGACAAGCCGTTGACACGTTGTTTGGATGCCAGCCACCGCCTTTGTTCAAGTTCGCGTTCGACGCCAACCACCACGGCGGCTCCTCCCCCCTTCCATCTGCTGTCTTGGTGCTGGCCGACAACGACAGAACGACAACGCTCACATTCTATATCCTACTGTTTCCGTAATTTTTTCTGGGTTTGTCGCGAATTTCTCTAGTTCTGCACAGTCATCATGCCCGCATCTGCTCCCGAGAGCCCACCCCGCGCGCCGCCCATCAAGTATCATACGCCGTTGGGGACCAGATGGCAGAAAGAAAAGGCTGCGGCGGGAACCGGTGCTTTTGACTACCCGGACGACGCGAAGTATGTTGGACCCTGGATCATCGGCGAATGCGTCGGCAAGGGCGCAAGCGGGCATGTCAAGATCGCGAAGCACCGACGGACTGGCCAGCTTGCCGCAGTCAAGATCCTGCCTCTAGCTCCCTTTGTGAACTCCCGTGCCTCGCTCACCGCCCAGGCAAAGTCGGACAAGCAGCGCCTCGGAATCGACAGGGAGATTATCATGATGAAGCTCATGAATCATCCGAATATTATGCGCATTTATGACGTCTACGAAGGCGAGAAGGAACTGTACCTGATTCTGGAATATGTGGAAGGCGGCGAACTGTTCGACTTTCTGGTCAATCGTGGCAAGCTTCCTCCACTCGAGGCTCTGGCATACTTCAAGCAGATTGTCTATGGGCTCAACTATGCGCACACGTTCTCTATCATCCACCGCGATCTTAAGCCGGAGAACATCCTCATACACTCTTTGAATCCACCTCTCATCAAGATTGCTGACTGGGGAATGGCTGCCTTCGCTCCTCCTTCTCTCCAACTGGACACTAGTTGTGGCAGCCCTCACTATGCCAGCCCTGAGATCGTCAACGGGCACAAGTACTGCGGCACGGCGACCGACATCTGGAGCTGCGGTGTGATCTTGTTCGCGCTTCTGACTGGGCGACTTCCCTTCGACGATAAGAACGTCAGGACTCTGCTGAGCAAGGTCAAGATCGGCAAGTACGAGATGCCAGCATTTATCGACCCTCTGGCCAAGGATCTTTTGTTTCGGATGCTCGTGGTCGACGTCTCGAAGCGTATCACGGCGAGTAGATCCCGCTTTGGTTATTATTCCTCACGAAACTGATCGGGGACTTGTCCGTAGATGGCAGAAATTCTGTCGCATCCCTGGCTCGAAGGCCAGACGCCGGGGATTACATACGTGCCTGCGCCGCCTGTCTCGGAGTTGGCAAAGCCCCTTCCATCGGCGCTACACATCGACCGTGATTTATTTGAATCGCTGTGCGTGATTTGGGGACGCCACGCTGACATCGAGGGCATCAGGGCCGATCTTTTGAGCCCGGCGGGGCAGGGCACGCTAGCGAAAGCCTTCTATTTCCTCCTCCAGAAGCATCGTGAGAAGGCAATGGAGGAGCATGGCATCCTCATGGACATCGATGAAGTTCTCAGCGCGAGCGGCAAGGTCGTCACAAAGCAGTATGCTGCACCCCGGTCAAAGAAGGTTGCACATCTCGAGCCCCAAGACCTCAACATCCCAGCCGTACCACAGCACCAGTATCTACGCTCTAACCGCGCAGCGCCAGTGCCTCCTTCGCGAAGCCCGTCTCCTAACACTCTTGTCATTTCCACCGACATAGCCATGGATAAGGCACCTGCCAGGGCACACCCTCCGTCTCCTATTGGTCCGCGCCCACAGAGGCCTCGGCCGACTTCTGCATTTATCTCTCCATCCGTGGACACGAGGATCACTGCGGGACGGTCCACGTTCTCGACCCCCAGCGCATTCCAAGTGGATGCGAACCGTGCGTTCGTGCAGCCGTTCTCCGTACCAGGACACTCCGCTCAGGGACAGTCCCAAAGCATCTTTACGTCGTATCAACAACGCGGAATCCCACCTCTGCCCACACGTCGGGGCTCCGCTCCGCCTCCTGCTACGTTCAACGTCCCGTCTGCTTCTTCAGGTATGAGGGCTCCTTCTCGTGGCGGCTATCGAGGTTCTATGGCAGCTCCGTCCCTCTCCCCCGGAGTCATACATGCCCCCGTTCCTGTCCCGGCTACGGCCACTCCGATACTTCCAATGATTACTGCCCCGAGGGTGCCGGATGTTGAATTGCAGAAGACGATGAACCAGTACGCGAACATGGTGAATATGCAGGTGGCCTCGTGGAATGCAACACGCGCGCAGGTGCAAAGCCCGTCTGCCCATGAGCGCGTCGACGAGCCGATGGACATTTCTGAGGACGCGCCAATGCGCAACATCGATATCTCGGATGGCAAGGCGGAAGCGGAGAACAAAGAGAACTGGAATGCGGCTGCTCCTGCTCGCAGACATGCTCATGCGGATGCTGTTAACGGCCATGGCGGTCTCGGCTTCGGCCAATCTGTGCCGTTGGCGAAGGAACTCGGCAACGTTGTCTTCTTCAATGAGCCTACTAGCAGCAAGGAGTACACGAAGAGGGAAAGGAAGAATCGCCGTAAGTATTATCCGCCAGAGTGTATATTGCATGATTTAATGTCTTATAGCTCCGGCGTTGGATCTCCACGGAACTCCGATTCTGCAGAAGAGGTCGACGTTCTCCATTGTCGGGTCGCCCGGGCCCATGTCTCCTCCCGCGTCGTTCATCGGCTCGCCCGTGGTCGGCGAGTTCAAGGGCTGGTTCTCGAACTTGTTCCATTGGAAGGTGCAGACGTACATGCTGTACTCGGTCAACGACGTGCTTACGACGCGCATCGAGACGATGCGGCTGCTGGAGCAATTTGGCGTGCTCGCGGTGCTGGACGAAGCGCACGGCTGGCATGTGCTCAAGTGCCGTGCGGAGGACGGGCAGGATGGATCCAAGCAGGTGCGCTTCCGCGTTGAGTTCTCGTCGGTCGCTGGCCCAGGCGCAAGCGGCTTCCCACAGCCGGGTATGACGCCGCGGCTGTCGCAAACGCCGATGTCGCCGCACGCGAGCTCGTTCGGGCAGTCGCGGTTCAGGATGGACAGGGCATGTGGATATGAGACGGCGATTGGGCTCGTGCTGGAGAAGGGCGCGGTGTCGGCGTTCAAGGCGATCTATCAACGGCTGAGGGGCGAGTGGAGACTGGACGCGCTGCAATCGCCGCATGGGATGATGGCGGCGAGCACGCAGAGCATCGAGCAGCGATTCAACGTGTGAGGCGCATGCGGACTTGATACACTATTGTTCAGACATTACTATACCCACCACAGCTCACACAGTATACCCATGCATGGACGCCTATTATCGGTCTAGCGCCCGAGTACACACTATACCTGTCCCACATACACGGAATGCTCGAGTTGTGTGACATCCTAGGAGACGTATGGAATGCAGCAGGTGTTTGTATGAAATGAGCGTGTATATATAGCGTGACTATTCTCGGCCGCGGATTTTCACTTTGTGAATGCAACATATGTATCTGTGAGTAATCATTTCGTTTGACAGCTACCCCTGATTCATGCTGGCATCTGGACTTGGTTTACGTAAATGGCTCTTTCTATTGAAATCCGCACCACCAGCAGGCTGTACATCATGAGGATAATTTCAAAGGCAGCAGTAGGAATAAGAATGATCTTGAGTGGACGTCTTCATTGATGTTGGAAAGCCGTAGCAGTCTGGTCGGTGCTCTAAATCTGACAGATCAAAGAGGGTATGCTTCCAACTAATTTTTGAAAGGATAATGTCGGAGAAAAAGAAGGCAGAATCAGAGCATTGAAGTGGTTCCGGACTCGTTTCGACTCCCAGCGCTATTCTGGGATGGCACGACTCATCATGAAAACTCAAATCCGGCTTATGATACTTTTATCCGCTTGATGTCGCCAGAAAAGACAGCGAGTGAGAGATAGCCTCAGAACCTTCTTGTTTTGAACTTTTTTCTGGATTAGGGCTTCTTGTCATGTGCTTGTTGGTTTGTACAAGCCATAACCAGCGAGAACAAGTCAAAAAGCAGGTTCTCGAGCCACAAGCCGATTTGAGTTTTCCTGATGGATGACTTCGCAGCCCTCCTTGGTTGAGGAGCCTTTCAGCCACCCGTGACGAACTTGCACACTTTCCTGTTTTGGTGGTGTTCCGATCAATTTGATGGTCCCTCTAGGCGCAAAGCTGGCCGCATGCACCATGGGCCTCGCCCTCTTCAGGCATGAAAGACGCGTCCGCGACGTCGGCTTCCAAGCAGTTTGATATTATCGCCATGCAGTGTGGACTTCTAGCGACTGATCGTGTATTACGTACGATTCCATTTATCTGATTATGGCTTACTACTACCAGGAAGAACCGTATGCAGCTGTCAACCTGCCGACATATATGCTAGCGAGCCAATTGAACGGTGACCATGCTCCTGCCCTCCGCCTCGCCCTTTACCATCGTCTCCTCCGTTCGATGTATCCGTGTCCGTTCTTCAAGTTCCTGCATAACTGAGACATCCAAGGCGTGCGGCACGTCCGTCAATCTCCATGTCAACATTTGGAGAGACTCTAGTGGAACTCGTGGAACTTGATCATTCCCGGAAATGTCACGCAGGTAAGGAAATTATATGCATCATAGAAGCAAGACATCAACGTCGCGAATCCGCAGCGGCCTCTTTGTGCTGGCTATTGTATGATTTTGTAGAATCATTCGAGCAAGAGGCACGTAATTACACTTTGTCGTCCGCTCAGATATTCACCTCTCATTTCTATAGTATACGCTCATCTGGAGGTCAGGATTTTCATGTCATGCGGACGATAAGAGCCATTAAAGCAACTTTACCACCTTGTTAGATCCACACTTAACCTACCAATGTTCCTCTTTCTAATCCCTCGGTATCTCGGGATGCTCATTCAAATGTAAGACGCCATCCAGTGTTCCGCAAATATCGCTGAGATACGTTGTTCAAGGTTTCTCTGCGTCGAAATCCTTCCTCTGTAGTACGCGAATATTTGCTTCGGGAACATAATTTATACTAATAAGATTGCATTGTCATCTAGCTGCAAGCCTGCCATGCTCTTCAATACGGCGTAAGTTGTGTATAATGCTTCAATGAACAATCATTAAAATCCTGATATGTTTTAGAGCACTCACGACACTCGTCTTGTGTGTTGAGACGAGTTTGGTACTACGAACATATGCCCTATACGGCGGCAGCCCCAGAGGTAGCACAACAGAGATAATTTGACCGGGGCTCATAATCTGACCGATTCCCTAGTGCTCTCGCTTCTCTGCGCGGCGTTTTTTGGTGAGCCTATAAGTCCCCTTCGAATGCCACCCATTAGACGTTGAAACGCGGCTGCATCAGGCGAAGTTTTGGTATGCCCATACCTCGACCGCACAGACACGCAGACCATTCACTCAGCCAGCAGTGCATAGGAATCATCAACGGCCTCGCGTACCGACAATTCTACGCCAAAATACAACCGTACCCTTCCGATTGGCCGATAAGGGGCTGTTTCTATCCTGAGACGCCAAAGTTTTGGAACGCATGCTGGTAAGTGCGACCCCCCCAAAATGCGCATTGCAGCTTTTCGCTGAAGGTGCCAACTGCAACAGGGTCCCAGTACTAGTATTCGAAAGTGCGCGGTTTCTGAAGGGTCTTCATGCGCTGAATGCTGATTGCGAGCATAGCTATGTTATTTATATTAATGTGCATCAAATTTTGGTCATACCGCCCACTGCGCAAAATGTCGCTCGCGGTGCGCCTATGGCGCGATGGCACGGCCTATTATCTAATGTACGTACCAGCAGCATGCATTTTCGCACTGCGTCGCTAGACTGACGGGTCGTGGCTCAGAGTACTTGGCGAGTAGACAGATCCCTCGTCACGGTGTCACAGTAAATAATGAGCATGCTATGGGCATAGTCGCAATCACGATCTGCACGGTCGCTCCTTATAAGGACAACACGACGCTCGCCAACATCTCCGCTGTGTACGTCTCTCGGTTCATGCGCAGCGTTGGCGGCGAAAATTAACTCTGATCCTCCTCAGATGGGTCGGCGCGATTTTTTCTTACTCCGTACGTCATCCCCCCTCCATACATCTCCCACCCGCACACTGTGACACGTTCTCCCCTTAGGGCTCACATCTCCTTCTGAGCATCCGGGCACTGGCTACGGAGCGCCAGCAGCTCACGGTGTCCACGCCGCGCATCTCGGAGAATACCGAGGATATCGAGGACATCCCGGAGGCGATCGCGGGGGGTACGAGGGACAGCAAGTCGTCAACCGTCACCCCCGGCGAGGAACATGACTCACACGAGCTATTCCCGTGGCACAGACATTTGCTGCCGTGCACGGTCACCGACACCCAGGGCTCGATGCTGTCGCAGTGGAGCATCAGTAGCAACCCAGTGTGGCTGCAGGAATGGGATGCATGAATTTCACGAATAGACATGGACCCTGTATATTATACGAATTGCGACGAGCGCGATACGTGCGTGGTGGTAAGCTTACATGAGCAGCTCCCGAAAACAGCATTCTACCCCGCTAGGCTGTATCTCCAGCAAACCTACGGACGACGGACGTCTGAGCTATCTCGTTTAAAGCGATGTCAAGCCATCGGAGCGCCCCGTTAATTCGCTCTCCGTTCGTTTGACGTTTGAATACCGCGTCCAGCGTGCAGCCCGCAACACGCTGCGAACCCCCTTCCTCGTGAGAGCGAAAACGGTAATGATTCCACCACCCATAAGCGCTCTCAGACGGGTTCTTATCGCCTCCGGTGCATGCCGCTCTCCAGTGCCCTGGCCTCCCGCTTCCACGGCATCCTGATATCGGAACAACCCCCCCCCCCCCGGGGACATGCCCTGCGGTAAGACTAATGAATGCACGTCGCATGGTTTCCGGTAACAATATCTGGTGGCCATGCTGTCAGAACCCGGGAAGCAGCGAGCCGTGCCAAGCGGTAAGACAAAGGTATCGGATTGCAACGACGTTGGTGCAGTGCCATGGAGCGAGTTCAAGCAGACAACACTTGCAGTTGCGGTAGGACGACATTGTCTCTTGGGTCATCTTGCTTGAGGGAGCTGAACTGGAGCGCGAGGTCCAAATTGGCTAGGGCTGCATCCGTGAGGGGGTTCATACCGGGCTGATAGTCCAGCCTCGCCTTCATCCGAAGCGCGATCACCGACGCATCTCTGTAGCGTCCCGTCTTGAGCAACCATGAGATGATCGCGGTGTACGTGACGATATTCGGCTGCGGGAGCGTCTGGCTCGAACGTGCAGAGCCCTCGCCCGCTTCCATGCGGTCGAGGAGGCTCGTGAGTTTCCAGAGGTCGCCGAAGCGCGCGAACACTGCGGCAAGCGTCGTGAGGCTCTCGATGCCGGGCTTGATGCCGAGGCGGTACATGTCCGAGATCACCTGCGCGGCGCGCGATGGGCCGAACCGCGCGCCGAACGCCTGGATAAAGACGTTGAAGTGCGCGGAGTCGTACATGGACGAGGGGGCAATGGGCGAGGGGTAGGCCTGCTCGCTGCTTGGTATATCCTGGCTTTCGCCTGTCCCCAGGGGAGCGTCAGCCGGGCGTTGCGGATCGCTTTCTATGTCGTCAGTGGTGCGCTGAGAGGGGAGAGCAGCCGCGCGCTGTGCAGTGTCCACTTGCTCCAGCAACTCCCGATAGAGCCCTTCGAGCGCGATCGGAGTCGACATAATCTCCGCCACGGCGCGCCACACAAGCGCGGTGTGGTGCGTCGACGGCCACAATTTCTGCTGCAATGGCTGTGAGGGAAGCAGCGGCAGAGATTCTCTGGGGACGTTCCCGTCCTTTTTCATACGACTGGCCGCCCGCCTAGGATATTTCCACATCCGCCTCGGCACGGCGACGAAGTGGAAGTGGTGCGTGAATACGTTTATCAGGAGCAAGTTCTCGTCGCGGCGGAGGTGGTAGAGCATTTCGGCGAGCGCCCACATGGAGGTCGTCGGGAAGGTCCGGTAGGAGCGCGTGCGGAGGATGCGGAGGGCGAGTGTGCGCCCAGTGGCTTTGTAGACGGTCATGAAGATCGCGAGCGCGGCGGGGGAGGGGTAGCGCGAGGGACGGAGGCTTTTGCGGATGATGCGTAGCGCTGCGGCGAGGTCGACGGTGGCTCCCTCTGGTATGCTCGTTGGGAGCTCGGTGGGCGGCGCGTAGTGGGGGTTGAAGCGAGCTTGTCTGGTTCGGATTTCGTGAAGAGGCTTTTCGGCCGTTGCGCGGAGACTCTCGACGATCGATAAGTTTCGCGTGTCTAGCATCTCCTTCAGCTTGCGCGACGCTGTGTTGTATGCCCGTGGAGTGATAGAGACCTGGCGCTTGCGCGCGGTCTGTAACAGCTGGACTGCATGGTCTGTTCGCGCAGCTATGCAGTGGCTAATGACAGCGTTGCTATACCAGTCTTCCATAACCGCTGCGTGTTCGATTTCGACGCGATCGGCGATGTCGGCAGGAACAGACGCAATTGCCTTTTGCAGAGCCTTCGCGGCACTGTCGTGCAAGGTGCTCATAAATACCGAGCTGATGGCAGGAGAGGCATATGCGATGAGTAGAGACACCAGCTGAGAGCTGATAGCGGTAGCATAGCCCTTCTGTGCACTGGAGATGGCGAACTGCGTCAAGACCGGAAGATCGGGTATAGAGTCATGTAGTAAAGCATCTTGGACTTTAAAGATGCTAGAAGAGACCGAGTCGTGAGATGATGCGTCCGGTATCAAATCCCACCACTTTGTGAACGCAGTCAGTCGGTCACGGGGGTCTTTGTATTCTTGCTGTAGGGCATGCAAAGCAAATTTTAAATACAGAGAGGAAGGCTGCACATACTGGCCCATCTCCTTGAGCTCTGCAAGCACTCGGTTCGCGTCGTCGAATCTGGCCTCGCGCACGAGTGCCGACAGTAGGTCGGAAGCGTTCGCAGGGAGCCAGACAGAGTCAGCGCCTTGTTCACATTCCGAAAGCTCGGTACAGTAATCAGCGGTGGTGTCTTCGAATAACGAGGTATCCAGAGGTGTGTTCGGATAGGATGTCCGCTTCATCTCGAGCATAGCGGGTGACTCTTCAGAGAGCGAAGGAGTGCTGAAGTAATGCTTCGAGAGCAGGTTAGACGACCAGGTATTACTGCCGGTAGACAACGCCAGACAGTCCCAACGAAACCGGGGACGCGATAAGCATAGCCATGGCGTCCTGAGCAGCCATGTGGCCATTCAGCGTCGACCGCGGTCCAACGGACAGATCTCGCGGGACGACCTGGGAAGAAAGTATTATAGTTAAATAACAACTTCAGACATAAACCATACCGCTGGACGATGTACAGCACGAGGAGATGCTTGTGGCCGGGTCGCAAGGTCACTGCGGCCGCGGGCGACGGTGCGTGGCCACAATTTCTTTTCTTAACCGCCGCATAGCACGTGACTAACTGCTTACCTAAGGCCCTGTAGGCGCTTAGGACAAGCTCGTTGGTCTTCCTTCAAGTCGGCAGTCCCGTAACCCTGCTTCTTTAGGCAACTGCACTCAGATTTCCTCTGCTTCAGTCTACGCACTGATTGGTACATCTCGAACTAAGCCTGCCTCGTCTCGAATTTATTGCAGACAACTGTACTCAGACACGACGTGTATCGACGCGACATGTCTTCGCCAAAACGCACTGCGTCTCCCTCGCCGAGCAGCCCTGACGCGAAGAGAATCAAGCTGACCGTGCCACAACAGGCCCAAGGTGCTGTGGCTGTGGATCCCGACAATGCCGCAGGAAAGAGGAGTGAACTCGAGCCCATTCAAGGAGGCGACATTGGCAACTTGCCCCCTACAGACGCCAGCGCGCCGCCTAGCGAGCCTGCATCTGCAGTGCCTGTCAGGCTGCTGAAGGCCGAGGGTGAGGGCGAAGGAGGAGAGGACGGAGGCGACGTATCAATGGCGGAGGGAGGAGATGGCGCAGAGGAAGAGGGCGAGTCGGCGGACGAGAATGACGAAGAGGACCCTGCTCAGCTCGAGGCCGCGAGGCTCCGACTAGAAGAACAGGCTCGAAAGTACCTCGCTGCGCAAACACACGAGGTTATCATACCTTCGTACGCCGCATGGTTTGACATGTCGAAGGTTCACCCTATCGAGCGGCGCGCGCTGCCCGAGTTCTTCAACTCAAGACACCGTTCAAAGACACCGTCCGTATACAAAGATTACCGCGACTTCATGATCAACACGTATCGTCTCCGGCCATCGGAGTACCTTACTGTTACGGCGTGTCGCAGGAATTTGGCGGGGGACGTGTGTGCCATCATGCGTGTTCACGCGTTCCTTGAACAGTGGGGTCTCATTAACTATCAGGTGTGTGTGTCCACCTCTTAAATGGCATACTTATGGACCGCTGGTGACCTCAGATCGACCCCGACCAACGACCTGCCGCTTTGGCGCCGCCATTTACAGGCCACTTCCGTGTTATCCTTGACACACCTCGCGGACTACAGTCTTTGCACCCGGGAACACGTCCACGAGAACCTCCTACAGGCCCTGCCATAAATGGTGCGCCAAAACCGGCACCAAGTGCTACGCCTGCATCGGTCGAACTGCGTTCTTCTATCTATCAAACAACGGCCAAGTCTTCACGGCCGGTGTCCGACGGTGAAGCCCATGCGCTCGCGAATGGTACGGAAGGAGCCCACGGAGCGGCTCGCAATGTGAGGTACAACTGCGATACTTGTGGCGTCGACTGTACATTCGAGCGGTATCACTCGCTGAAAACCAAAGATTTTGAGCTGTGTCCTCCTTGCTACCTGGATGGACGGTTCCCATCTACTATGTTCAGCGGTGATTTTGTCAAGCTTACCGCGGCGTCCACCGCGAGTGGGTTACACCACGGCAGCGGGACTGGAGCGGACGACGACTGGACAGACCAGGAGATCCTGCGGCTGCTCGAAGGTGTGGAGATGTACGACGATGACTGGTCTGCAATCGAGGAGCATGTGGCGACGAGGACGGCGCAGCAGTGCATTCGCAAGTTCCTGCAGCTCCCGATTGAAGACGAATATGTTACTACGGAAGGCGACTTGGGCCCGCTGAGATACGCGCGGATACCGTTCGAGCAGGCGGACAACCCTGTCATGAGTGTCGTGGCGTTCCTGGCAGGTGTAATCAACCCGGGTGTGGCAGCAGAGGCGGCGAAGACTGCCCTTCATGTGCTCGCTGACATCGACAAGAAGGAGGAGGCAAACGGGGAACAGAAGGCAGGGGAAAAATTGGCCGAGGCTGAGCAGCAGGCAGCCGCTGAGAAAACAGGTGACGAACGCATGGACGAGGACACGCAGAAGGAGGGTGCGCCTTCACATTCGGGTACAGAGACGGCAAATGAGGGTGTCGTTTCCCAGGAGTCCTCAGACGCTATGGCCGTGGACTCCGAGACCGCACCGTCAAAACCGACTCCGTCCATCCCGCACTCGAAGGTCGTCCGCGCGGCTGCTCTTGCGCTCAAGTCGTCTGCCAAGGCCGCAAACACGCTTGCGGATGCGGAGGACACGCAGATCCGGGCGACGCTCGCGACGGTCATCAAGCTGACGCTGACAAAGCTCGAGCTGAAGATGGCGCAGTTCGAGGAGCTAGAGGAGCTGCTCGAGGACGAGCGACGGAGCCTCGAGAGCGCGCGTGCGGCACTGGTGAGCGAGCGTGTTGGGCTTAGGAATATGCTGGAGAATGTACGGAACGAGTTGGCGAAACTGGGTGGAGGGGCCGCGACGCCCGCGAGCGTCGTTGCGACGGCGACACAGGCGCAGGCGGCGTTGGCGGCGAGTGGGCATGGCACGAGGGTGAGCGAGGTCTCTGTGGGGACGCCGATGGACGGTGTGAGCGGCCCTGTGAGCGGGGGGAGTGTCGCACAGCTCAGCTAAGCCTTTGCTTGGTGTTGTGCGTCGTTTCTCGATATGCTGGTGGTTCGCTGTCCGTGTCACTGCTGTGTATCCTATTTTCTCGATGTCTCTCGTAGCGTACAACGTGCATCCGGTCTTGTAACTCTGTTCGCTAAGCTTATTTTCTATGCTGAGCCTGTCATATCGCTTGATTGTCGTAAGTTCCCGGAAAGTTGGTGATCAACACATTCGTATGCCATCAGGCGGAATTGATGGCGGAGCTTGCGATCAAATTCCTTACCTGCTTTTCGTCGACCATTTGCACTGCTCCTTGTCTTGAAGATGCCCATGACAAAGCTCGCTATCAACGTATAGCGACTCAATAGTCGAAATACGTGAGCTTTATTCCTCACGAAACCCACGGAGGCCACGCTGTACATGCAGGAAACACATGGGAGCGAACTCAGGTTTCTCCGAGTCGAAGACGATGACCGACTCCATATCGAAGTTACAGGCACTTACGACATTCTATTTTCCGACAGAGCACTGCATCATGATATAGGCAATGCGCCTTCTCTTGCGCGCCTGCGCAGAAATAAAGCCATTTACTAGACTCGGTGAATCTCACAGGCTCCCGTCATGAGGTGAGTTTCCCCGCGAACCCCACACGGTCTGCAAGGAATTTACTCGGTGAAATTACGCAGATCACGCGAATGCCGGGCTCGAATATTGGACGCTTTTGATCAAGTCGTCCTTGTCGGCGTGTCGGGCAATGTTTTTGCCCGTGGGGCCCCGAGTACAGATTATTGATGTGAACCCAAGGACGGGGATAGCTAGGGCAGCATGGATTCCCTCGTCGAGGTATATAACACTACCGTAGATACATGGCAGGAGTGTTGCCTGGCTGGCTGGCACGATACTTCGTGGAGCCAGAATAGAGACGAGATGGGTTTCCTCGCGTTGGCACTGGGCTGCTTGGCGACACTTCCCTTTGCTGCACCTTTCACTGTTCCGTCGCCTTCCTCGATCAATAGTAGTATCGCTCTTCTCTATTACGACGATGTTGATGGTAGGTGTATGAGTCAACAGAATCGAGCAATGCTAACTCGAGAGCTTCCAGCGTACACTGCGTCAGAGCACAGAAGCGTTTTGCTTCTCTCGCCAATGTCTCAATCAGACGCGGTGACAGCGTGCGCCGGTCTTGCGGAAACCTTGCTGCCTATCAATGAGACCTTCTTTGCGACCGAGCTCGTACCCTTGCTGCAATATCAAGTATACGAAGACGCATATGGTGAAGAGCAGCTGTACTGGGTTCAGCCTGCTGGAGAGACTTGCCAAGCAGTGGACAGCTCGGGGCTTGTGTCCACGGTTTCTTGCGTTTCAGAACTCCCAGTGCTCTGCAGTCAGAGTGCAGCATATGGCGCCTCTGCCGCTGCCAACAACTCTATCACTGTGTACGCAGATGACCTGGTAGTCACCGGGTGAGTGGCAGGCCCCACAAATCAAAGCATGCTCCAACTGGCCTTGACAATCACAGATACCGTGACCAGCTTTCGTTCCGCTTTGAAGGCATACCTTATGTCGATCCTCCGGAGCGATTCACATATCCAACGGCATATACAGGGTCGAAGACATTGAACGCAACGGCGTTTGGATCGGAATGCGTTCAGGCTGGAGTCCCCTCCGGAAGTGAGGACTGTCTCTTCCTCAACATCTGGACTCCGTATGTCCCACTTGACGGAGTCGACGAATCAGTGGAGAGCTTGAAGCCCGTCATGTTCTGGATCCACGGAGGCGCATTCACCAGTGGCACTGGATCCGACCCGACATTCACGGGGAGCAACATGGCAGCCCGCGGCGACGTCGTGCTCGTGACCATCAACTACCGTCTGTCCACCCTCGGTTTCCTCGCTCTCGATGACGGAGTGACGAACGGAAACTTTGGCATTGCGGACCAGGTCGCGGCGCTCGATTGGGTGAGGGAGTACATCACCGCATTCGGTGGCGACCCGAATCGCATCACCATCTTTGGCCAATCGGCTGGCGCAGCCTCTGTCCGTGCGCTGCTGGCGTCACCGCCTGCTATTGGCAAGTATGCAGCGGCAGTCCCGATGAGCAACCTTGCTGGCTCCGATTACGCTACAACGTATTCTCTGTACTACACTATCCCCGAGGAAATCAGCGAGGTTGTGTATGGGATCCTGGATGAGACCGGCTGCACTGTCGACAATGCGTTGGAGTGCCTCAGAGCCTACGATGCATACGACCTCGTTAATCTGAGCAACGTAGCCCGGTACGTTAAGCTGGATTCCTGGATAGCTGTGCGATACTCACCGATGAGTGTGGTAGATTCATAGTGGTCGACGGCACGTACATCACGCATACCGAGCTGCCACTCAACGGATCAGGGACCGTCGCTAATGTCCATGCAATGATGGGATATATGCGTGACGATGGCGCAGCATTCATTGGTTATCCGGTACGTTAAACTGTTTTAATATCCGACGCATGCTAATGATAGCTATCCAGACTACCACCAATTTGACATCGGCTTTACTTGCGCAGTATCTCCCGACTACCGTTGTAAAAGAGATGCTCTTCGAGGTGCCGACTGGACCGAACGCGACGTACAATGTTTTCAATGTTACAGCACGAGTCGCGACAGACATCGAGTTCCGCTGCCTCGACCAAGCCACGGCTTATTCTGCGATACAGAATGACCTGTTCCAGAGCGTGTGGTTCTACCAGTTCAATCGGAGTTATCAGACGCCTGGTTTCGATCCAAACTATCCCGTTTGCGATGCGCCAATCACGGCCGAGTACCCATACGGCGATCCATCGTTGGAATACTTTAAGTACGTCAGCATTCGCTGCGTGAAATACACATCAACTGATCTCTGGCGTTTGTTATGCATTCCAGGTGTCACTCAGGTGAACTCTACTACGTCTTCGGGACCTTGCCGACTACATTGCCATACCGCGATGACCAAGATCTGCCGTTCATGCAGCGGACGCTCGACATCTGGACCGCGTTCGCACGCACGTACAACCCGAACCCTGATCCAGGCTACCTTGCCGCGCGCTGGTACAACGGCACGCTGGCACAACTCGCGGAGCAGAGCACCTGGGAACCCGTCACGACGCAGACCCTGACAACCACGCCTCTGTGTACGTTGCAGTGGGACAGTTTCATGGGTCCTTTTGCAGAGCAGGAGCAATGTGACTTCCTGAGCTATCCGTTGGACTATTTCGGATAAAGAGGGGGGATAGTCTTCAGAACCGTGATATGAGCATGCGCGTGGAGTTATTCTTGGTTCGGAAGACACGCTGATTCCATTGGTTGCATCGATTGGATCGTGGAGAATGCATGGTTGGTGTCATCTTCCACTCGTATGAGAGCTCCACGGAGACATCCTTTCCTGCGCCGAGCGATGAATGCGGGCAACGTCACTGCGATACCGACACTGACCTCTCGAGCATATAGCTCCACGAAGAGTCCTGGGACTTGAGCGCTTCGAGATTTACCACTGTTCCGATCCGTGCGTTCCTGAAAAAGACCCTAGTGCCGTGTGAAGGAGAAGGAGGCCTGCCTCAAGGCCTCGAAGAGAAGTCAACAACTACCCACTTGATGCCGCATCTGCATCCAATTCGATCTTTGCGGAGATGTAAATCTGGCAATGGAAGGCGAAAGTGCACATTACCCAAGACTCCAGAGTAGCCCTTTCATGCGTCCGTACAGGCATCATGGAGGTCAACCTCCAGCCAGCTGCTTGAGTCGAGCCTCGGAGTCGCAGAACCTGCGTCGCGGCAGGGACAGCCTCTAAATACCCACTCCATTCAAAGCGATCAGCAGCACGGCCCTCGTTGTCCTTTTCGAAGCTTCGGAGCGGGGAAAGAGAGGCGGTGCGTTTAACAAGCCGGCATCGGCTTTGCGCCCACTCGTGTCTGGGCGACTGTGCATGGTGCGACTCTGACTCTCGAACGACACTAGATGTTCGGTGCAGGATCAGGAAACAACGCATGGAGGATGCTGTAGAGTATATAGCGGAGCGGCAGCAGGATAGTTTGGAGAGGTAGGCAACGCAAGATGTCCCTCCTGCCTGTGCTGATAGTTTTTCTCGCATTGCTGTCCCTTGCAGCTTCAACCTCCGTTCCGTCGACCTCCTCCATAGACAGTGATATTACACTGCTCTATTACAATGATGTTGACGGTACGTACCTGTACCATGGTCGCTGAGCGGCTGCAGTTCTGATTGTTCCGCGACGTAGTATATACCACCTCAAAGCACCAGAGCGTCTTACTTCTATCTGCGAAATCGCAGCCGGAGGCAACGACAGCTTGCGCCAGTTTGGGAGAGTCTTTCCTTTCTGTCAACCAGACGTTCTTCACCACCGAACTGGCGACTCTACTTCAGTATCAGACGTACGAGGGACGGTATGGCGAAACTCAGCTGTATTGGGTTGCGTCGAATGGCGATGCTTGCCAGGCTGTGGACGTCGCAGGGCAGGTGGCAGCTGTATCATGCAATATGGAGCTGCCCACGCTCTGCACGCAGAGTTCAGCATATGGGGCTTCTGCGGATTCTAGCAACAGCCTTATAGTGTACGCTGACGATCTCATGGTCACTGGGTAAGTGGTACTTCGAAGAGAGCCACATAGATGCTCACCGACTTATGTAGCTATCGCGACCAACGTTCCTTTCGATTTGAAGGCGTTCCTTACGTGGACCCTTTTGAACGCTTCACTTACTCAACAGCATACACTGGATCGAAGATCCTCAATGCTACCTCATTCGGATCAATGTGCATACAGACGGGGCTTCCGTCAGGCAGCGAGAACTGTCTCTTCCTCAACATCTGGACGCCATACATACCGTTGAATGGATCCACTGCATCCTCGAACAGCTTGAAGCCCGTGATGTTCTGGATCCATGGAGGAGCGTACACCAGCGGGAGTGGCTCCGATTCCATCTTCTATGGAAGCAACATGGCATCCCGAGGAGATATCGTGGTGGTGACGATCAACTACCGCTTATCCACGCTCGGCTTCCTCGCCCTCGACGACGGGGTGACGAACGGCAACTTCGGACTGGCGGACCAGATTGCCGCGCTCGATTGGGTTCAGACGTACATCAGTGCCTTCGGTGGAGATCCCACTCGAATCACGATCGCAGGCCAGTCTGCCGGTGCGTCGTCTGTGCGGGCGCTGCTCGGGTCCCCGCCTGCGATAGGCAAGTATGCTGCGGTTATCTCGATGAGCAATCTGGCTGGTTCCAACTACGCTACGACCTACTCCGAGTATATGACGATCCCGGAGGAAGTTGCCATTGTCGTTGATCCTCTGTTGGCGGAAGCTGGCTGCAACTCGTCCGATGCACTCTCGTGTTTGAGGGCCGTGGATGCTTACGATCTTGTCACGATGACAAATGTAGCTAGGTATGAATTACCACTCCGATCTGACATTGTCTAAGGGCTTGTCAATAGATTTGTTGTGGTCGACGGCACATACGTGACTTCACAGGAGCTGCCTTTGAATGGGTCTGGCACTGTTGCCAATGTCCACACAATGTGGGGCTACATGAGGGATGACGGCGCTGCGTTCATCGGTTATCCGGTAGGTCTATGATTGTTCGATCGTCGACATGACGCTCATTCTAATTGTGAACATCAGACCAGTGACAATCTCACCACCGCTCTCAGCTCACAGGACCTCCCAACCAATGTCGTTGGCAATTCTCTGTTTTCTGTCCCCACAGGTCCGAACGCCACACTGGATGTATATAATGTCACCGCGCGTGTGTCGAGCGACACCATGTTCCGTTGTTTGGACCAGGCGACTGCATATTCCGCCATTGAGCACGACCTGTTCCAGAGCGTATGGTTCTATCAGTTCAATCGGAGTTATCAGATCACGGCGTTCGATCCGAATTGGCCTGTGTGCGATGCCCCTGTGACTGCGTCGCATCCATATGGTGATCCGTCTCAAGAATACTTCAAGTGAGTCCAATCTAGGTTGCTTTGTATATTAATGAACCCTGACTACGCTGCTTGTCTGGTACAGATGTCACTGCGGCGAGCTATACTACGTCTTCGGCACCCTTCCGAACACACTTCCCTACCGTGACGATCAGGATTTGCCGTTCATGCAGCAAATGGTGGACGTGTGGACCTCGTTCGTGCGGACCTACGACCCGAATCCAGACAAAGCGTTCCTATCGGCCCGCGGCTACAACACTACGCTCGCGATGTTCGAGCAGGAGAGCGCATGGGAGGCGGTCTCGTCTCAGACGCTGACGAACGCGCCGTTGAGAACACTCCAATGGCAGAGCTTCATGGGTGCGTTTGCTGAACAGGAGCAGTGTGAGTTCCTGGGTTATCCGTTGGACTACTATGGATAAACGGGTACGATTGGCGTCGCAATTCGGCAATTGTAGGGCATGCGAGCATCGCCATCGGCCCTAAAGTGATCTGTGCGCAGGGGTTCCGGGAGGAATGAAAGGCGAGGCGGGTGTTTAATTACCTTGCCGATTTGTACCCTATCATCTATTTGGTCACTGTGTATTGGAAGGGCCTGGTTATCAGGCGTTTAGTTTCCACAATTGGAAGATGCCACTGCCTGGTATTGCTTTTTGGTTCATCGACGGACAATTTTCCGATATATCACATATATGGAGTCTCATGGATAGTGAGACATGTTGCGACTGTAATCTGTATCCCAGTTATCATTAATCCTAGTAGCTGTGATAGCTTCGACTAGCATACTAGTAGTAGCGTAGCTGCGTAATAACTTTGAATTAACGGTTCTGTAGTAGAAATCACAGCAGTAATTCACTGGAGCTAGTATCGTACTTGGCAGAAGTCGCCTCTGCTGGATGCTCCGTCCCAGTTGCAGTGCTAAGGAGGTAGCGACCGTCACATCTCTCGTAGTATCGGTGGCAGGAGTCCCCTTTTACTCCAAGCCACCCGGGTTAAGCGCGCCGTAGTAGGCGCCCAGATGTAGATGTAACGGTCACAGAGCTTTCCTCCCTCGTGCGACTCAAGCCAAACAGTCCGGCCACTTCGACATTGACGCGCACGATGAAGGTCACTCTAAATAGTCCGCTATTAAGCTGATCCGAGGAGGTGTTCGGATAAGTTTTCATACGCGTCTCAATAGGAGCATTGTGCAGAGGTGCGTAATATTTCCTCTCGGATCAGGTGCAATGATCAAGGTTCAACTCCGTCGTGGTAGCCATCAGCGCATCAGCGGCCAAGCTAGCCATAACAGCCCGCCACAGATTACAGGAATACGAATTTACGAAAGCGTCTTATTGGCGACGACTGCCTTTCTCTCCAGACGCTGACACGTTTGCCGTGTTGCAAGGAAATATTTCATTCACGAATACTTGAACGTGTAAGCGATTGACACGTGCATCCTCCGTCGAGATCAAGGATGATCATGATTGCCTCCGCAGCTGTAGCGATCGCTCACAAGCGAGTGGCTGTGCAGTCATTGGAGGGGCGAACAAGTTCGACAACATAAGAAACTCATCGAGCGGGCTCTTCTTCACGCAGCCATGGCGCAGAACACGTATTCATACTATTCCACGCAGGGCCGCTTTGACGCTGGAATGCAATCGTACCCTCATGTTCCATACCCTCAGCAACTTTCACAGCTGGCACAGCCAGAGCCATCTTACACCCATGGTGGCCAACCGTACGGTCAGCCGGCATACCCTACTCAGTCAAATACCCTTTACTCCTATGACCGAGCGACTGCTCCGCGCTCCCCTTTGCCGCCACCTCCCCGCTCTCCCATCCCCACAGCGCTCCTGGCAGGCTATCATCATCCTTCGCACGTGCAGCATTCACTTCATACGCCTCCTCAGAGTCACCCTGAGCCACAACGTCCCTCTACACCAGTACAACCTGCATCATCGCCGATAGCCTCAATGCCAGCCCGCCGACCACTCCCTAACCCACACGCGCGCCGTGCCGACTCGCTGGGAGCGCCGACCTCTGTCCCACCGACAGCACCGTCTCCACGTCCGCGTACGCCATTGCATCGGCCGGCGCTGTCCGTTCCCACTCTTCCAAGTGTCAACACGAACTTGGGCTCACCGATGTCTCCGCAGGATCCTCCACCGCAAAGCACGACTGCAACAGTTCCTCCGCGGCCCCTACCTCAGCCGCAGACCCTGCCACAGCCCAAGCCCTTACCACAGCTTGAAGCTCCATCACAGCCTCAGCCTCTACCGCGCTCGCCTGCCCATTCTAACCTGGCGCAAAGTGTGGCTCAGTCTGCGAGTGTGGTGTCGGAATCTCCGAAGGACTCGTTGCCACAGATTGCACCTCCAGGGCAGAAGTTTGTTCCGCACTGGAGACGTGCATTGCCTGCACCAGGAAAGCCGGCGTCCGCGTTTGCGTCCTCTGGACAGCAACAGCAGATACCCCCAGCAGTAAGACGCGGGACCTTCTCTGGACCTGCATCAACGCCTCCGCCTGCAAGCGATGGCTCGTTGCGCACTGTCCGGCCGCTCCCCCAGTCTCCAGGCCGGCCTCTGCCGATCCGTGCCAGGAGCTCATCCGAGCATCCACTTCCTCAGGTGCCTATAGTACAGGCACCACTCACGCAGCTCACACAGTCGCCACCTAGCTCTCCTCCCCGCATGCTCCCTCGTCCGAGCATCCCGTCAATACGCCCTTTACCCTTACCCAACCCTGTGTCAAGCGCTACGGCAGCTGCCGAGGCAGATAGTTCGGACGACGAAGACTTGAGCTCACAAGCGTTACTCTCGCGCCCACCGACTCGTAGCGAACATAACGTTTCGGATGTCCACGGAGCTGTCTCGGATGAGCAAAGACACCAATATGGCATTCTTGACCTTCCATCCCGCATTCGTTCAACTCCGAGCAATACTAGCGACATGAAATCAAGTACACAGAGTATCGCAGCCCGAATTTCTCCTTTAGGGATTCAGGAGGGGCAGCCGGCCGCTCCTAACAGCACGATCATCAGACCTGGCAGTCGTGCATTACCCTCCCCACGCCCACCATCGCGTACACATGGCTACTCTCAATCAGTGCCATCAGTGCCGATTGTAAACGGAGCACGCGCGCAGGCTGCTCCGCCTACGACTCCCATCACGCCCGATGCAGGTTCACCGAAATGGCCTTCAGGATTGCCTCCGCTTCCGCGAGCACCGTTACCAAGCCCCGCTATTGGAAACACTGATGGGAGCGCCTTCCGAAGTATGGTCGACCGCGCTCTTCCAAGTCCATCGCCGCGCCCGAGAGTGCTGGATCTTAGCCTGGACGATGCTCCCCCGCCGTCGCTGAGGCGCTCGCCGTCGCCTGCACGGGCGCCTACTGAGGTACAGTGCCAACAGTCGAATAATTCTGATCGCAGTGTCGTGTCGGATACAGTCAATGGCTCGTCGAATCGCGGTCCCTCGCCTTCGTTGATCAGGATACAGATCCGTGGTCGTGCCATATCACAGTCCAATGGTTCCTCGTCTTCTGCGCCGAATGGCGCCAGGGCTCCGCTGCCCAGGAGACCTGGACCGCCCGCTCTGCCGTCGCACAATGCTAACTCTCCCGTGTCTGTTACGATTCCATCATCTGCAACATCAGCGTTCAAACCGTCCGCATTCCCTCGTCCACCCTCGTCGACACCGTCGTCTCACCCCCTCCCTGCCATTCCCACTGTACGCTCACCCGCTCCTAACGGGAACCCGTTCGCCGTGGCATCCCCCACCTCCGCTGGCTCGGGCTCTTCCGTGTTCACGCTTTCGTCGTTCCCTCAGCCTCCCGCCCGCAGCAGAGCTAGTGAACCGATTCGTCAGGCGGCCGACGGAGGCAACAAGAAAGAGGGGGCGCGTCAGCCGATACCCAAGATCTCATTCCCCGCTAGTGCTGATGACAACGACAGCGAGGACAGCGACGGCGGCTCAGGACCGATCATCTCTATCTCAATGCCCGGAGATGAAGCGCCCGTCGTGTCGATCTCGGTATCCGGTGATGACGGACCGGACATTCCGAGCATATCTGTAGGGGATGAAGCCGACCATGCGCCTGCGGCGCCAGAGCTGTCTCTTCCTGGTGCGAGAAAAAGGCTTGCGAATAGAGGAAGTCCAGCGGGGCGGGTGATCTACAAGGGCCCCGGTTTGATATGCGGCGGCTGCGGTGGTAGCATTGTTGGGCGTACGGTGAGCGCGATGGGCGCTCGGTGGCATCCGGGATGTTTCCGTTGCTGTGTGTGTGACGAGCTGCTGGAGAATCTGAGTAGCTATGAGCATGAAGGGAGAGCGTACTGTCATTTCGACTATCATGAGGTACGTAAGGACTTCAATGTTCTCTAATTTTTTTTTTCTGCGATGAACATATCTGATATCATGTTCCAACTCAGTTATTCGCACCTAAATGCTACCATTGTAAAACTGCGATTGTCGACGAACGCTTCATCACGCTGGACGATCATGAGCTTGGAAAGCGTACATATCACGAGCAGCATTTCTTCTGCGCAGAATGTGGGGATCCATTCCTCTCTCCGAAGACTTATCGCAACCTCTCAGGTACGTGCTCGTGCTTTTGACTCTCAACAGCGGCTGCAAATAACGATTGCAGGCGAGCTCACGTTCTCCGGCGATGGCGACTTTGGCGGAGGGGATGACATGCTGCGCTTCACGGTCTATCGTGGACATCCATACTGCGAGAATTGCCATGTACGATTACGCTTGCCGAAATGCAAGCGATGCAAGAAATCGATCCGGGATGGTCAGCGGGCGGTAGAAGCTCTTGGGGGGAAGTGGTGCTGGGAGTGCTTCGTATGTGCGGTGAGTGCGGAAGCAAAGCGATACGTCCTTCAAGGACTAGAGCTGATGTACCATATTTTTGTTTGATTCAGAGCTGCGAGAAACCGTTCGAGGACCCTTCGTTCTTCCAGAGGGACGGCAAACCGTTTTGCGAGAACTGTTTCAGTATCATGATCAGGAATGAAGTCTAACGGTTATGCCTATGCCTCACTTGCGCGCATTAGATCCTTTGTGAACCCATGTTTCCTGATGTTCTTTGTATGTCTTATGTTTGGCCTCTCACAAATCCGATGTGGGACACGAAGCCGGGGAGTAGTGTACGGCTACATCCGACGGATTGATACCGATGAACTCATGGCGGGGGCTCGATCCAATGTCAGAACATGCGCCTCAGACCATTGAAGGCTGGCTGGATCCATCATTTTCACTGGAATCGACGTTGCTGCACCCTGAGTTACAGACGTTGTTTAAGTATCTTGGTGACGTAGAACCATAAATGATACAGGATACAAATGACAGCGTATTCAAGAAATGCAGATGATAGGAAGGATATTTGCAAGATGCGGGAATACACTGGTTCGTAGATGAAGTGAGATAATCGACATCGTCATGGAAGTTATTCTGATTCATCAGGATCGTCATCGGAGTAGTTTCGAACCAATCCTTTGCTATTGAAGTAGTTTCCAGAGAATGCATTGTTATAATCCTCAAACCCAGCAGTGGGTAACTGTGCGGCGAAATACTGATCCAATTCAGCAGCGGATGCTAATTCATGATGCGACAGCAATCTGTCCACCTCGTCCTCGTTGAACTCCTGAGGCTGCAACAAAGCAAGGTCCGGCATTGGCGGAAGTTTCGTAAACGCTTGTCTTGCCTGCCTCACTTGACCTAAATACTCGTCGCGCGGGAACGGCAGCCGGAACCTCTGGTGACCATCCAAAATCTTCACTATGCGCTCGATGGATCCATATTTCCGGATAAATTTCAAAGCGTTCACGGGTCCGAGATTTTTGATGCGAACAGAAAAGTCTGTGCCCATAAGCAGGAGAAAATCGAGGAAGCTGTCAGGATCGAGCTGCAAGGCATCTCGCACCTCTGCACCCGATATGACATCAAGAAGGTCCTGGAGACTGCTGAGATTCCTAAGCAACGTTGCTTGGAAAGCCAATACGTCCTGCAGAACGTTATCAGTATTGCGGCGGATGGAATGTGGAGAATGATAGGTACCGTGTCTTCGCTGGCGACGTAGTCCACATGGCCCTTGAGCATCAGTAAGGAAGCAAGTGCTTCAGCCTCGTATGGCCCAGAAGTATCAATAACGGGTATCCCCATAGCACGTATAATTTCCTTGCTCTCTTCATACGTCTGAGACGTCGGTCCATCAACACGCCTTTTGAATGACTCCACCATAGCGCTGCTCTTGTCCATCAGGGCGGCGAGCTCTGATTCGACAGTTTCGGATGCAGAGTTGTTAGGAGGAGACTCTGCCAGACGGCTCCAAACGAGGCTCTCTTCTGTGATGAGCTGCTTCTGTTTCTTAGACATTTCAGTCAGTTTCATCTCGCCAGGAGCCTCTTCCGCAGATTCCACGAGCCCGGTGGAAGTGACGCATTCCGCTGATGATGGTTCGGGCAGGGCTTTTACTTTGCTTGCGCTCTGCCAAAAGTCGTCATAGCACTCAAGAATGGCTGGAATGATGTCCTCAGGCGCAATTTCTGGCTCTTGTGGAGCAGTATAAGCGTGTTCATTCGTATCTGCAGATGCCTCGTTGGTGAGCCCCATCAAATTCCGCACAAATATGGTACCATCTGAGGAAGAAATACCAGGAGACGCCTCTTCTACGACATTCTGATCTGCTGGTCTCGGCTCTTGATCAAGCGGCAGCGGTGAAGCGGCGGAAGTATCGACTCCACGCAGTTCTGTCGTCGACTCTCGATCAGGCGGTAACGTGAAGGCGGCCGAGATGCTGTCCGTTGGCAATTCCTCCATAGTCTCTTCCAGGACAGTCTCTTCAGAAGATGCCTCTTCTATGTCATTCTGATCCGCTTGTCTCGAGTCTTGATTAAGCGGCAGCGATGACACGGCGAAAGCATCATCCCCGTGCAAATGCTCTATGACCTCCTCCGAGGCAGTCTGCTCAATTGTCCTCGACTCTTGATCAGGCAGTAACGAGAAGGCGGCCGAGATACTGTCCGCTGGCAATTCCTCCGTGGTCTCTTCCAAAACAGTCTCTTCAGAAGACGCCTCTTCTGCGACACTCTGTTCTGCTGGTCTCGACTCTTGATCAGGCAGCAGCGATGTCGCGGCGAAAGTATCGTCCCCGTGCGAATGCTCTATGACCTCTTCCGAGGCAGTCCCCCCAACTGTCCTCGGCTCTCGTTCAGGCGTCAACGAGAAGGCGGCCGAGACAGAAGATGCTCCTTCTGCGACATTCTGATCTGATAGTCTCGACTCTTGCTCAAGCGGTAGCGATGACGCGGTAAGAGTATCGTTCCTGTGCAGTTGCTCTATTGTCTCTTCCGAGGCAGTCTCCCCAACTGTCCTCGGCTCTCGTTCAGGCGGTAACGAGAAGGCGGCCGAGATACTGTCCGCTGGCGATTCTTCCATGGTTTCTTCCAAGACAGTCTCCCCAACTGTCCTCGGCTCTCGTTCAGGCGGTAACGAGAAGGCGGCCGAGATACTGTCCGCTGGCGATTCTTCCATGGTTTCTTCCAAGACAGTCTCTTCGACTGCCTTGGACTCTTGGACAGGCGGTAATGAAGGAGCGGCCGAGCTGTTGTCCACCAGCGACCCGTCTTGTATGAACATTTTTGTGTCATGTAGTGATGGGAAACTCGGCGCGGTCTGTTCTATCTGTATCTCTAGAGATGTCTCTTTGTGCTGGTCATCCGTCATGTGGAAAGTGGCCAGCTCATCCAAATGAAGTCCAGAAGCATCCCGGGGTAAATTCGATACAATGGCGGGCATGCTACTATGCTGTGAAAGGGCTTCTGATGTATGGGACTTCCGCTGGTCATCACAAGCCTCGCATGCAGACAGCGCAGGGAATAATCGATCCTCCGAATCCACCGTTAGTTGCTGCGCCTGATCAGCGGTAGCTTTCAAGGACGGTTGATTTTGGGCATTCAGGATATGTTCCATATTGTTTATCATTGAACGTAATCTTTCTGTGAGGTCCTCCCGCATAGGGCGGTCCAGAGGTTCCACAAAGCGATGCACTTTGCTAAGTCTGCTGTAGCGCTTTTGTTCTTCAACGGCTTGAGCCTTAACAAGTCTACGCAAATCCTCCCTCCTCTTTGTCTTCAGATAGATTAGTAGACTTAGGAAGCAGAAAATAGCAAGGAGATCGCAAATACCTACCTCCATTGCCTTCGCCACATTGCGTTCCTTGCCATCAAAAACACAAATCACTTGCACACCATGGTCTGTAAGCTGCTTGATTAAGCGATACCAACCAAGAATATGTCGCTTTTCATGTTCCACGGGAGAGCGGTAGAGGCGTTGTGTGATGAGCGTGCCATCGCTGATCAATGTATGAGAACTGTGCCAAAGGCAACTTTACGAGACACTGACATCACTATTCTTTTACCGGATAGCGATTTCAAACGCTCTGGAAGCGGCTTGAACACTTCAGGGCTCAAAATACCAGGCATGAGACTTAGCAATTGATGACTGCCCATAGACATACTATCTTTTCGTTAGGAAAGGTATGAGATCCCTAACGCCCATGGACGAGTAACGGGCAAATCGAAAACCAAAGATGTCAGGAAGCTATGGATCAGCAACAGACGAAAGCGAAGGCAATGGCAAGGAACGAGTTGGACACCAGAGAGTCGAGGGCAAAGAGTATGGCTGCGTCCTTGGAAGTAGGAGGGCGCTCAGCCACGAGCCTAAACAAGTATACAGCGTCCACGTGGCAAATATCGTAGGCGTCTAACTGTAAGTGCAGGCGGACGGACAACCACGTCGCTGTCTTCCTCGCCGCGAACCGACTTGACCGGCCCTGTTCAGGACATACTTTATTCGGCAACTTTACTCGGGTAATTTGTGGCCAAAATGTCTGTGATGCTCACAAAATTCGAGTCCAAGAGCAATCGGGTGAAGGGTGCGTTCCGATGCTTCATGGATTTGGCTGGATACGATGACCTGCTCAATCCTGTGTAGGGCTTGCATTTCACCCAACGCAGCCGCTGCTCGCCGCGTCTCTGCACAATGGGAGTGTTCAATTATGGAACTATAGAATGGGAGTGTTGGTGGACCGATTCGAAGAACATGAAGGTATGCGTGAATGCGGCATCGTCAATCTTGCACGTTGCTCACATACTTGCAGGACCTGTGCGCGGCGTAGCCATTCATCCTAGTCGCGCTCTTCTGGTGACTGGAGGAGATGACTACAAGATCAAAGTCTGGGGTGCGCGGCCCGTGCTCCACACTCCATACGCGAATCATTAACACATCGCAGATATACGGCCTCAGAACCGACGATGCCTCTTCACCCTGCATGGACACCTCGATTATGTCCGGACCGTCCAGTTCCACCATGAAATGCCCTGGATTGCAAGTAGTCCTTGCTGCACTTTTCATCTAAATACTGAACATGGTTCGCAGATTTCTGCCTCGGACGACCAGACGATCCGCATCTGGAACAGCACGTCGAGAAACTGCATCGCGATCCTCACCGGACACTCACACTATGTGATGTCAGCGCAGTTCCACCCGAAAGAGGACCTGGTTGTGTCCGCATCCCAGGATCAGACTGTGCGCGTATGGGACATCTCGGGCCTGCGCAAGAGCACGCCCAACACGGCGCCGGGTACATTTGATACGTTCGACACGTTCTCGACTGTCAAGTACGTGCTCGAGGGTCATGACCGCGGCGTCAACTTTGCGACCTTCCATCCGACGTTACCGCTCATTGTTTCTGCCGCGGATGACCGTCAGATCAAGATCTGGAGGATGAGTGACACGAAGGCTTGGGAGGTGGATTCTTGCAGGGGACACTTCAACAACGTCTCGGTCGCGCTCTTCCATCCTAAGCACGAGTTGATCGTATCATGTGGCGAGGACAAAACTGTGCGCGTATGGGATTTGACGAAACGCTCTGCAGTGCAGACGTTCAGGAGGGAGAACGACCGATTCTGGACGCTCGCCGTTCATCCCGAGCTGAATCTCTTCGCTGCTGGTATGTTCAAATGCCCCATTCTACGGCTACTTCCTTAACGCCGAATCGCAGGACACGACAGCGGGCTGATTGTGTTCAAGCTCGAGCGCGAGCGACCAGCGTTCTCTATCCATGGCGACACGTTGTACTATGTTCGCGACAAGTATGTACGCGCGTACGATATCAATACCGGCTCGGACATCGGACTGCTCAGCGTCCGCAAGTTTGGCAGCCCCTACGTGCCGCCTAGGACGCTCAGCTACAATCCTGCCGAGCGCGCCGTTGTGCTCACGATCTCCTCTGACAATGGGCTCTTTGAGATGACATCACTGCCCAAGGATGTAGTTGGTGAGGTGAAGGACTCGTCCACGGATGGAAAGCGCGGTACTGGACATGCGGCGATTTTCGTTGCGAGGAACAGGTTTGCGGTTTTGAACAAGACAACGCAGGTGCGAACTTCTCTTTTGAACGCATATGTTCGTGCAACCGACAGACTCAAACTCCGTGCAGCTCATTGAAGTTCGCGATCTGTCGAACTCTGTGGTTAAGACTATTAAGCCGCCGGTTCAGACCAACGAGATCTTCTATGGCGGCACCGCAAGCTTGATCCTCAGCTCTCCCACATCGGTCGTGCTGTACGATATCCAACAGCAGAAGAGCATCGCGGAGATCACAACACCGCCTGTCAAATACGTCATATGGAGCACCGACGGGTCGCTGGTCGCCCTGCTCAGCAAGCACAGTACGTCCCTTGCTCTTTGAACGCTACGCAGGTAGCCTGACTGGGCGTATGTTCGTACGAATAGCAATCACCATCGCGAATAAGAACTTCTCGCAGCATACACTCATTCACGAGACGATCCGTATCAAGTCCGGCGCTTGGGACGATTCCGGTGTTTTCATCTACTCAACTTTGAACCACATCAAGTATTGCCTTGCCCAAGGGTGCGACCTTCATCATCTTTGTTGCATTGCTATCGCTCACAGGGCTGTTCAGTGACCACGGCGTTATCTGCACTCTAGACAACCCTGTGTATCTCACGCGGGTGAAGGGCAAGACGGTATATTGCCTGGATCGTTCGGCTCGTCCTCGGACTATCACAATTGATCCCACTGAGTACCGCTTCAAGCTCGCTCTGTTGCGCAATAACCATGAAGAGATGTTGTACATCATCCGGACTTCCAACCTTCTTGGACAGAGCATCATCGCGTATTTGCAGCAAAAGGGATTCCCTGAGGTATGCATGATTGCCAGCCAGATCGGCTTTTGTTTTATAGTGACTCGATAACTAGATTGCGTTACATTTTGTCCAAGACCAAAGCACTCGCTTTGATCTGGCTATCGAATGCGGTAATTTGGATGTTGCATTCGAGATGGCGAAGGCGATCGACCGGCCTGACTGCTGGGAGCGGCTGGCTCAACAGGCGCTGAAGCAAGGGAACCACAAGGTGAGCACAATCATGGGCTACATGTCGGCAGATGAGCTGACATTTACTGTCCAGATCGTCGAAAAGGCGTATCAGCAGACGAAGAACTTCGATCGGCTGTCGTTCCTATATCTCGCCACGGGAAGCAAGGATAAGCTTTCGAAGATGCAGAAGATCGCCGACGCCAGGGGAGACCCCATGTCGCGCTTTCACAACGCACTGTACGCAGGCGACGTGTTGGGTCGTATTGCCGTTTTGAGGGATGTTGGCCTTCGTAAGCGCCCATTGTCGCTGGATCCGCGACAGCGCTCACGACGTGATCTTGTTGCTCCGCGCAGATCCTCTGGCGTATTTGACAGCCAAGACAAACGGTTTGGACGATGTAGCGTTGGAGATCCTCGAAGCTGCCGGCCTTACTGAAGCCGATGTGGATGATGTACCATCGTTTGGAATGTCGACGCTGAGACCTCCACCAATCGTCACCTCGATCGAGAACATCAATTGGCCGTCGCTATCTACTGGCGAGAGCTTCTTCGATAAGGCACTGGCCAATGGCCACTTAGAAGGAGGTGAAGCGCCGTACATGAATGGGTTTGAGACTAATGGTGTCGCCGCATCGTCAGCGTTGGATGACTGGGCGAGAGAGGAAGAAGCTGAGGAAGAGGTCGTAGTGGAGGAGGGAGCATGGGACCTCGAACCCGATGCCGAGGAGCCCCAGCAGGAGCCAGCACCAGAAACGGAGACTTTGGAAGATACGGAACTGGGTGCTGGTGCCTCTTCTGGCATTAGTGAGACAGAACTCTGGACACGAAACTCGCCGTTCGCTAGCGACCATGTGGCAGCGGGTTCGTTCGACACAGCCATGCAGGTAAGTTCAGGCTTTTTTCGCTTGCACTATCATACCTACTTCTTTGCAGCTGTTGAGTCGTCAATTCGGAGTGGTCAACTTCTCGCATCTCAAGCCCTTGTTCGTTTCCACGTATCGCTCAGCCCATGCATATCTCTCGCCAATGGCCTCGTTGCAGCCATTGCAGCTACATCTAAGGCGTGATCCGCAGGAGTCTTCTCCAAGCCGTGTTCTACCCGTGGCTGTGCGGACCCTACAATCGGTCCGACACGAGCTCACCGAAGGTTTCCGCTTCCTGTCTGGCGCCAAGCTACCAGAAGCTCAGCTTGTGTACCGATCTGTTCTGTGGGAGCTTCTTCTGGTCCCAGTATCTTCTGATGATGAGGCAAAGCAGGTGCGTCTCCTCTCACGTTTTTGCGGTTAAGCCCAACGTCGAGTATTTGTAGTGGCGCGATATGGTCACGCTTGCCCGGGAGTACCTCCTCGGTGTGACTCTCGAGATTGAGCGAAGACGAATACTCCGAGATGAGCCTGACAATGTCCGCCGGAACTTGGAGTTGGCTGCATACTTTACGCATTGCCAGTTACAGCCAGCCCACTTGCAAATTGCGCTACGGAGTGCCATTGGCGTGTTTACCAAAGCGAACAATCACGTTACATCTGCGCGGTTCGCCCGACGCCTGCTAGAACTCAACCCGGATCCCAAGATCGTCGCACAAGTAAGTAGCTGTACAGATCGTGCTAAGGTGACTCTAATTGTTGTTCGTGCAGGCGAGGCAACGGATCGCCGCTGGCGACCGGAACCCGAGGAACGCGGTCGAAATCTCATATGACGAGTTCACCGAATTCGAGATTTGTGCAGCGAGCTTCACTCCCGTTTACAAAGGTTCTCCTTCCGTGCGATGCCCATATACCAATGCTGTGTTCCTGCCAGAGTTCAAGGGCAAGCTGGATCCCCTCACTGAGCTCACAGAGATTGGTGCGGCATCATCTGGTCTGCCTGCGCCACGATCATAGCTGCATAGCTTCGCTTCGCATGGCAAGCCTGGTCCCCTTTTTGGTCAGGATTGCGTGCGACTTTCTTCGGACATTGCTTTGTTGCTGTGTAGCTGGGAAAAGTAATCAATGTCTTTGCCGATGTCTCCTCGGATAAGTAGTTGCCAAGACCCACAGTGCGATATAGAATGGCCTTACGGGATTAAGGCGAGCGCTAATATTCAACGAGAACAATGAAGTCAAGGCTCAAGCGCTGCTGGATCGATACGCCCAATACCTTATACTCACATTTGACGCCTCGAATGAACCGATGAACAACGGCCACAGTCAGGCATATATACCTTAGGTATCGTTCTCGATTCTTCCGATATTGGTCTAGGATAGCCTTCGTCATTGTTGTACGCATGCCCTCCACTGGAACGAGCTGTACATTCACCAAGCGATGTGGCCGATCTGTTCTGGTTTTCCGATCATAGCTCATGGCATTGATATGCCTCGCCGTGGGATCCTAGGAACGCTATAAGTGAATATGTTCAAGTTCTGATGAATCTTCCTCTAGGTTAGGCTGTGCAGAGCGCTTCGATTGAGTACATGAGGACAGCACGACCGTCCTCCCACCTCGCCCGTTCACAATGCACCATCTGCGACCCATGGCAGAGACCTCCAACCAGACTCTCGTGAGCAGTGGCGTCACCAATGGCGAAGGGTGTGATGGTCAAATGGAGTTGCGGGTCCGCACTCCTGCCTCTTCCCGTCCAGGCACTCCGAATGTGGGATCCAGTACTCTGTCGAAGGAAGGCTTCGATTCAAGCATTAGCCTGGGGATCATCTCGTCCGAACGGTCATACGTCGATCACGCAATCGCTACTCCTGCTGGGATCACTGCAGTACCTCCCGGTTTTGACACGAATCCCAATGTTTTCCCGACTGCGCTAGAACATAGCGGACGCGTCTTCCTTCAACCTGCTTCTCCAACGGATATTCTCGACCGTCGCTATGCGCGGCGGCCTCGCATGTGAGTTGCTTCCTCGTCTTATTGCGTTGTTATGGTGACGTTCACTCGCCCGCAGACGTGAGTATAACGGGGAATCTCAACCCATACCAGCAGCTCGGAGATCCTTTCGCCAGTGAGTGGTGCGGTGTACTCCTTACATTCTCGCACTGACAGTCAACAGTGACGATCCCCCTCCACCATGGACTTCTTATAAACATCCCGAAGGTCAGCGGTATTTCGGTAAGAAACTGCTGAATGTTGGTTTCAAACCATTGTTTGTTATTTTATCCATGCTGATGTACAACACAGAAGTTTCAGCTGTTTACCGACATTTGGATATATGACCGGCAAAAGTTGTCGAATATAGAGATCTTTGAAGAGCAATTTCTGGCACTGCTACAAGAACAAGCGGACCTCCCGGATGGCACGGAAGTTGCGGTATACATAGAGGAAGATTACGAAAGCAACAGCATGACATGTCATTACTACCTGTCCAGCGACTCCGACCGGGCTATATTTTGGTTGGAAGAGGTCGAGGATGATTTGCTGACTCTACGATCACGCCCTGCTCCCAAGAATTACTATCTTCGTGGGTGCCTCAGTCATTGATATTTCTTCTTGCTATGCTTAATCAGCAACAATCCTTAGAGGATGCCACGGAAACACAATATTGGTAACAGAATATTCGTTGAAACTCGTGCTGTGCTTATGACCTTTTCGCTTAGGAAACACGTAGAAATGTTCCCTAATCATCGCCGAGTTTCCACGGAGCTTCTAAAAGAAGTGAAGGAGCTAGTGAATTTCTGGACATTCGGTACGTTTGATAGATAAACAGTCCAAAATCGCACCGTTTGACTGCAACTGTATAGATGCAATGTCGTCTGAAACATCGACTGCACCTCAAGGACTATCTAGCTATTTACCAGTTCTGAACAACATCCCAGGTAGATCCATCGTGATTACTGTCATCTGGTTACATGCTGACATTGCACTGACTCAGACAACGGCAGTGCACCGTCGGTGTGTATCATAGGTATGGCAATTTAATCAACCAGGAGTTCATGTCGTCATTTGATTCTCTTGCAGCGCGTGTGATGGGCATTCTGAGTGAGTTTCCAATACTTGGTCTACGTGCTGGTAATCATCGCTGAAGTTTGTTAGGCAATCAGAGGTTTCTCGATTTGCACGGCCAACACGAGGCTCGTCTCAGTCGGGAGGACACCATCTACTCACAGGGCGAAATCGAGTACTCCTGGCTATTGCGTCTTGTTTCCCCGCTGCTCTTTTTCATGCCATATGAGTATTTTGAGCAACTTCGGCGAGTATGGGTGGACCAGACAGTTCACCATCTGTCGTGGAGCGCGCTCCGGAACGGTTTGCAAAGAGATTGGGACTCCTTGCTCACTCCGGTAAGGATCTACCCAAACTTAACTTTGACCACCGCTCATCCCTGCAAATGGACGTCGACAGGCAACAGTCATGCTAACGGCGAACGTGGGCCTTCTCGCTATTCAGAGCATTGATACAGGTCATAGTGCACGGAGCTGTGCCCAGATCGCGAGCTATGTCTCTACGTTCCTCAGTCTGGCAATCATGTTTCTTTGTATCATTCTGGCGCGCTATCACAAGGATGAATCGAATGCGGCAGAAACGGTGCGTAACGCCTTGTCCGTCGAGGACTTTGTCTCACCCGCTAGCCGTACAGTGCATGTACCTCTATCAGAGAACGAAATTGCCAGCCGGTCTTGATATGCTTGCCATTTCTTTCAGCCTTCCAGCTGCCATGTTTCTATGGTGGTAAGTCCAACATTGTTACAAGCTACAGGCTTTGCTTGCTCAATGGCGATGGTGCAGCATGGTCACCTTTTGTGTAGCTGTTGCTTGGGTCTGTCTCGACCGAACCAATCTCTGGACTCGCTTCTTCACTGGGCTCACACTTGGCTTTGTCCTCCTCGGCGTCACAACGGTGATCATCATCGAGCTATGCCCGTTCCCTCCAGACAGAGTTGCGCCGGTGATGTCATGGAGAGATGAACTGTGGGAAGCCCTGGGATCCAAGCTCAAGGTTCGGCATTGGTGGAAAGACAAGTTGCGACACCGCCGGTGGCCATTCACTTTCATACGACGGCGTCAGCGTGATCTAGAGGGACAGAGGGAATCTTAAGCCATCATTGTTCATTCATGACGAGATCGTTGCAGAAACCACACCTATGCTCTTCCATCTTCATGATTTAACTGCGCAGGCGCACTATACTGACCATTCTCAAAGTTCGACTCCATATTCAATTAGCCGCATACATGATTTTCACGATGATCTTGTGTTTGCAGTCACATAAGCTCAAAATATGGCCTGAATGTTCCTTTACAAGCAATCTCTCTGCATTCACTATTCATAGCACCAAAGATGCTAAGGACTGTTGACTGCATGACAGCACACACGGGCGGGGAGACCTGGTATACAATGTGGTTAATGCAGCAAAACGGCGACCTTAAAACACTCATAGAGAAGCGTGCTCAGCGACAACCCGCCTATGCCATTACGACGCTTGAATCACTCCGGTGAGAGGGCGTGCGCGATATATGGGAGGCGGGTGGGATAGCCAGCGAGTTGTGCTCCTTGTTGAGACGAGCCTCTCTTGCATGAGCCTGTCTGACATAGGCATAGCGCTGGAAGGGATTGAGCGCTTGCAGGAACTGGACACCAATCTGCTCAATGCGTATGAGCGAGACCGAATGAAAGTTCATACTAATACGTACCGGATATACGCGCAGCTGGTTGAAGATATTGATCGTTAAATCTCGCACGGTCTCTTGCTGGTGGAAGAGGCCGAAGCTAAGAGGCAGCAAGCCGTTGTGATGGGGTGGCATTACCGACAGCAGCTACAACAACCTGGTTGTTAGAGTGCTTCTCTTGAACTGCTATCGAGCGCACCTGCGTAATTTGGTCGTATGTCCGGACATTGTCAGCAAGCGTAGACATAATGAGCTCCGCCTCCCCGTCAGGCATCCTCTTCGCATGGCGAAGGCGCCATAACTGATGAATCACGTCGAAGCCCTCGATGGGATCCGTGGCCAACATCTTCCGGAAGTCCTGTCGCATACGATTAAGAATGGGCGAATGTCACGCATATACAATACACACATACAAGCTGGTACAGCGTGTAACTCTCTGTCCTTCGCCAAGCCTCAATCCTACTCGCGTTGAAAGCAAGCTCTCGCGAGCAGGTGATCTCGTCAACGAAGCCAATGCCACCGCCCAAGCGTGGGGGCTCGCCCGGATGCTCCGAGTAGGTGGAACTAGGAAAGCCGATCACGGTCGAACCCATCGTATCTTCCTCGTATCGCGCTGCGAGCCGTACGAAACGCATCGCGTACTCAGCGAAGCGAGCGCGGACATGCGCCTCCCCGTAGTGAGATGATATCGCTGACAGTATCTACTGGAGCATCAGACTAGATAATATTGGAAAGAAGTTAGAATTTAATAACTCACATCTTCCATGAAGAGGTTGTCTGGGCTGTCTGCCCTGCTCGGATGATCCGCCCTCGGCAGAGGACCACCATCCCGACTCGGACGGATGGGTTCTTCGTCGGTGCCAACAGAACCCTCCGCACGTACAGTCCCTGTGCGGATGATTAGCTGGCTTTGCGCGAGCACGGGATTGGCGGGATAGGTGATGTGAATATCCTTAGACACGACCATGCGTCCCGAACCAACGTCACAGAGAAGGTCCCAAGATCCGGACGCTTCGAAGATGGGATTGGTCACCCCAGCAATATAGCCCGGACTAATGCGAAGACGCAGGATTTCAGGTGTCAGAATCACGAATGGAAGGTGACCTTAGCATAACAGGTACTCACATAGATTCCCACTCCTCACGATTGGTCAAATTGGCATACGGGAATGCACGTTTGATGAAACCTCGCAGGACGAGGCCGCAGCCAGACCCTAGTGCGCAAGCAGAGAGGACATAGCTTGACACTTGTCCGGCAGGTCTATGGTGTCCCAAGAAGATGATCCGCTTCGCCGTAACCAACGCATTAAAAAGGACAACGATGGGAGGTGTGAGAGATCCGTTTGTGTGCAGATGTGGGTGAAGCGGGCCGCTGAGGCTCGCTGTTGATGCAGAGAATGTCTGGACAAGCTGTATGAGGGAGTACTATGGAAGCAATCACTTAACGTAAATCTGTCGATTGCGCATAAACGTACGTACATCGCCGACTTCTTCGGGGAAGGTAGAGAGGGGTATCTTGATCGGCAGATGATGGTCGTTAAAGTCGACCATAGCAGGGAAGAAGTGTGAGTCTTTGAGTAGGGATATGGCAATGTTGGCAGGATTTGGCGCTGCCAGGGGCTCCTCTCGTCTCCCACTCGGGCCGTGGGATGAAGAAGATGACGTCTCAATGGACGGCCTGCTACGGACGTGACTTCCGTTAGGAGCGCTATTGCTAGTACTGGTGCCGGACTGGTCGGCCCCGCTTTCGCTGTTTACCCAGACCGCGCTGCCGTCCAGGGAGAAAGACGCCTCGGATGGAGAGGGCTGGCTCCGCGTCTGGCCGACCCCCCGCACGCTCTCCGACCTCCGCACGCTGCGTGTCCGTTCGGGCTTCTCGCTACGTGTCAATGACTCCAAATCCGAGCTCGTCTGCGAGTCAATGGACGGGCTCGTGCGATGACCCAAAATCGCGTTGGGCATTGTCTGCTGCGTCGCGGTGCCCGGGTCGCCGAGTACTTCCTGTAGATAGTCGTCGAACTTCTCGATGAAGACGTCCTTGCGCTCGGAAGTGCGCATGATCATCTTCTCGTGCCGGGTGAGGACCGGAGCAAGGGAAATGTCCATGGTGTTGATGGCGTCGAATAGGCGTGCGAGGCAGTCTTGGGATGGGTTAGCAAAGTAATCATCCAGCGCCATCAATAGAACAGGCTGTACCACGTATGAGCAGGCAAAGACAACATAATACGAGCGCATACATGCCTTGAATACTTGAATGAAGGAATGCCGAGTGCATATAGCCATAGCCTTCACCACCGCGCCTCTGGGTCGATCCGTCAAGGCCGCATGGACCATACGATGAGCCTACGTACCTACGCGCCGTCTTATCCAGCTTCGTCCGCACCAGGTTCAACACGTACAGCAGCTCAGGTTGTGCATCCTCCGCGTCATCCGCGTCGACGTCTACGCTCGATGCGCTTCGACCGTCTGGCGTTTCGAGCGCGAGCACGGGTGCGATGGTGTTGAATGGCGTCTGGTTGAGAAAAAAGATCGTCCAGTCTTCCGGCTGCTTCTCGGCGCCGTCTGGCAACATCAGGTTCGCAAGGAGGCTATTTTGAACGAGTGTAGAGCGCATATATAGACCATCGAAGTGCGGGTAGCACCACCACATCGTCAGTAAATGGTGACCAACCAGGAAGACGTCCCCACGCACCCTTCATCGGTTCCCAATGGCTGCGGGAACTGGTAAGTGAGCTGCGCACCGCGATCAATATCGAAGTCGGCAAGCAGGACGAAGGAGCAGTGGTGTGTGTCGCCTGACATTGGTTCTCCTTAGCAGCAAGCAATGGTTCAAGTGCGTTGATACAGTAGGGCAAGCGGCCTCGATACGAGCGAGACCCGTAGAAGCTACGCCTTGTAACTAAGAACCAGCGAATATCCTCTTCTTTAGTTCGCACCTAGTTCGCACCAGGCCTTACGATGAGACTGGAGCCCGACTCCACTGTCGGAGCCAGCTACTAGTGCAACACAATGCCTATATATTGCGCTGATCACGTCGGCACCGCCGTCCGTGCCAGAATGATGCAAGCTTTAGAAAAAGGTTCAAAGACTGCTGGTGTCGATTGGCGGGAGAATCGTCAACGGTGAACGAAAGTGAAGGTGTCGACAAGGGGCCGAGATAATTAACGTTCGAGGATCATTGCCTAAGTACAATTGCTAAGATCTGCTCGTGATCGTCGCGCGCTAGCGAAATCTGGGTTGCGGTTGCACGATGTAGCGGTATTCTACACTTGTTGCAAACGTAAGGGAACTGTAATGGCGAATTGCATGTAAGAATACAGGCAGGGTATTCAGGTAAAGCTATCATTTCTTTGGTATACAGTGTACGGGTATACAGGCAGAGACAGCTTGATGGGAGACAACGTTGCAAAATCGATAGCGAACATAGTAGTCGTCAGTCAGTCAACCAGAGATTTCAGTAAGAGCAGCAAGGGCGAGCTTGATACGAGTGACGAAATCGCTGAGTCGTTGACGCGTCTTCTCTTGAAATCCGGACGAAGGTCAGCTCGGCCTAAGCAAGGGAAGGGGACAAGATAGACGGTGCAGAACGGCCGCATACCGATGAGGGACGACTGCGGATGACGACACATGCCTTGTTCTTTCTCCATGTCCATCACGGTCTTCACCTCCTTCTCCAAAGCATCAGCGGCGCGGTCACTCTCGAAGCTAGGACGTGCGGTCGACCACGCGTGGAATTCGAGCATGACTTCGAGGAGCATGTCGTTGAGCTCTGTTCCCGCGACACGAAGTTCTTTCCGGTGAGCATACGAGATGCAGACGTGATTTTACACACTTTCGAGGAACTCGGCGTCCCGTTTCACCTCACTGTCGAAAGGCTCAACGATCACGGAACGATGGTCGAATGGCGGGAACGTATCCGAGATGATCTCAGAGATTGCACGTTTTTCAGGCCGATTTGCCCCGCCAGATTGCTCCTCCTTCGGCGTGACGGGGCTAGATGGCGTAGACATGGTGTGGTGAGATGGAAGGACGTCGAGGGCAAGGGTACTGGTGGCGGCGGCGGCACAGGCGGCACACATTCAAACTCAGAAACGCGCATATATATACGTCGTCGTCGTCGTCGCATGCAATACACCGGAAAAGAACATTGTCTGTAACTCTGACTACATCCTCACTGATAAACGAGAGCGTGGCCATCAGCACTGCAAGCCTGCGTAATTCTGGAGTGACTGTGATTGCTATGGTATTGATATATTCGAAAGAGTACAAGGACGCTACATAATATTTCGATCCTACACTGACTTCCGGGCACACAGATATGCAAGCCTTCCAACGTGAGCACCATTAGTACCGATCTCTATCATACGACTTTGAACAAGGGTCGGCCTTTTCAACGATAATAATGTGGTTGTCGAGAATGCGCCATAACTCTTGGAAAGCTGAGCCCGCCTCATATGTCAATCGGCCTGTCATACACTTGATCCTGAGTAAAATGGCGATCAGAACACATCCGAATCAACTTTTCCCATGAAGTCCTTACCATCGGCATAGAGCTTTCCAGCTGGATGCATGTCAGTTTCGCTCGTTTAGATGCACCACGTGAAAAACACGAACCTCTGGGGTCGGTGGGTCATAGTCTTCATGATTATGAAAATTCACGGAAGCGGTGATTTTAGCGAGCTCGCGCCTGGAGAGCGGGTCAGTCGCCTATCTTCCTGCGTATGCATTGAGGCACTTACGTGACGGTGCGGAGTAGTTGCTCATAAGTTTCCATAGGATTTTTCCCTGAATTACTGTCAGAGAAGCTCATGTATACTTCGAACTACAACTTACGGAGCGCATTAGCGAAGGCCTAACATGCCCAGTCAGTTCTTACTCTAATACTGTCAGAGATGTTATAATCGTCAGACTTGCCTTGATGAAGATGCCGCCGCTCCTTCCGCCCAAAGTTATCTGGTCGTCCAAGCATGCACCCCAAGACGTCTAAACGGGCTTGTCAGTCACTTCATAGAAGATGTTTTTACGGGTGACCTACCACATCGGCGGATGTAGGCTGCTCGTCGTCGATGACTGTCTCTTGCGGAGGAAGAGGCGCCGAGAACTTGGCCTGCTTCACCTTCCTCTCCGTACCATCTGTGCCGGCTGTCAACCCGCCACGTTCTTGAGAAGGCGCATCTATCAATCAGGAACCCGACTCACAAACATCGTGCGTGCCTCGGACACGGACTGTTGGTTTGTGTGAGAACCTCACTGGCATGAATGTTCATATGGCGAAACTCACTGTTCTTGACAGCAGAGGGGGGAAACATCGTGCCCGAGGATGCAGAGCTTGGTGACGGTGGACGGGTGTCCTCACTATCGTTGGGTAGATCTTGACCAATGATGAGCACAGCTTTGGTGACGGAACACATGCTGCAACATACCTGCCATCGTTCCGGAGTGGCAGCAGTCGAAGACCATCTAAGCGACGGGCCTTTAAGTGAGATTTGTGAAAGAAACCGGACAATGTGCGTACCATGAAGTGAGCACCTGGGGGTACATGCTCGACCAGGATGTCGTGGATCTCCTAATGATGGACAACGAGGTAAGTAAAGGTGCTGACCCAGTGCTTGCCGGTACTCACATCATCCTTGATGTAGTTTTCAAAGTCATCGTCGTCTCGAAGCTCAATATCCACCGGCCAGATGACTGTGCGTTTAGGCATCCCGTCACTGCATGAACGAGTGAAGATGGAGGCAAAAGGCCATACCATCGTCAAAGCCGCTCTTCTCCGTCCCGTCTTCGTTCTTTACTTGGCCACCATGGCCAGAGACTAGTGAATCGCGATGAACACGTGCGCCGGCTGCAACGATAAGCAAACAGGCTCACAATGAAAGACGTAATGATCGCCGGGCTGTGCGCCAGCCACGAGGTCGCGCATCGCGCGCACCTGGCCGAATTAAACAAGCGCATATATGCGACCAGTACGCGGACTCACAATATTCTCGCGCGTAGGCCAACGCTCGTCGCCCATGGTGTGGTCGTCCATGAGCACAATTATATCCTCCTTGTTGTACTTGAAGACATCTAATGAAGCATGTGAGCATCGGTTGGGCGAGGATTTCATGTACACTGACCGACAAGAAGGTCGGACAGGATCCGCGGGTCGTTGTGCGTCCCCGGCAGGTCCATCTCGCGGTCGCGTAGCTTGTCATACTGCACCGCGACGCTGAGGGCTCTCCTGAGGGGCGGACGAGTGGCGGTCGGCACAGGCATGGCGCACACGTTGGCGATGGGCTGTTCAATCCATGAACGCTAAATACCATTGCTACACTGCTAGACGCTGGCCGGACCACGAGAGTAGGGGCAGTACGCCCGCAGGTTCTGTGAAGATACGGTGTCTCAGAACAAAGTCATAATTAGCACATACCATCTTCGGGATGGTCGTTCCAAAAATGGACTCATCTCCCGGGATCATCCTATCTCCCGGCACTTCTGGGTCGGTAATTCACTGCGAGCGTCGGCGGCGCACCGCATGAGGTGATGCGGGGACGCTCGTCTCAGTTCCTTCGAGATGCAGCCCTCCGCATGGAGATCAAGTCATAGCCAAGGAGGATCCGCTGCTACATCAGGTCCGAACAACGATGATGTCCGCGAGCATAGAAACAGACGCTCGCCAATCTTTTTCTTCGCCTTCTTCCGGTGTGCATGAAATATGTGCTGATACATCGCCGATGCAGATCACTGACGCCGTTTTGCGTCATCAGGGATCGTGTTTCAGCGTTGGCGTCTCCAAGAGAACTTGTGGACGGAACTTCAAGGGAGTCAGCGCTCAGGGACCACTGGGCACGAGGACCTCCTCCGGACGGTTGTGCTTTCAAATTTCCCTCTATCTCCACAACTCATGGTCGATTTCGATTCCGGTCTTGGCCACTTGCGGCAGCCGCATGTCTTCAGAGGAGTAATTGGTCTTTCAAAAGCCCAAAGGCGGACAGAGATGAACGTTATAAATGATGGGAGCTGTCAATCGACAGGAGTGTTCCGGCTGGCGGGTTCTGACTCAATGAAGAGGTCTTCCATCCGATGAACTGTCGGTGTGGTTTTAAGTTCATGTTGAATAACTTGAATTGCAGGCTTGGCCGGCATCCCGCAGCCACGCCCATCAAGCCACCACGCCCATCAAGCCACCTTCCGACGTACACGTTAATGGGACGAAGTCGATTTTGAGTTCTATTATGAAAGCCTTCTTCTGCTATTATGTCGTTATCGCGGCAGGCCATAATTGGAGTAGTTCTGTTCGGGCCGCCGGCCGCCATCTTCTCGTTCGCCGTTTAGCAGACAGAGCCCACCCAAAGGCACCTTGATGACACAGCGGAAGACCTCGCGATCGCGTAATTAATTGCACTTGGTTCGCTGTGCTCCGAACATGGTGGTCAGCTGTGTGTACTTTGACGGACAGTTTTTTCCCCCCTTCTCTCGAATTTCTTATACTCCGTCTCAGACGGGAAAAGATTTTCTTCAAGGCGAGTATCAGCTACAGATCTAGAGCGATTCTATTTGTGTACGATTAGTTGTAGGAATACATGCGAACGATTATAAGGAAAGCGTGCTCCATATCAATAAGTTATCATTATACTAGTATTAGCGTGCTCCTCTATAGGTGTCTATGTACCATACTCGGTAGTAATGTATCGCGTATCGCTATTTCTAAGGTGTACATCGAATAAGTCAGAATTACAGTGGTTTTAGCGTACTTTAGCCTGTCATTGTTTGAATGGGATCACAGGCGTTCATCATGAGTCCGAGTCATCTGCATCATCAACGACGGGCCTATACCAGACCGTGTCCTATATAATCACCGTGAGCGCGAAGCGTTGATGACTGCTGTCAAGCTGACTCACCAATTTTTCTTCCGAGGACAGCTGCATTGTGACATTAGCGCCTCGGGAACAAATTCACTGCTGAAGCTGGCTTACCTCCGGGTGTGGCGTGAAGAGCGGGCTATCTGGAGGAGAGACCTCCCTAGCCTTGACAATCATCTTCTCGATTCCTCGTCTGCAGAGTCATCAGTATGATCTCAGGCCATACGAACTGTTGCAAACATACGTCACAGCACGCAGAACGTCACCATGTGTCGCATGCGGATGATGTCCTATGCTCAGTCTCAGGAGGTGCCGACGGCAAAGCAATCATAATGCTTACGTAGAACTCTATTGAACATCTGGTCAAAGGTAAGTCTGTTGGTGGTTCTCACGACAGTAATAGACATCGGATACTCACGCGAACGAACAAACCACCCTTGTTATCCCCATAGGTTCTCTGATTGTCTTCGCAGGCAGACCACGATGTCTGTGTCAAAGTTTTCAGCATTGAATCCACTGATCCCGTTCTCCCCACTTACAACATCCACCATGGGGTCCACTGGATATCGTCTTTGTACCGTCTTCCTTGGTCCGCCGGCTGGTGAATCATCTAAGTGCCGCTTGAGCCACATAGTAGCAACAGTCATATCATCATACGTACTACCGTGGTGGGTGCCCCGTACGCGGACTATTGAAGAGATATATCAACGCGTATCCTAGCAGAGAAATTGGTTGAAACATACTGCTTTTGGAATTGTGGGGCGAGGCAGTAGTAGATATTGGTGCAAGAATCAGAGGGGATGGTGGCCTGAAGTCATCACTGGTGTAAGGCAGGTCTAACGGAGCGAACAGTCAATGAGTGACACTCGGCTGCATAAAGAATTTGACATACCTGCAGCAGTGCCTGAATGGCAGCAATCGAACACCATCTATTGCAAGGAGCGTGAGTACATGAGGTTGTGAGCACTGCAATTTCCGTACCATGACGTGCGCGCCATGCGGGACCTGATCCACGAGGATTTGATGAATCCACTGAGAAGAATGAAATGAGTCTCTTTACCGAGAACAAAAGTCTTAATAAATAGACTTACATCATCCATGATATAGTTAGTGCATTTTCCATCGCCTCTGTAGCGCACATCGCAGGGCCATATAACTGCAAATGCCGACTGTCAGATATCAGTGATCAGGCTCGTCAACATCAAGCATGCCTTCATCGAAGCCATCCTTCTCCGTGCCATTGAGATTAGGTATCTGCGAACCATGTCCGGAAACTAGAATGATGGATTTGAGCATCCTAGACATACAGACACTGCGCTGGTATACGTACAGTGGAAGAAGAAATGATCTCCGGGTTGCGCATCTGCTACCAATTGCCGCATCGCTCGGAGCTGCAGAAACATAGTCTGTATATGTTGTCGCCCGTTTTCGCCTCATTGCTTACAATATTGTGTTTCGTAGGGCGCATGTGCTTCCCGTCGTCGATCATGATGTTCACGTCTTCTGCTCTGTAATGGAACAAATCTAAGAAGGCCAAACATTGAGCTTCTGGCAAGACATGCCGTAGAAGGGTGAACGCACCGACCAGCAGTTTACGCAGGATATACGGATCCTGGTGCGTGCCGGGAAGCTCGAGTAACGGATCGCCCGAGACTTTTGCAAGGTGCTCATAGCCCACGGCAATGGAAAGAGCTCTTCGCACTGGAGGTCTCCGGCCTGTCAGGGTCATCTCGAGCGATGGGGTGTTGCAACAGAAGTCCCTGCAAGACAATGCACATATATATATCGTTCGGGACCCCGCCCTGAACTCTTCAAAAGGCTTCCATGGGTGGCCGCCATCTGCCTCCCTGTCGACGAGATCAGCTGAACAGGAGTATAACCCATGCCAAGCGCAGGATATCCGGTCCCTGATGCGTCTGTCATGGAACGCGAAGCAGATGAAAGAATTCTCATCCCGAACGTGAAAATGGCCATGTGCATGATCGTCGCCCGGGAACTAACCGATTGAGGTGGGTCGGCCCACGATGACGGTATGAAGACATTGCGGGCACCCACCCGGCGGTAGTCCTGGGAAGAATTCCTGTGTCAAAATTGGTGTCTCATGTATCGATGCCGGCTGATTCACCAACCGAACCCTCCCCCTCCCGGAAAGCTCCTGGGCGATAGATGGAGAGTATAGTGTTTGATGCACCGGGCGCCGCTACATTAACGGGGGGCTAAGAGCTGTCATTGCACGAACTGGACTCGCGCAAACAGTGGCATGACGTTGGTGTGCGAATTCTCTTGCCTTACACGAAGAAATGCTTTGCGCCTCGAAGACCCATGTGGTCAAACACATTTCCGCTTCTCATACTAACGAAGTGCTCACCTGTCTCATGCTGCGCTCCCGCGGCTAGCCTTTTCCGTATAACCCAGCAATGTGGATTCTTATCGCCGATCGACCAGTTTGAGGAGTGTGGTGAAGCATCGAACGGTCGCACTTATCGACCATGGAAAGTTCGCTGATATCTGGATAGCCGCCGCCATGAGTGTTTCATCAATGCCACATTCCATGTGCCTGGTTTCCAATATCAGTCTCGCGCTCTCTCACGGCGCGCATCTCTATTTGATCGTGGAAGCCGCATTTTGAACCTTGTCATTGTAGCGCACGATGGTCATTGGCAGACTATCGGTAGCCTCTTCGACCGTGCCGGCAGCCGCCGGGCTTCCTTGCTGTGCGCGCCGCGCGAAGGGCATAGCTTCGATTCTAGATGGGGAGGCGGAAGACGCTACGTGAATTCCTTGACCGCATAACCTACACAGTGAAAAAACTATTTGCGCGCTCATGACAAATAAACAGGTATTAAGCCTCCTCTGACTCCTACTCACACGCTGCTGTGGTCTGAAACGCTTGACCCTTCCCGCAGTTTCAGCCAACGCCACGGGATACGGGTTGACCAGCCTCCCGGCCATTTCCAGGGCATTGATATTGCCCCGGAATACAGTCCAAAAGCGAGAATTGATATCACAACCGAACCTAACACGTAAAGGTTAGTGGATTGATGCAACCACACAAAGCCTTGTGCTGTGGATGTTCCGAGCGCCCAGAAGAGGAGCGCTTTAGGGAGACTGAAAGCAAGTGCCGTCCAACGAAAGCCCGAAGCTTCTCGCCTGGCCTCCCAGAGGAAAGCCGCCTGTCCAATATGAAATCAATCAGTGCGGGAGCGGAAGCCATGCGTCAAGTATCTCACAGCCTGATCTGCAACATAGCCCGGCGCCGCGCGATTGCGCTGGAGAAGTACAGCGGAGGACACGACAGAAATGTTGCACATCAAAATGGAAGCGAAGGCAAGTGGACGCGATATCGAGGGCAACATGAGGAGCATCAGGTTGACGCTGGAAAAGATGAAGCAGTATTAGGTTTCAGCTGTCATATGAGTGATGTAGCACAAGCTCACATCAGCAGAGCGAAAGCCTGATAGAGAACAAAATGTAAGCATGAAGTCCGGTCGAACATTTAGAAGGTCCACGTACCCATGAGCTGCACAGAGCCCATTCGAGTCTGCGAGATTTCGCGGCTGCACGCCACGCTTCTTGATGAACAAGTTCATCTACCCACAACGATTCCAGCTCCGCTTCATAAGCATCAGGAATTTTGAACAGTAGCTGAGAGGCTATGGAAAACAACCTGCTTCGGGAGAGAACAGGGAGTTCCAGGACAGACTGATCGCTAGATAGGCGCGCATTCAGATCGCCATAGAGATTGTTGAACCTGTAATGCGCTGGCGGACACGTCTTAGTCCATCATGCATATGGAGTGGAGTACGGACTCACTGATAATGACCCAAAGCCGAGCTTCGCGCCAGCATATCAGATAACCTATATGGGAGCGATAGCGTGATGAGAGATATTCACCTATCGTAGTCACTGTATGCGCATTCACAGCGCATGCTGAATTAAATAGTCAGCCTTTTGTGAAAGCGACTATGAAGATTGACGGACTCCGTGCAGAATTCAAAACTTCAAGGAAGTCGGAGCATTGTGCAGCATCGTACGGAAAGGTGGAGGTCGCAGAAGTCAATCGATCTGATCAAAGAGACTGAGCAAGCATTCAACTGGCTACAGCAGTTTGTAATGCACCTGCGCGTCCATGCAGGAACACGGTAGCAAGCTCGTCCACATGAAGATTTGACATGGATAGCTCGCTGCATCTATGTGCCGAAAAATATTCCACATGCGCCCAGTATTGTTCCGTCAAGTGTATTCGCAAGTGTGTCTTCGATGCAACTTCGGGAAACCACAAATCCTCCGTTGCAATCTCGTCTTCTATCCAAAATGCCACATGTGTTGCGTAGTCCACCAGATAGTACAGGCAGTCATCTGATTCGTCAGACAGCTGTAGGAACAGTTCAACAGTTTTCGGGAGAATAATCCTTCTTGCATCCAAGAGCTTGTTGAACTGTTCTATCCAGTAAACGATCGCTTCTTGATTCTTATCGGAATAGAGGTACGCTTCCGTGACAACTGGAGGCGTCGTTGCACATGCAAAGTATAGTTGTCCTTCTGGGTGGATATATGCCGAACAACCGTGGGGGGGAGAGATCGGTCTGTATGGAGTTCGTCAGAGGCAGAGGATGACAAGTAACGTGCATACAGACTCTTTCTCTATGTTATATGAACCAAAACCGGCTGCGATGGTAGCGTAATGGCGGGTAGCTCTGAAAGACGGCGTACAGGCGCGTGAGTACATCATGACGGCACAGCCGCGTCAATGGCACTTGCCTGCTGTTGCGACCATATCGTACGGTGAGAAGTGATGTGGTAGGTCTTAAAGAGCCAGACCTTGCAGCAGGCTTTTCTGTGGAGAAACCATGAATGGATTGCATCGCAGGCAGCTGTAGTTGGGAAACTAGGAGAGCTTTCGTCCTCCTGAGCTTATATGGTGGCACCACGCGGCGCCCATGCTCAGGCAGAACGGTCACGATGTCAGCGTTACGGCAATCGGAACCGACCGCGTCGAGATATGTGGATAACTCTTTGCGCTCATCAGTATCTATAGATGATGAGTATGAATAAGTGTAGGTTGAAGAACTACATTCAGGACGAACGAGGCCTTCATCTTGTTCTGCGGAGAGCTATAGCGATATGTGGTTCAACTTTGATGGATGCTAGGACTTATTTGATTAGCGCTGGTACTTGCAGGTAACTGAGCGTCTCTGAGCGTCTGCTGCCGTAAATATAATTCACCGCACTCGCTGTGCAGACTCCAGGCTCCCACCTCATTGTCACCAAGTTGCTTCGAAATTTTAGCGTTTGGCATTGCATTGCTGTTCGGTTGCAAGACTCGGCCTTTCAAGACTTGCAATGGCTGTCCACGTTCAACTGTGGTCATCGGATCGTAGCTGTACCAGGAACGGTAGCGTCCTGGACTGCACTAATGAACTTTGTTTTGCATATGGAACATGGCCATCACGCGCCTGGCATTATACATCCGAGCGCTATCTGACCTTCTCGACAAGGGTTATCGCCCATCGCTGATACTTAAGCCGCTCTTCTCGTGTGGTATATATGCTCCATCAAGATTCAATATCCGTCATCACATCGAGCTCTACGGACACACTTTAATGGACGAACCTAGGGTCAAGGATAGGTAGGCTCCAACTGACCCTCTACCTGTTTGATTCATTCATGCATTGTGTGCGTCAGTGTCATCCAGTCGCTACCGGACACCAACCAAACTCCACTGGAGGAGATCGACAGCGTCTCGCCCGAGCCGGAGCTAGCCAACCCAGATAGAACATCGAATGAAGGACAGTCTAGTGATGTCAGGTACGTCTGTGTCAACCTCAAACGTCCTCCCTCGTCTCACCGAATGCTCCGATGCTCAGTTCCGTTCCGGAGCGCGAACCTAGGTATGTTGTGGCCACATGTAAACGTCGTTTTTTGTCACCATTGGAAGTCCACAGCCCCGACTATGACGATCCGGAGACTTGGCTATCCGCGCGACCTCGCGGGCCGACAAACCACAACGCCAATGCCCCGAAGAATGTCAAGAAACCGGGGAAGCCTTGAAGATGCGGGATATATTGATGGCTTTTTTTTTTACGCCGCGCGATCCTTATAAGAGTTGCGGCCTGCAGACAGCGCTGCTTCTTGGAAAGCTTTTCCTTTCAGACATTCTGTAATCTATTACTCTGATACAACATGTACGGTACGGAAATGTTTAGTCGCCTTTTGTTTCATGAACGTGCCTCGTTCAAATTTCATATAAGGTTTCCGAGGATGTTGGCTTGAACACGTTGTAAACAGCCGTAGACAGGCAGTTGGATGCAGACCTACTGAGGAGAGATCCGATGGGCTTCTGATCAGTTGTCCGCGGGCACATGGTGGCACCGACAGTCATATATCCGGGTCTTAGTCAGATTTGCTCTGGCATCTATTATGCTGTTTCGTCATGGCGCTGGCTCGATATCTGCGAGTCTTGCTTGAATTGTTATCCAAACTACTGCCGTTTCGTCGCTGGACGACAGTGTTAGCTGGACGAGTCATACATCTACTCTCGCATGCGTCGCAATATTTCAGAAAGACGCTTCTGCGTGCAGGGAAGCCGAACAAGAGGCAAGACAGAACGAAGTATCCAGACGATGGATTGTTTGGCAAAGACAAGACCATGTTCCAGGACAAGGATGCGGAGCAGGACATCTATTCGAGTAATGTGCCCGGCTCTTTACTTGATCCTCGTACAGCCCACCGCAGCACGGCAGGACCGTTGCACACAGAAACACCAGCCAACACATCCACTATCCACGCCAATCCCCGGGGCAGTCAAATCTCGATCTCCATCCAAAGTGCTTCCAGTGACGAGGCTTCTAGCCATGTTGATCGTTTCTCCCTGAGTTGCCATGGCTCGATAACCGGAGAACACGGCGGTGTCGTCGCCACCGAAGTCTTTGATGAGGACGAAGACCGCCTTCGCCCTCCATCGTCTCGTCCTTCGTCCCGCACCTCCTCACGTCAGGTGGACCGACTTGAGCAGGTCATCACGCATTCCACATCGCCTCGCGCACAGTTACGGGCCGGAACACGGACGCGGCTGCGCTCTGCACCTTCTCGTTCGTTCAAATCGTCTGGTAGTGCACTCTCAGTAGCCACGTATGAAAGCGGGAAGTCGAAGGCAGAGAGCCAGGTGCTTGCAGTGCCCGCCGGTGATGCGCTGTCTCTCAGATCTTCTGCACGTATTGCACATCCAAAAGAGGCAGTGGAGACGTATCCTGTTCTGTGGACGGAAAGATATGATAGAAAGAGGATTCTGTAAGCATCCTTCTCCATGCGTTTTTTGGTTATGACGTGAAACATTTCTAGGGAAAACCGTGAATTTAAATGGGAAACCAAGGCCATGAATATGACATACCCACTGTAAAGCTTCTTCCACAACATGCTGAGGTGATTTGCTGATATCAGTTTCAGTGAAGGCAAGCCCGAGGGTTGGGAGGCCTTGACACATCCAGAAGGGCAGTTGTATTTCTTCCATCCGACCAGAGTGAGCTTGGGCATTTCATTGTATCCACCGAATGCACGTGTGACTGTCTGTCTAGTTGATATATACAGATGAATACCTGTGTGACCCAAACGTCTTGCGCGAAATTGAAGACTTCGTGGCTGTGTTGGATCGCATCGTCGAAGAACAAAACATCCAGCTTCCACCTGGTGCAGAGCTCGTCCTGGATCTTCGGACCGATCCAGAGACAGAGGAACGCTATTGGTGCTATTACTATGTTAATCACAAAGATAGGGTCCTGTTCTGGATACAGGATTATGAGGTGACCAGACGACTGGGTCAATTGAAGGGAATATACTCCGCCACGCATATAAGTGAGCACAGGCTAATTGCCATTCATATGCGGACTAACAAAGCCTGATAACGTCAGAGCTGGGAATAGAAGAATACTACTGGTAAATTCTTCCGTGTCCAATGGTGAGCCTCGATATCGCTGTCCTTGACTGGTGAACTTATCATGAATTACCAGACCTTGATCTCCTATATCGAGAATTGACTTGTAGGCTGCATTGGGACACGTACCCCTACAATCATGAGCCGTCCTATCAACTAATGACCGAGCTTAAATGCATCGTCACACACGCCAACGCAGGTAAGCAGTCTGGATGATTGGTCAGCGCAAAGTCTGAGTTCATCCTTGGCCAGATTTGCTTACATCAAACACCACAACGCTGACGTGGAACACGGATGAATTGTACAAGATGCTCGCCATAGTGAAGGATTTGGAAGGTGAGTGACGTGGATAGATGCACTGCGTGGCTTTAACATCTCTACAGGTCTTGGCTGTAATCAATGGACCGCTTGTGTGGTTGGTAAGATATCGCTGCTCCTGATGTCAGCGTGAATCCATTGGCTCATAAAGACAGGACGCCTTATGCACATTTTTGGTATTACTTGACCTTCTTCTAATCGCATAATTCTGACTTCCCTTTCAGCTCATCACAGATACCTGAATCACCATGGACAGAAAGCAGCGCGTCTTGCTAGAGATCAAAGTCTCTTTGGAGACGTGCATACCTCCAGATCCCCATTGATCGCGCTGATTGCTCCTCTCTTGTTTTATTCACCGATGACGCACTTGAATGCACTGGACAATCTGTTTATCGACGGCGTTATTAGTATCGTTCCATGGACACAATTCATCGGTAAACTGCAGAACGACTGGACCGAGCAGGTCTTGACGGTGCGTGAGCAATATATCATAACAACGCGAGTCACTTTATATTCAAGGATCGTCGCAGGCAACTGTGTTGTTGAACGCAAACATTTCCTTCATGACAATCACTGACGTGGACGATGGCACCAACCCGCGTACCTGGGCCCAAGTCGTCAGCTTCGTGTCAACGATTGCTAGTATTGGCAGCACAATCGTGGGGCTGCTGTTGCTACGGCAATACAGGTTGAAACCGAAGGACACATCGCAAGACGCCGTGCGTTGCATTGCTTTCATGCGCCATGAAGAATACTAACAGGCCGAACACAGGTGAACTACTTGACCAGCCGGAAGCATCCAACGCTTGGCTTGGAGACGTTGGCCATCATGTATAGCTTGCCATACGCACTGCTCATGTGGGGGTGCGTCCGACATTTCTCTCAGCGTGTGAATGTTGCTGACAATGGATGTATAGGATGATTACGTTCCTGGCTGCTTTTGCCTGCGAATGCTTCGTCCAACACGATGCTAGATCAACGATTGTCAGTGCCGTAGCCTGGGGTCTCGTAGGCATGCTCCTTGCCTGGTACATCTACACCGCTTGGGAGGGTGGGGACGTTTCGATCAGGGTACAGCTCGGCGAACTATGGACCAGCGCACGGCTAAGGATATCGAAGGTTGCAGATGTCATGCGCATTTCGAGCTGGCATGCGGTATTCCGCCCAAGTTCTTCGCACACGCTTACCCCGGACATCCGGGAGCTCCATACGTGCTAATGCACTTCGCGACTACCTTGCGTTGCTGCTCGCTGCACTGATCATGATGACTCGTTACTCGATCTCACGATGCTCAGGGATACCCGTCACTGATCTATCGCTATCTGCTTCTGTAAATTGCTTTGCTGTAACGTTTTGTTTGCTGCTGCTGTATGTCACCATTATCATGCTATGCTCGTAGACCGCACTGTCGTGTCTTCCCGGGTTCTTGTATAGATTATAGGGTGGAGCTTTGGAGACGGCCTGGATTTAGACAACTCGTAATATCCACATGAAGCGACGTTCGTTCACTCTGTCCCCTACTAGTAAAATATCTAAATCACTTCCATCACAAATGGCGCCAAGATGATTCTGCAATATATAGTGCTAGCCGAATTTTCAAGAAGGAGTGAGACTCCAATACGAGACTGTACGCCACGGTTGCCACTGCGAAGAACGACGTCATATGCTTCATATACTGATGTTGCGTTCCATGACAAGAGAGTCGCTCCGGGCAGCATCCGAGTCGGGGACCTCGCGGTCGAGTCTTTGGCGGACAATAGCAACCTCAGCCGCTGCAATTGATTGCCCCAACACGCGGAAATGACCTTTCTATCGCGAAATTGCGGGTCACAATGGTGTGGAGAAGACATGGCACTGCTGTTATGAGTTTGGAGATGACACCATGATGCGATCTCTCTTCTGGATGAAACCAACTGCAAGTTTTGACAATGACCACTGGTCGCACGCAGCTCTCCTGAAGTGCTCTGAGACAAATTTTCCATGGCAACTTACATCAATGCAGGTTGTCGAGACAATGATTATCTGGAGAAATACAATTGGCACCCGTCTCTGTAGCGACAAGTGAATGAATATTTCCCGGAAAATGGACACAGCGATAGATGTAGTAGGAAATACCAAAGGTTGGTACCACCGATCCCAGCCGTTCGATCAATCGTCAGACATTATCAATAACTGGCGCGTCCGCAATGCTATCCTATGGTACCGCGTTAGCAATACGGAGCTCACGGCTGCTCGGCATAGTACTCACCAATTCCTCCTCTGCACACAACTGTATACGCACATCAGCCTCGAAGGGCTTTGTCTATACGGGCTGCCTACCTCTGGAGAAGGGATTGCGTAGTGACGCTCTGGTCTACGCCTGTTGATCCCCGCCACAATATTTTTTATAATATGTCTGAGAAGTCGTGAGCGAAGTGCATATCAGGCATGGATAATTGGATCATATGCTCAGCTGACCTGACGGAGTGGAACACTTCGGCATGTGTTGCTGTTGGATTCGCTCCTTTCTAGAGGTGAAAACGCAGTGCACCAACAAGCAAGAAATGTGACTCACGAAGAGCCTTGTTCAAAGCCTGTCGCTGTATCAGCCAGCCTGAATCCGGAAATCGATAGGGTGCGTACATAAACAAATAGACCCCCGTGTTTCTTATCACCGTAAGTGACTTGATCATCTTCGCAAGCGGACCAAGATGTCTAGATGGTACATGTCATCAATGCGGCTTCTGCTGACTGAACTGGCTCGACTTACTACATCCACTGTATGCGGTACATGAACCTTATCTCGAATACTCTTGTGCTGACCAAGACGCGATGCTATGGTCGTGAACATCAATATTGTACTTAGAGTGCTCCGAAGGTCAGGTCTTTACCCTCATGATCTGTTCCAGCGAGGCGAACTATGAGTTACCTTAGTTTATGTCTAGTGATCACTTGACGTCTGTGGATACAACTTACTGCTCTTTAAACGGTCGAACTGCGGCTTGTACATCGAGACTGGGCTTGCAAGTGATTCACATTCATCGCTGGTGTACGGCAGATCTAGCGACGGAGGTTTAGTTATTCATGGTAACAAACAAAGCCACACCCTTCATAACATCCATACCTGCTGCGGTTCCAGAGTGGCAACAATCAAAGACCATCTAGAGTCATCTCTCGGTAAATACGTACTGCTATTTTCTAAAATCGTCCCTCACCATAAAATGCGCGCCAGCGGGGATATGTTTGACGAGAATATCATGAATCAGCTTATGGATGCGTTCAGGTTATCAACTAGGCGCGTCTCGACGGACTGACAGTGGCGACTCACATCATCGATGATATAGTTATCGCAGTCTTCGTCACTTCTATACTGTATGTCGAACGGCCATATCACTGTGAGTCCCGAGAAACAGTTTGAGACACGTCGGATAGCTGCACTTTAGTGGTCACACCTTCATCCATGCCATCTTTCTCGGTGCCATCGAGGTTTCGCACCTGTGATCCATGCCCGGAAACTGGAGAAAAGATGTTCCAAAGGGGATCGGTGCATATTCGTGGTGGATATATTACATTCTACTTACAATGAAACACAAAGTGGTCGCCAGGTTGTGCATCAGCGACTAGTTCATGCATTGATTTAATCTGAGATACACGGTTAGAATCGGACTACGTTCATAAGTCTGCGGTTACGAGAGAGGGGACTCACGATGTTTTTCTTTGTTGGACACATATGCTGACCGCTATCATCGTCCATGAGGATCCTTATGTCTTGCTCCCTGTATCCAAAGAGATCTGCCCATTGACAGCACTTCTAAGTGACGAGAATCCAGACGGCTTCAGTACAAGACTTACCAATAAGCAATTTACGGAGAACACGAGGATCATGGTGTGTGCCTTCTAAAACTAGCTCCTGGTCAATGCGCCCGAGGGGCTTGTACCGAACGGCAACGCTGAGAGCCCTTCGCACTGGAGCACGTCGGATTGTCACGGTCATAGTAAACTCGGCGGGTATGGAAGCGCGTACGCCAAAGGTGCTTATGAGCACCGTCCAGGCGTCATTCTCCGGACCACGGGGAGCCTTCCCTGCTTTCTATAGACAGAAACAAGATGGACATTGTTTGCACGACATCCAGGAGCCCATAAGAGGCATAGCACCTGCAGGAGAAAATCGTGCAATTCCGTCCTCCGGACTGATCGTCAATAAGCAGGAGAACCACAATGGCGATGAGCGACGCTGAGCTCCGGACGAGACCACCCAAACAGGGAAGAGGCGGTGACTTCGGTATGCACAGAATGACCTGCGATGTTAACTACTCGATGCCGGTCAAAACCTCAACCACTCCCTGCCGCTAGAAGCTAGATGAGCGCACCCCCGTCAACCACACTGGCACTTTTTTACTCACTGGAATATGACCATTGGTCAGCATGCGGCTTTCTTTATTGGGTTGCAGACACCTGTTTGATAATCAGGTGAGCGCTGTATCAACATCCTCGCAGCGATATCATTTCAAATTCCTACGACTCGAAATGACACTCATGGATGTATTGCAATGACAAGAAGTCGCTTGCGTTCCATGCGCATCATTCAAGCTGTGTATTAGTATTTTTTTGCCTCGCGCCTGTCATAGAACCAAGCGTTGCACATGTTCGTGGCTTCGGATCTTGCGTGTGTAAGTAGCACGCACCATTATTGGTCCTCCGCCGCACATCAGTTCAGGGTGATACTATGTAGAGCCTTGCTTGATGAAACGTACCGGAGGTGCGGTCTGACACTGGTGGCGAATATACAGTACCACAGATCGTGACAGCTGAACCAACGCTGGGTCTAGGTTATTTCTGTATTATTAAACATTCATACTTAACTGCAGATAGCTTTGTATAAGTGCGTCTAAACTACGCATTCCTCCGATTGGCGATTCGCCCGGATTCTGAACATCCTCCAGAAAGTCAAAAACGAACAGCCTTCCGGCAACGTCCGAGAAACAGGGACCGCGCCGGAGTATAAACAGAGCGCAAAAATCGCAAGAACGGCACCTCCCAGCACATGAACGCTTGTGGCTTCACACAGCCACACGAGACTCTGCGCAGACGAGATCCCGAGTGCCCACAGCAACAGCGCTTTGGGAAGGCTGAACGCAAGCGCTGTCCATCGGAAGCCTGATGCTTCTCGCCGAGCTTCCGAAAGATACGCTGCCTGTTGTGCGAGGACGATGAGTCAGAAAAAAGATCGGTCGTCAAGGGATATCATCGCCTTACCGCTTCATCGGCGACATAGGTTGTTGCTCGGCGATGTTTCATGAGAAGGATCGCCGAGAATAACACGGACATGTTACACATGAGCATAGACGCCAGCATTACGGAACGTGTGGTCTCTGGAAGCATGAGCATCCAGACGTTGATACTGAAGATTTAGCGAGACACTTTAGTTTTCAGCCGGAATCGATACTCCGGCAAAGCTCACATCAACATCAATGCCGCCTTGAGAAAGAGACGTTGAGCACATTGTTGCATTCTGACACGGAAGCTGACATACCAGTGCGGTACACACGATCCATTCGTCGCGGAACACCTTCATGGCCTTTTGCCACGGTTCCTGGTAGACAAGCTCATCCACCCATAGATCCTCGAATTGTCTTTCGTAAGAGCTGGGTACATTGAATAGAAGCATTGAAACCGCAGAGAACAGTCGGCTTCTCGGTATCGAAGGCAAGTCGAGGACGGACTGATCACTGGAAAGACGCGCGTGTTTGTCTCCATACAGGTTGTTGAATCTGTAGTGCGCTGCGGAAAGCGCGTCAGCAATGCGAAACCCTGCGAACGTTCACGACACATACTGATGACGACCCAGAGGCGCGCTGTTAGTGTAGTGTCAGCGATATAGCCTTTTCAGTGGATACGACAGATGTTTCCTCACCTATTGAAGTGATTGTATGCCCGTTCAGAATGCAATCTATCAAAGAAGGTCAGTATATGTCAATAACGTAGTAAGAATATCTCACTTTTTGCTGCATTCAACACGTCCATGAACTGTGTACATTGTTCGGCGTTGTATGGAAATGTTGACGTTACTGATGTCAGTTGGTCTAAATACGTTTCACTTAGTACTCAACTGATGTTCGAGCAAAAAGGAACGAACCAGTACGACCATGGAGGAAGACCGTAGCAAGCTCATCCACCAAGAGGTCGGAGAGTGATAGCTCGCTGGACCGATGTGCTGAGAAGAACTCCACATGGGACCAGAAATGCTCTTCTAGCAATATGTGGAGGTGCACATCCGATACGGTCTCTGAGAAGCCCAGCTCTTCGGTGGAAAGGTCGTCTTCAATCCAGAAAATCACTCTGGATGCGTAATCGGCCAGGTAGTATAGGCAAGCATTTGGCTCCTCTCCCAGCTGCAGGAAGAGTTCAGCTGTGTCCGGCAGAGCGATGCTCCGTGTGGCCAGACACGCGTTGAATTGCTCGATCCAGTAGCAGATGGCCTCTTGGACTTGGCAATCGTACAGATCTGCTTCGGTTACAACCCGAGGATTCGTGGCGCATGCGAAATACAATTGTCCTTCCGGGTGAACGTGCGCAGACCAGCCACGCGGGAGATACTTTGGCCTGTGCGACGGCAATCAGATCTAGGCTTTGAGCACATCGAGCGTCAAAACTCACTCTGTCTCCCCGGCGAAAGAAGAATGACCTGCCCTGAGAGTTGCATAGCCTCGAGTGGCTCTACAAAGGTACACGAATCAGATCAGAACGAGTCAACAGGAGCGGTGCTGAAGACTCACCTGCTTGTACGTTGGTATCGCGTGGTCAATAGTGGAGTCGTAGGTCGCAGAGAGCCAGACTCTTTCACAGACGACCGTTGCACAGACTTGGTCGAGGATTCCATGCAGCCAAAGTTGTCAGTGTTGTATGTGCCTCTCCCTGAGTCGTGTCCTCAAATACTGAGCGAGGCGCTTCGCGTGCAATGCTGAGGCCGTGCGATGCGATGTCACAGGATGTCACGCGTCAAGGGGGTGGCACACTGCCTCAGAAGTATGGCCGACACAGTCCCGCCCGCCACCCATGCAGCGCCTTCATTAATCATTGCTCGGGATAGAGGAATACCGTAGACATCTGGATAGTTCCACAGGAGATATGGAGAATTGCAGTTTGCGTCCTGCTCAGGCGGATGTCCGGTGTTACGACTTTGGGCGTTGGGCGTTCTGACGTTGCGAGCCAGCTGCCAACAGCCTGAGACCCAAGAAATCCTCACCGTGCTACACGACAGCACTGCCAACACGACATTTGTGACTTCTGTTTCCCACTTCCCTAAGACCACGTCCTAGCATGCACCAACGTTTGCGTTGATCCAGGAGGCGGTGGGCCGGTATTAACAAAAAAACTCGCTCCACACAGCTCCACACGTTCAACTTGCAAATTTTATAGCATACACCAATCTGCAGTCGATTTTTGGCCAATATAGCTTCATCGATCTAACTAGGCTCCGGGCTGATTCGGTGCAGGAGCGCCGTGGAGTTCGCCGAGTGAAGCGCGGTACATAATATCGTCTATCTAAGCCCATCTTGATAACACTCGCAACGTATTGTTAAGCGACATGGAGGCGAATAACGAAAGGTGGGCTTTGCAGAGTTCGATTCGGATCGTATCTTCATGAATGCAATGCATGCCAGTCCCATTCAGCCAGCGCCAGACACGCCGAAGGAGGTCTCGCACGAAGAGATCCGGAGCGTTTCATCCGATGCCGACGTTCCTCAGACATCGCTCAGGTCAGCCTCTTAGTTCTTTCATGTGTCCCGTTCATCGCAGTTGACATATTATTGTGGTAGCTCTGCTTCGGTGCCGATACAAAGGTACATCGAGGCACCGTCTATGGCACCCGACTACGCTGATCCTGTCCGTGGTTCTAGTGACGCCGATGAACCGGATGACAGCAATCCGGAGCTTTGGGAGAGTTTCCGCCCTCGTGGGCCAGTGCAGCATCCTGGCAGCGGCGGAAAAAAGGGGCAAAGCACAGGTCGTTGAGCGGTGTCACACAGGTTACGGTGCTCTCCAGGGGCGTAATCGCGCATATGCTACGTTGGCTTCGCGCGGTCGGCCATCTGGATACCAGGCATGGCTATCTGAAAGATCGTGCATTGCAATCTATCATGACATCTCGGGGGAAATGTTTACAAAAAGCTGTATGTGCGGCTGAATCAATCTTTCTCGTCCTAGGAAGCTGCAATGCTTGGCATTAACGGTCATCCCACTGTCGTCAAGCTCAAGATAGACTGAAAAGGCATGGATACCGTCGATGGAGAATTGTGACTGTGGAGCATTGCGCGCGGATTCGCTATCGTTCTTGACATCTAGACATTCAGAAATGCAGACTTGTCAAAGAGCATGCCCTTGTCGGGGTTATTGTCCGTTTAAGGTCTCTAGGCAACAGCCTTGGTGAGACTGGGAAGATTGCAAGCAATATCTGCCTATGCTGTATTGGGATCTTCGGTGAGCCGCGATTCCTACCTCAAAAGGTGCGCTAATCAGCGAGGGATACTCTGACACTTGACTAGGAAAGTCGTCTTAGTTTCCAATCAGATTTGCACGTAGCATTTCTTAAGAAGGACCAGCATGGGTACGCACAGGTGACATGGATACTGGTAACATAACGCGTTCACACAACCAGAGGACGGTATCCTCGCTGCACTGCTCACCATCGCATTTGTATCCACCATCTAATCGTCCCACTCACGCTATCTTGAATGCTGTGAGATAACGGCCATCGCATGAGAGCAGAACAGCACTGTTCTCGCTTTATGAATGTTTAGTTCCGCGCTCAGTGGCATGACAATACGATGGGCGCCAGTCTGTCCGTTCGTGTTGCGAGTTGATACCTGTTACAGTGCGCTTATATATATCGGCGTTACATAGCTGTTCCATTCCTGGGACTCACCGCACCGTACATTTCGGATCAGTGGTGGTAGGCAGGTAGTGGACTGCATTCTCGCCATATCTAGATGAATAGAGCCGCGGAGGGCCGTATGTGCGAATCCGACGGGTTGCTGAGGTCTTAGGGAGTCCGATGACGCTTCGCCCGAGAGAGACACAGATGCTGTACCTGGTGGTCCATTATCTCATTTTCCATCCGTATAGGATCTCGAAGCCAAGATCCGCAAATTTGCGGTTCCGGTAGTACAATTACACGATACCGTATAGCATCTGAAGATGGCCTCTACACATTGCACCGCACTCGCCTCGGTGCTTCGACCGAGTGTCCCACGCACAACTGCGGTACTACGTTTCATAGTCATACGCTTATTAGGAACAGCCTTACCCTCGGCGAGCGCGATCCCTCGATTTTTGCAATTGCTTTCATTAACTATCGTCTGCTATGAGGAGCTCATAGCCCAGGTGACACGCGGAACTCATGAGCGAACGTACGGCCATGGACCTTCAGGTTCCCATATGACCATTTACTTCACGGCCTGTTGCAGGCGAATTACTTATTGCTGACCGTATCTGATACATGCGATTCAAGGTAGTCTGTGCAACAGACATTATGTGTGTTTTCATGGTGAGGGAAAGGCACTTTACTTTTGGGGAGGGGCCCTGCGACTTGCTATCGACACGGAAGTACGCACTGCCGAGCGGCTATAGTGTTACGGCAAAAGTCATCACATGTGCGCTTCGCGTCAAGCAATTTTGTGGTAAGCGCCCATAACATCACATATGGAATTGTTGGGGGACCGTTTGTTCGCGTATGCGTGATGCCTCGTGGCTCACAGCTGCACCTAATCTCTATTTTCGACTGTAGCATGGGTAACTCATGCTAATTGCGCCCTTAGGCTAGAGAGCAGACCTTGGGCCTGCCAGCACTACCCTTCGATGCTTTCGGACTCTGCTAATGCAACGCCCGAGCGGGCTGTCTTTGGGCCGTTTCTGCGGGTGTTACGACTGATATTAAACCTGGGCAACGCTCGACATGCTCTACGACGTATTTTGACATCTATTTGGCTGTATTCCAAACGTTGCTATGCTGCTGCGAAGCGTAGAACTGGTCGGCGGAAACCAGATTCAGACAATGCAGGAACTGGCGCTACTACGCGGAACCGAAACCTCGTCTCTCCAGAGAGCAAGTCAGATACCGTGTACTCCAGTAACGACGCAGGTCCTTACTTGGTCGTTTCAAACGACCAGCACCAGGGACCTCGCAATCTTCCTTCTAATTACGGTCCGGGACTGCCTGCTCCAAACCACACTGGAAGCAGATCCTCGCCCGCACTCCACTTGGGATCACACAATCACCATGACCAGTTCACGATCTCCGTTCAGACTGCGTCTAGCTCTCGTCTCTCAGTACCATATTCCGTGCAGGATCGCGAGGACAGAGCTTCGACTACTGGACGCAGGAGTCTCCTTCGAGCGTCAGGCTCTCGCTCTTCCTCTCGAGCATCCTCTCGTGCATCCTCTCGTGCTAGCGCGCATCCGTTTTCACGTGCTGCAATGCCTCCTCCTAAAGGCTCCTCCAGGAGTAGACCTGAGACACGCTCGCACTCCAATCGATCACGAATGTCAGTTGTGTCGGCTGATCCTCCGCCCAGCATGCATTCGTCAACGAAGAATGGCTTGCCAGTGGAGCTCGCGGAGCCCTCGAGGGATATACCGTATGCACCATCCATTCAGCTTGAAAGTCCTTCGAGAACGCCGACGTTTCCAATCCTTCAAACACGTAGATATGAACGAAACGACACACTGTGAGATTATGATCTTCTCGAAATCGTTTTGTTCGATCTTATGCCTAAGAATAGGACGGCATATGACACCGACTGGACCGTGTCTGCCATGGAAATATCCTATCAACTGTACGTGTCTGATCCTCGTATGTAGACTGGCCATCGCTCATCACAGTGACCGCCGCAGTAAGGGAAAACCCGAAGGTTGGCTGGCGCTGACACATCCAGAAGGACAATTGTATTTCTTTAACGGCCAAAGAGTAAGCCGTTGTTCTGATATTATTTACGCGTTCCCTTCATGGTGCCGCCCAGAGAATATACACAGATGCATACATCTGTGAGCCGGCCATCTTCTCACAGATCGAAGCATTTGCAGCTTTGTTAGACGAAATACGACGCGAGGAGAAGATCGAAATACCTCAAGACGCGGATCTAGTCCTGGAACTTGAAAAAAGTGCGAATCATCCGGGGAGAATAAACTGGTGCTACTATTATGCCGATCACACGTCGCGCACCCTTTTTTGGTTACAAGAATACAAAGTGACGGACGACCTCGATGAAATGAAGGGAATTGCTTCTGAGACGCACATCAGTAGGTCATCGTGTTGGCTGTCCGGCTCGAAGGGCAATCTGATGATACCGCTCCCAGAGCTGGCCCTGGAAGAGTTCTACTGGTACTAACATTTCAAGAGATGTGGGTGCTTCGATCACAGTGCTAGAGAAGTATGCTGACAGGCACAGGTCTTTTCTGGCGTTCAATTTCTATCGCAGGTTACACTGGGATACATTTCCCTACAATCACGAGCCAACTGATGACTTACGCAAGGGGATTATGGGTATGCTTACGCATGCCACTCTTGGTGAGCATTGGAGATCATTTTCCGACTCATCGTTAACATTACGAACTCGTAGACCAGATCACATCGAGGCAGTCGACTTACCTATACTCCGCTGATGAGCTTCACAAAATGCTAACCTTTGTCAAGGGCGCAAAAGGTAAGGAAAGCCTTTTTCGCTGCACAGAGCCAATCTGGACACTCTTCACAGATTTTCCAGATAGCCAGCATGCTACTTGTGTCATAGGTAAGTTCCTTGCTACTCATGTTGCTCTCACTTCTTATTGACCGATGCAGGTCGTCTGATGCACATTTTCGGTACACAATACTTTTATGAAATTGCTTGGATTTACTAAGGGTCGCGAGCAGCCCACCACAGGTTCCTCAACTATTATGGGCAGCGAGTGTCTCGATTGCGCTGGAATCAAAGTCTGTTTGGAGATCAAGCTCCCAGATCTCCTCTTATCACAGTCCTTTCTCCCCTCCTTTTCAATGCTCCGGAAGCCCATCTCACTGCTCTGGAGAGAATTTGGACAGACCGGATCATAAACCATGTTCCGTGGTCAGCATTTATCAACAAGCTTCAGGCCGAGTGGCAGGAATACATCCTCTTCGTATGTTCTCGTTGGGTCTCATGGAGCCTCAACATTAATAGTTGACGTCGAGGCATACGCAGTCCACGGTGATGTTGAACGCCAACATCTCGTTCATGACCATCAATGATGTCGATCCTGGCTCGGGACCGCGGACCTCTGCTCAGGTTACGAGCTTCGTATCGACCATAGCAAGCATTGGAAGTATTCTCGTTGGGCTGTTGCTTGTCAGGCGATATCGGCTCAAGCCAATCGATACCGCTGCGGATGCTGTGTGTTCTGCGTTTCTGCTGAAGCGTGGCGCATGGCTGACGACCATACGATAGGCGAATTATTTGAATAGCAGGACACATCCAAAGTTGGGCTTGGAGACACTGGCCATCATATACAGCCTCCCTTATGCTCTGCTGATGTGGGGGTAAGTTTCGTCCATTGAGGTCACTAAGTTTGTGTATTAACGATCGCTTGCATTCACAGAATGGTATCTTTCCTGGTTGCCTTTGCTTTCGAATGCTTCGTCGAACATGACAACAAATCGACAATTGTGTCTGCGGTCGCCTGGGGCCTCGTCGGCACGTTCATCATGTGGAGCATCTACACCATTTGGGATGGCGTTAATATGGCCATTGTTGGGGCTTTGACGTCGTTTCGCTCTCACATCCACAAGAAACTACAGATCTTGCCGTATTGCCGTGAAAACACGCCTTATTCCGACAATCCCTGATTTCTTACGTTCCAACAGTATCAGTAGCCATTGAATCGAATGAACGCTGCCAGGATGCGCGCAGACGGCTATTTACGACTTTCACATCAGGGATGGAGACAATTCACACAGGATTTAACAGGATTACGACACCATATATCCCCGATGTGGATTAGCATGGATCATAGCTATTGACTCGGAGATTGTTCAGTCACTATACTTCTCATGTCTTCTGACGTCTTCCGCGATGTAGACCGATATATCGTCTTGATGTTACTTGCAAGCTCTAGAAAGACCATTCGCAACATCGAGACTGATTACCAGGAGCTGGGACCACACGGTGCAGTATGTGCACCATCGAAGTTGCTGGGTGGCATTTCGGATTTGCCCGCGGTCATCGGCAAGACGATAGCGGTCACGTGATCGCGTTACTGCCATTTCCGGCAGCTCACCGCCAGGTTAGCGTCACTTACTACCCCCTCAGCCACTTCCTTTGTTCGTAACGTTCTCCTGCTTGATGCCTTACGTTGCTTGCTACTCTGACGATCAAGCTTGTCAATTTGAAGTTCATGTTCATTGATTCATGTGACTCGAGGAGTTATAGAATCTTACACAACAATACAGGCGATTAGCGATTCCGGCTTGCGCCGCACTGGGAAATTTACTCACCGTCATAGACGAAGCAAGTCATTTGAACGCTCAAAATGTCGAATTTGCATCCAAAATGTGTTTCTATCAGGAGAATGTAAGCACGTGTCGAAAGCTACCTTAATCTGACTTCATTGTCACCCGTCCGAGTCTTTGGGATATGTGGACAAACGAGACTGGCGGATGGCCAAAGCTCAGGCTGTTGCCACGGTTCCGCCGCAGATCTATGCACACATTTGTGTGACATCAACTCCCGTGCAATCTGGTTTTGTATGCTTGCCGATATCTCCTTGTCATCGTCAATTTAGGTGATGCTGGACTTGAACTCCAAGCCTTGTAGAGGCGCAATTGCGTGCAAGGACATATTTGCGGTGCGATGTTGATCGGTCTTCCGGCTTCTTCCCCATTCATTACTTAACGTGGGACAGCTGATCACTGCTTTACACAGTACTTGCGCACAGCCATCATGCTAGGAGAAGTTACTCCATGGTGGTGTCAGCTCCGCGCCAGAAGCATGATGTGGCAGTTCAACTTTCAACCTTCATTTTATAGAAGCCATCACAGCCACTGGAAAAACGACACCCGGTAATCGAAGTGGGAGATCTCTAGTATCTCACGGGTTAATCTTTTCATATGCAAGTACAGTGACTACTGTGTTTGCTTTCGGAAGGGAGATTCAATGAAGCTGCTCGGCAGTGCGCACTGCAAACCCGCCATATACGGTAGTTGCATGTGTGTTTGTATGGTTAATGACGCTCAATATCTCACAGACTCCAGGTCACATGAGGCAGGCTAAACCATGCACTGTGTATGCGGGTTTTCATCTCACAGCTCAGCAAACATGTTGAGCCGCTCGCTTGATGTATTTATCATTTCGTTTGCACTTTGAGGCTGTGTCAAATGTGCGCTTCCAGCGAGAGAGCTGCGCCTCCTCGAGGGGCGGTACTCTACACTCCAGACCTTTCTCGTATGCAGGTTATACTTGCAATAGCCAAGCTCGTCGAGACCGGATCCCTGAGAAGACGGTCTCTCCCTGGGGAACTCTGTATCTGTTCATATCCCAACTGGAGGGCGCCGAGCGGCTGCGAAAGCGAGGATGGAACCCCGCTCATGTGGTTTTGATACACTGTATAAGATCGTGGTAATCCACATAGTTTCACTCATCCAAACTATACCCGATAACGCGCACTTGCTGTCAACAACAGGCGACCTAGAGACAAACAACGTTAAGAACTTGTATAAGTGAGTTCTCCTCCGCTCTTTACGCCTGATGTTGCCTTCAATAAAGCACACCCCGCTTGACCCAGGTACGCGGCAGGTCTCGTACGAGAAGACCTCGAAAGCATAGATTAAGCCTGCCATATATTATTGCGTCGTATAAGCGGACGATAGCATGGTAGAATTTCACTGAGGTCGGCAGTATGTGTTGTGATGTCTTGTGAGCGACGTTTCTGACATATTACCGCCGTCACCATTCAGACGCTCCAAGGCTTCTTGGTAGCGTCTGATGATGCTAACCTTTTACAACTTTTGGTGAAGACGGCAAACATAACGCGACATGCCCTCACTGGTGAAAGACGAAGCAAGGAATGTATCGTTGAATGTAGTGCGCTGGTCTTATCGGACTCCCTTCCCATTCTGATCAGAAAGCCAGTAGCGTGGGCCTTGTTCTCCGCTCAATGAATCGCATTTCGCTCGTCCCTCCGCCGCGTGAAGAGCTGCCTACCACTAACCTCTACTGTGTTTGTCGCTCAGCCACCCGCGTTTCAGTGCGTCCATATCTCCATCCGCGGCTGGTGGTCTTGAATGATCATAGTTACAGGTCGCGCTCTCGTGGTTTTCATCTAGAGTCCGTGGCTCACATGAGCCTGCATTTACGCTATGCAATGAATGCAGGTCTCTGCTGAATCTGTTATTCACTCCAATACATCAAATACGTCCATGAATGACTTACACAACGTCTTCACTCATCACACAATGACTATCGCCCCATGCAAGGTTTGATCAATCAACTGCAGTTTGAATGGTCCGGATAAGTTTTAATGGTGGGTTGTATTATATGTCATTGTGCTCTTTGGGCATCTCAAGCGTGACATAGGGCATCGTCCTCTTGAATGCAGATATTTGCTGCCGTGGATGCGGTCAGTGACGCCTGAGTAAGCTCGAAGCGTAGGTGCTGCCGTGAAATGATTTGATGTGAAGACAAGAGCAAAACCCACGCAATCTCGTATCGACTCAAAAATCGATACGCAATATACAAATTGGACAACCTTCAAGTTTGGGTACATTTGCTAGCATGATATTCAGTCACTCAGCTCCAAGATCAACAACGTGCTGTCTGCGTGTTTGCGCAGATACAAGCACAAGGGACGGCCTGGCTCGGAGAAATAGGGTGATGCTCCAGGATTCATTGCTAGACAACAGGATGTATGATCCGTTTGAATCTGGGCCTAACAATGCAGGCCGATAAGCCACATGTTGCGCTTCGCCTAAATCAACCACCTCTACGGATAGTTCGAGGACTCCAGGGCTGCGGCTCGTCTGCTGGAGGTGCCCGGTATTCCGAGGGATGCACTGGCAGATACTGTGTGGTCTCGCGGGGTCGCGTAGCCTTGGGGACATGAGATTTAGAGTGTAGTTCTGGGCTACTTGCCTGAGCCGACGAATGCTGCTGGCCCTGCGCTGAAAGAGAGTTCATTTCGCGCTCAACGCCTGGCTGAGGAGGGGAGATTCGCATTGCTGGGCGCTGCTCGCGGTCGCGTGCCTCGATCAGCGCAGCGCGCATCAAGACACGCCGCTGTCGCTCGAGATCGGCATGGAGTTCCTATTGTGTATTTGGTCATCAATCGCCCAGTTTCCGGATAGAGTCACAGAGCGAGAAATTTGTTCTCACTTCCAATGTGGGAGGATTCATGCGCGTGTGTGTCAGCCATGACGTCCATTGTACTGAGCCGCCGTTCAGTGACATTATCGCCGACCCGCCTAACTGTGCCATGGTGGAACTGACCTGCCAGTCGCTTGTGCCCAGAGATAAAGTCTTGCATGTCATGTCCTTCTCTGTACTTTACGATGCGCTTCGTTTTCCGTGGGTCTACGGAGAAAGAATTGGCAGTAGACACGTCACGAAGCATCCGAACGTACCCTGGATCTCACCCGGGTACTCATAAAATTTGTTTCCTAGATTAACAGAAAGGATAAGAGCTCTACGTAAGGTCAGATGCCCTTGACAGCGTACCGGCAATATCTCTTCCGACAAGATATGACTGTATGACATGATCGTCCGTTGAAACCTTGACAAGGAATTGAGAGCCATTGGACTCACAGGCTTGACGAGCTTCTGCCATATACGGCGTATGAATGACATGGTTCACTAAGAGCAAACGCCTTTCAAGACCTTTTGAGGTTGTATAGTGAACAGTTAAAAAGTAAAAACCGTTGAGGCCAAGGTGCAATGCAGGATCAAGCTTGCGGGCGACGCATGAGTCGGTGGCGCTGAGGCGTTAACCACGTGATAAATGTGGATGGGCCACACAAGATCAGAATTCAGTCCCACTAAGTGCTATAAACTTGCTAAGTACTTAAAGACAGTCCTTGTTCATAAATGTCCCTGAATGGAGCTGTGTAGGGGTCTTTTTACAGCTGATAGATTTCGTTGGAGGCATAGCCGAAGGGAACCAGGACCACACTTCGTACTCACACGGCAGACATGATGCGATTTATCAATGTGGGAAATTGTGTGTGAATGTCGACTGATTTCTTACACATGTGACAAAAGTTTGCAAGAATGGCATTTCATGTCTAAAATGTTTCACTTTGGCTGCGGATGTGCACCATTTGCTGATTAAATGCTACATTGGCAAACCTTTGCCCCAAATGTAAGACATCAGCCGACATTCCCACACTATTTTCCACATTTATAAATCGCATCATGTCTGCCGTGTCAGTTAAGAGGTTATATACCATATTACCATTAGATTGTCGTTGCAAGGAACGGCCAGGTCCTTTGATTTTGATTCTCGTTGAGACATAAACATACCACTCGATCGGCCAGGAAATTTCGGCGGACAGTCGCCCTTACAGCATTCGTGATGCCGATAATGGACATCTATTCCGCCAGGTGCCAGATACAAACTTCGAACGTGTTGCGTAGTACATAACATCCACAGAACAAGAATGCAATGTGTCCAAATTCAAAACGTCGCCATGATGCAGATGCACGAAAACCAACATCCCACGACGTAGCTCACGACAGCCTGAACCTTTTCACTTCTCCCCCATCACTTACGTCAAGGGACGCGAGCGGCTCCCTCCTTTGCACAGCAGCACCTCGCGTCGAGCCGCCCGCATGCGGTGCCAACCCCATATCCTGGGTAGGTCTCCGTTGGGGTGCCGCGGGACGCCCACCGCTGCACGGATCTGCATTCAATGAATTGCAGGGTGAATAAGAGACGTGCACTTACAGCATGGCATCCGCGTTCCGCTTCAGTCCGATCCCGCTGGGACCGGAAGTAGACGCCTGGCTAATATGAGCCGAAGGGGCAAGATCGGGTGTGCGTGAGACTGCAGGAGCCTATGAAAGGAAGAATGAGAAGGAATGATACGGCGAGCACACGCTTTTGATTGCATACAACTCCAGCAGGAAAGTTAAAGCCGCCGCCCATGGAAGGTGTGGGCGATCGTCCGATGTGACCTTTGTTCTGCGACGTCAATCCGGACGAGTTCCGTGCTTCTGCAAGAGGGTTTGAATTTGAACTTGAGCCTGAGGGTTTCTGTCGTTGGTTGGAAGATGATGAATCGTTCGCGTGGGATGGAGCTTGCAGTGGTCGTGACTGTTGTGCAGAAGAGGCTTGTAATGTCCGTGAATGCTGCACAGAAGATGGTTGTGGGATTTGCTGTCCTGTTTGTTGCTGCCGCTGTTGCACATTCGATTGCTGCTGAGGCACCTGCTGAGGTGGCACTTGAAGTTGGCGCTGCTGAGGCTTTGGCTGTTGCTGCTGCTGCCGCCACGCCGGCCGCGGTGTCTGTTGTTCGTCTCCCTGCCTCGGCTGTTGTCCGCGCAGCTGCTGATATGGGAGCTGCGGCGGAGGCATTTCCTTGCTGCTCTTCGTCCCGCCATCAGGGTTCACCCCACGTGCTCCCTGATCATATTCTATCGGTCCGCCTATCCCCTCCTCGCCAAGGTCTATTGTCGCTAGAAATGCGTCGTCATCAGAATTGAAGCAGATCGAGTCCTCTCCGTCTTCTAACGTGTCGTTCTGCGCGTCCTCTGCAAGTGTGCCGCTGGACGTCGCTGCTGAAGCAGAGGCGTCGGCAACCATGTGCGGGGCGAAGCTCACTCTGCGCTCTGTCTGCGCCTTGGACGGACCGGCTGATGGTTGCGCGGCCTGCGCGCCAGAGGGACTTTGTGCAAACGCACTCGACCCTGTGCCACCAGCTTTCATCGGCGCTTTTCCATTAGCGCTCGGCGTCAACAGTGGCTTCGGCTCGGAGTCCGAGCGTGCATGTGGCGGGACGGCTGAGGGAACCTGAGGAATTGGTGATTGCGGAGCAGAATTTGCACAAGCTTCCACAATCGCAGCGAGACGAGCTGAACGCTCGGTCTTGACAGAAGGGCCACATGAGGTGGAGGCATTCGCTGATCTACTCGGATTAGGGTTTGAGCGAGATTCGTCGAATTCCGGGCGTCGGTGCAGGTCATCTTTGTTGAACCTGGGCTGCGGCGACCACATTGCGGCGAGGGTCAGATCAACGTCAGATATAGCATACAGTCACCTACAGGTGGGACTTTCATTTTCACAATTTCCTGCGTGTACGCCTTGTCGTATAGGCAATTACCCAGGAGATTACCGAAATTGCGGAGAGCACGCTTCACCGCATCTGTAACCGCTTCTTTCTTACACTATATGCGTGCCTTCTTTAATATCCGGGAATAAAGTCAACGCAAATAACTCACCTTGTCAAGAGCAGCTCCTTTGCTCTTCGAGTTCTCCAGTGAACCATAGCCAATATCCTCATGATAGACGCCGTCTCGTAATGTCACCTTTACAACCGCCGTGACACCGACAGTAAACCTCCTCGTTTCTTCGCTGTAGTCTATGAAATCTGTCGTCAGGTTGACAACGCTGGAGCTCCAGCCATTGAACCCGAAGCTGCGTGAACGCTCAAATCAGAGTGCACGATCGAGAGGTGTGGACACGCTCACACTTCGTTGGCTAAATTGATGATCTTCCATCCTGTATGCTGCATCTGTATCAGTAAATTCAAGCGAGACGAGGCACCTCGTACCCTCAGCATACGTCAGCTTTGGGCCGCCACCTGGACCGGGCCGTTGAGAAATGTACTCCGGCCCAAGCTTCTTATCTAGCTTTGCCTGTAGTGAAGCAATCTTCTGCGCTGTCTCTTCAGAAATATTCGAAAACGATGTCTCCTGGAAGAGTGACGTCTGGGAGTTGAAAGTTCCATGTATATGCGGTGCGAAAGACATCGATACGTGAACCGAACTCTGTGGCGTCTCAGTTAACGATTGTCCAAATGGTCCCTTCAGATGTTACTTAGAGTTCAAGAACGAGTCTATGAGATGTCCGCTGAACGATCCAGCCATCGATCGGTGGCAGGAGCGAAGATGGTGGTGGTAGTAAACCAAGCGAATGCCCCGGCCTAGCCACCGCGCGTCGACAAGCGCGACGCGTCTCGCCACGTGACGGAGCAGTGCCGTTGTACGGCGGCCAGGCAAGAGTCTGGGCGTGGGCACTGGAGCGGAGTCTGGTTAGCAAGCCAGCTCGCGTCAGTGCGCGTCTAAATAAATTGTTGTCTTCATCGACGTTCCCTCCGCCTTCGAGGCCAGCTCTCGCGCATTTCCCTTGCATTCTCCCCGTTCCTCTCTTCACGGTGAGATACAGTCCATATCCGGGGATCCTCGATGCTGATCTTCATCACACAGCACCATCATGACCAACGGCACCTCCACTGTCAATCCTTCCGAAGTCGGCTGGCAATTCGTCCCCCAGTACTACACTTATGTCAACAAACATCCCAATCGTTTGCATTGTTTCTACACTAAAGCTTCTACTTTCATCCACGGCACGGAGGGCGAGGATGGCAAGCCTTACTACGGTCAACAGGTACGTGTTCGGCCCCGGTGAACGTGGTGGCGCCGGTGTTTCGTAATGCGCTTGGAGGCGGTTGAAGGGTTGCGCACATCTCGTTGGGCTCACCTCAACGCTGCTGGCATAGTTGCTCATACTGAATATGCACGTTGCGATGATATTGGATAGCTTTGGGCAGAATGCAGACGGTCGGATGTGTTGCTATTGAACCCGTCTTCCTCTCCCAGGCATTTTTCGACAGCTTGCATACAATTGCAAAAGTCGAACTGTTCCCATATGACTGGTTCATGTGATTGGAGGACTTCCCGCCGAGTCCTGCGTTGCCATGGTTGATGACGGCAGCTGCAGGTTTCATGATGCATTTCGCCGTGCACTTACTGAAATCTTCCGTGCTTGCTGAGATGATGACTGATACGCGATTCCCCAGGAAATCCATGACAAGATTACCTCGATCGGTTTCCAAGATTGCAAGGTTTTCATACACTCGGTCGATGCACAGTCTTCCGCGAATGGTGGCATCATCATCCAGGTGATCGGTGAAATGTCCAACCATGGCGATCCTTGGCGGAAATTCGTGCAGACTTTCTTCCTCGCCGAGCAACCCAATGGCTACTTCGTCCTCAACGATATCTTCCGCTTCCTCAAGGAGGAGACTGTTGAAAGTGATGAGGCCAGCGAAACTGAGGCAGCTCCCGCTCAGCCATCTGCACAAGAGCACTCGCCCGTTCTCACACCTGTCACTGCTGTCCCAGCACCGCCGACACCTGCACTACCACCACCGGTTGAGCACAAGCCCGAACCCCCCGCAGCACTAACACCACCGCCTCCTGCGAAGCCTGCAGAGGAACCGCCTGCGTCTCCGGTACCTGAGCTCGCGCTTGAGCTTCATCCGCAGGCCAACGGTCACCATGCGCTGGAGGAGAAGTCCGAGTCTGTTCCTGCGCCGGTGGAGAAGTCGCCGTCGCCGGCTCCCGAGCCGCCCGCGACTGCCTCACCTCCACCGGTGTCGCCCCCGGCGCCTCAACATGAGCCACTGCCGACACCTTCCGTACTCCCAGTGCAAGTATATCCTTCTGCTCAGCCGCCTGCACCTGCACCTGCTGCTCAACCTGCTGCTCCTCAGCCGCCGCAGAGGAAGACCTGGGCGAACTTGGCTGCGAAGGACTCGAATAAGTGGGGAGCGGCGGTGGCGAACGAAGTACGGGGTGTGAGTGAAGCCCCTGCGACGGTGACACCTGTGCCTCTTAGCGGGCCTCAATCACCTGCTCTACATGTCACCACTCGCCCGGCGCAGCAACACGCACATCCAGCTCTGATGGCAGCGCAGAACGTGGCTACGGCTCAATGCTTCGTCAAAGTATGTTCTTTCGCTTTCCTACAACCTTCTGTAAATCTCACGAGATTACTTTTCAGAGCGTGACAGAGAATATTCCCGAAGGCGCGCTCAGGAAGACCCTTGTTGAACGTTTCGGACCGATCAAGGAGCTCGAGATCCTACGCTCCAAGGCGTGTGCATTCCTCGAGTTCACCAACCTGGAAGCTGCAAGGCGCGCCATCGTTGCTTCGCTGCCTCCATCGGCCGGTGGCGAGGGCGGAGTCCGTATCGAGGGTGTCGACGGCAACGCAAGGATCCTTGTGGAGACGCGAAAGGAGCGAGGAGAGCGCCCGCCACCGCGCGGACCCCCGATGAACGGCGAGCGTGGACGAGGTGGATACCGTGGCCGCGGCGGATCTGGCGGACGTGGACGGGGTGGACCGCCTCCGCCAAAGTAGAAACTTTTTATGGGAATGTGACATATGTTTGTTAGCGGTCGAGAGAAGGGTTGTCCCTGTGCGTCGAGGAGGTTGCTGGGAGTTGGTTGAGAGGAGTGGTGGGCGGCTGACTGACTAGCGGGAGCTGTGCCTGCTGTGTCGGTTGGCAAAAAAAATCACAGACTGTTTCCTTGTGCTCTTCTGCTCTGATGTTCTTGATGTCGGTATGCGCTACGTCGTGTGCATCGCTTTCTGTTATGTGCAACATTTTGGAATGATTTGCTTTTTGCATGTGTCTTTCCTCTTGCGCGGTCCATCGCGTGTGTGTACGTAGAGCTGTACATTTGTACATTCTGTGGACGACCGCCAGCGAGATTGTGTATTCATACCCGCAATGCGAACGACCAGCAGTGCTGAGGGTATAGTAACAACAGATAACGTCGATGTGCATGTTCCATTCTATACCTACGTACATAGAACTACATAGACCATTGATCCACCCAAAGGACGAGACGGCCAGCTCAACCTATTCCAAGTGACCAGTCACGCAAGAGGCCCGGAAAATAGATGGCAGCAACGGAGGCTATACGGAAGCACAGCAAAGCAAGCTCGACGCTGGTAAGTCAACCCTACGACGGTATGGCAAATGGGCGACACGGGCTCCCGCGAGATGGAGTGAGAACAGTCCGAAGTGTGATGTGATGGTATTGTACACGTCCAAACTGCCGTGAGAGAGCGAGGAAACGCTGGTGAACTAGTGAACAGAATGTAGGCTGCGTCGGGGCACCACCTGGTCAGCGGTGTGCTTGCGTGCAAAAAACGCATGAACGCACGTATACAAGTGGTTGGGATGGACAGCACACATAACAACAGCTCATGACGTCGTAGATGTTCGGGTGAAGTGAGCGCGCCTACACCATGGGCGGCGGATGGAAGGACATGATTTCCTCATAGAGCAGTTCCTTGAGCTGTTCGCGGCTGATATCGTCTTTGTGCACTGCAGGAGAACGTCAGTGCCGGGGTAACGCGAGCAAGACGGGAGCTACTGACGATCGAACTCGAAGAACTCTGGGTCGAGTGGAGGTGCGACGGGTTCGTCTTCTGGGTCGTGCTGAAGAAGAGATCATAAAATTCAGAGTCCAAGCGAGAGGCTAGGTTTGGGGCGTACGTATGCCTCGAGGTACGGATGCGCCAGCGCCTCCTCCACGGTGATTCGCTTCTTAGGATCGAATGTCTGGAGCGAGAACGGACTGATCAGTGCGCCAGCACACGCGACAGGTGCATTGCCAATGCTCACCAAACTCCTCGTCAAGAAGTCCACGGCAAGCGGGCTCGCATTCGGGAATAGCTGCGCGAACGGCTTGCGCTTCCGGAAGGGCAGCGCGCGGATGTAATCGCGTGAGCGTCTCGTTGTGATTGCATAGAACTCGTCGAGCGTCGGCGTGCCGAGTACGTCGAGGATGAGCGTGAGCTGGTGGTGGTAGTCACGGCCTGGGAAGAGAGGCTTGCCCGAGAGCATCTCGGCGAGGATACATCCAACGGACCAGATATCGATCGCTTTGGTATACTGCTTGAACGTGAGCATGATCTCAGGCGCACGGTACCATCGTGTTGCGACGTATTCCGTCATGAAGCCAGTCTCGGTGCCAGACGGCTCCGCAGTCTTGACTGAGCGCGCGAGCCCAAAGTCGCAAACTTTGAGGTCGCAATTTGCATTGAGAAGCAGGTTGGACGGCTTCAGGTCGCGGTGGATCACGTCGGCGGAATGCAATGCCTTGAGCGCACGTAGTGTCTGATAGATGAAGTATTGGGCGTGGTCGTCGGAAAGGTCTTGCGTCCTGATGACGCGGTGCATGTCGGTCTCCATCAGTTCTTGGATTACTGATTGTAGCAAGCGCAACAGTCATTTTCGGCGATGAGCCCGCGAAGCAGCAACGGGACAGACGTACAGTACACTTCCTTGAACTGCTCTATAGATGGTGGCTTGATGATGTCCAGGATGGAGATAATCTAAGCCATCTGGGTTAGCACCAGCCCTGAGGCATGGAGACGACGGCGACTCACGTTTTCGCTGACACCCGCCTCGCTCAAGAACTTTAGCAACTTGAGCTCCCTCAGCGTCCTAAGACAGAACATCGAGTGGTCGAACGGCGCGATTTTCTTGATGGCCACTTTACGCCCGCTGGGTCGGTGCACTGCCGAGCAGACGATGCCATATGCGCCTTCACCGACGACGTCAAGCACCTGATACTGCGATCCTGGAATCGCCGCAATCCCCGTCACCGCGACCGCCGCGAAACTAGGCAAAAGCAGGCACAGACTCACCGACGTTGAAACGGACCTTGCGAGGCGCTGGCTGCGCCTGCGACGCCGCATGGCCATGCTTCGACTTTGCTGCTGCTTGTGACTGCTCTGAAGGCATGGTGGACGTTGACGAGAGAGATGGAGGGAGGGTATGGAGAGAGAGAGAACGAGGAAAAGAAGAGGAGGGTGGCGGAAGCCTATATAGAGAATTGCTTGTTGTCTGGGAAGGATGTTCTACGGAACTATTTGAACCACGGCCATTGTGTCGCCCAGCAACCGCATCGCCGCCGGCCTTTGTCTTGCCGACCAACAGCTACGGTCCTCTCCTCATGCCCTGATCTGCATGCAATGATAAGTTATCCCCGTCGGCGGTGCGACCACCAATGGCCACTGTTTGCGACCATCGCGACGGCAGGCATCGCCAGTGGCGGACAGCGTCTACCGGCTGATTTTGATGATTACCTACTGACATGCTCTGATAACCGTGGCAAGTAGGGCATAAGAGTAAACCGCATCTTATTCTTAGAAGCCAACTCAGGCGAGTGGGCTCAGGTACGTCCTCACTGATGAACGAACGAACAAGAGCATGTCCTTGACTTTCGAAAATGTATACGTTGCTCGCATTGCGACGAATGTCACTCCTCCAAACGAGACTTCGCCGCACATTGGCAGAATGATGTGACAGCATTGACTTCGTTCAGATGGGCATGACTTGCGGACGTGCTGCGAGCATCAGTCAACCTTGCTCTGCTTCGACAGCTCGTGGAGAGCAGCACAGGCCTAGAACTGACATCCTAGGAACGGCCAATCCCGTCCGTCGCGTTCTTTCGCAAGCCGTTGTCATGATGAGCCCACTTAGCAGACAAGGATCCCCCTATGCGCATCAAGTACGTGAATATGCTTGCTTCCGTCGTCGAAAAGGTTATTATCCTCCATCGGGATATTTACTCCTACGGTTTTATAGGGTCTCGGTTACATTTCATTGGCTACAACGCCATACTATACAGTTTGATTGGAGGCCACAGCTCTTACAGTTGCTGAAGTCAGACTAATACTGAAACTCTCGCTCTCTGGCAGTTGTATTAACAGACGGAACGTCGCTGCTATACCCCATCATTGCTCATGTTCCGTTTCACGCGGTGACAGCCGTGAGTATATATCTGCGACTGCTATTGTTCCACTCTCATCGCGTCAAAGTCAGATTGCCGCCAATGAATGCTTTGCTGCGATTGTCATCGAAATGGCCAGATAAGAGCGCAAGTGTTCACTTTTATAGCATTTGGGGAAATTCGCCACTGCGTTCCCGTCAACCCATCTCAGCATCATCAAAAACTCGCGAAAAGTGCGTGCGATATCTACATCTAGGCGTTTGATGCCGGTACCGGTCGCCATACACGGCGCGACAAACGTTTGGCTGGCAGCGCTAACGCCACAGCGGATTTGATGCCAACAGTTGGCTATCGTTGTCATACAGACCTAGAGAATTGTACCGCGAGCCCGAGAATTATTTGAACGAATATTCGAGCATGACGGAACGTAATTTGGCACGCGCCTTCGCGCTAAGGGATATGAGATGCTTACATGCCCTTGAAGCTTGATCGACGAATGAGGTACTTACCTATTCGATTTTGCCGTTTGTCGACCAATATTCATGATGGGAGATTTTGTGCATGGGAAAGGCCACTCTGAGTGGGACTTAGTTCTCTATTTGCTGCCGTTGCTGTCGGTGTCATCTGAACAACGCTCGCAATCAATGTAACTTCATCAGTACTTTGCTCTCCACTCGTTCACGGCTAAGAGGAACGGTCAACATAAATTCAGGCTGGCATGCTGGCTGTGATTAATATCTTGCATGCTGTTACAGACCAAGGACACCAAGGCTGTCGCATCCCTGAAAACATGCCGCAAATACATGTCAAACCCTAAGCAAAGAAAGAGTCTGAAAGATGATCGAGAAAGTGTGCAATTCAACCGATGCTCACTGGAGCACAGTTACGTGGATGGACAAGAAGTTGATACAAGACCGGGATAGCCCGTTAAAGGTATCCGATTGCCGAGTTGGCACCACCAAGTCAACGCCAGTGTGGCTATATGCCCATGATTCCCGTGGCTCACATCATTTGCTCCAGGCCTGTGTTTTAGAGTATGGCTAAGATCACAACTTTATTTTTGTCATAAAGAAATGCACTGTTTAGTGCCAGTATCATGATACGGGGACGTGCATCGCCATCTTCAGCCACAGACGCGTCTGTGTGTGCCAGCATCTTGATGCTTTACCTGTGAGGTCTCTTCGCACAAGCTTGTATTTGTGCATTATCATGACAGATTTTCCATATTCAAAAGCAGCAGTATATACAAGAACACCTCACATCGTGAGTTTGAGAGTCTGGCTTAGCATCCAAGGGACGATACATACCTACAGCGCGCTTCAGCCACAAGCGCGTCCTCGGACGACCACTTTAGCGCCGTTCTATCGACAACAGTACGCACGACACGAGTCTATAGCGTCTACAGTCTCATGATAAACTAGAATCTATTGTTGCAACAACGATACAGGTGTAGAACCATTCAGCAGAATCTACGGAATTGACATGGTAGCCGTGAGTGAACATCCGATCCGTGCAACAGTCCGTGACAGATACCCTCTATTGCTACAATTGTGGTAAGTAGATGATGATGAGCGACAAATAGCATACATGTGGGCTAAATAGCGGTGAGCGTACGTATAACCAGAAACTCCATCAGGTTCCGAGCCAAACGATACTATAAACTAGGTAAGGCAACTAGTATGCCCGCGCCTTACCCTTGTCCTTCGCTGACAATCGCCCGGACCTCCTTGTGCCAACGATGGCCCCATCAGCAGCCTCCTCGGTAGATGATTGGTCTTGGGCGGCGCGCGAGCGACTCGGACGAGAGCCAGACGCGACCGGAGCATTCGCGCTGCCACGACTGGGAGCCGGTACAAGGGGAGGTGGCATGGATATATCAGCCTTGCGAGTCCGCGATGAAGGCTTCGATGCGGGACGAGGGCCTCTGGTGCGAGATCCCGACGCGGCTGGCGCAACGTGCAACTGGCTCGCCGGTGCAGCGGTGCGCAACGTCCGGACGCGTTTCGCTGGCGGTTTGAAAGGACCGTCAGAGCTGTCGTTGTCTGAAGCTCCGCGCTTGGTGCCGCGAGAGCCCGATGCGCGATTGAACTGTGGAGCAGAGATTTTCATTTGACGTTTGGCCGGACGTTCGTCGATGTCACTAGAGCCGTGCTCGTCGACGCTCGCGTTGGCACTGCGCTTCCGCTGACGAGTGCGCGTAGCAATGGCGTCCGGATCATCGGCCTCCAGAATCCTCTTCCCGTGGGTGTGACCTGGTAGTTGGTCGCCTGCTCCGTCTTTGGCGGGCCATTTCTGCTTGGAGATAGCCCTCGCAAGCAGATTCAACATGGGGTCGTGCGACTCTAGATTTTGCGCCCGTTTCCGTTCCACGACGGATGTTGCATCATCGAGCTGTTCCTGCTCCACATGATCATCGGCGAAGAGGTCTCTCTGACCTACCTTTCGCCCAAACAACGTCTGCAGCTGTGATGTCTCGTCATCCTCCTCGCTCTCTTCCACATCGCTATCACGTGCAGAGGTCTGCGAAGCA